ATCGTGGCAGAGAGCCATGTGGTCACTATACTTATTTAAAGTATAGTGTCTATGCATTTTTGCATAATATTACCAAGTTAAAGAGCCAGTAAATAGTGACTAGCACAAAGTATAGAGTAGGTGCTTCTATCTAGTGTTAGAAAATAAACATAGATATAAATCAGTTTCAAACTTTACAGCTTGAGCGTTCGATTCCTTATGAAGGAATCTTTGATACTAGTCTCTCTGGGACTCAGTTGCAACAACCGATAGGCACAAGCTTACGAGCTAGCCTAGGAGGGTTAAGCACCCTAGACGTAGAAGCTCTCTGAGCTTGTCTTCCTCTGCACATAGTGCATAAGTAGCTTTGCTACAGTAGCTCGGCTACAAGTAATCTCTGATTGCAGGATTCGGGCGAAAAACCTCAGTATAACAAGGGGTACAAAATCTGAAGTTACTGGGATAAAGTCCTGTGTAAAACTCAAGCTAACACCGGTTTTTGTTTTTTTTGTTTCAGCATAAAACCCTGACATGTTTTTTTTGGATTTGTGTCCAAAAAGTGGGTAAGCAGTTTTACCTAAAAAAAGATGGATAAAATGAGTAAACACCAGATCCTGCACCAAAAGTGCGTAGCTGTTGGACGTGGACATTACATCACTGCTGAAACAGCACTTGGAAGGGACTTCGCCCATATGGCAGCTTAATACAGCCTTTCCGACAGCTATATTGCATGCTGTTGCGACACGTTGATTGAGCAATGCTGGCACAGTGCACCAATATTTTCATCTGATGTAACGCACTTGTTTGTCAAATAAACAGGGGCCCTATGTGTTATGTAAAGAGCATGTTCATTGGAGCTAGCAATGCTGAACGTGTCTATTGTTCAGCAAGTAATACCACGTAAAAGGAGCAGATTCAAGCCGAATGCATAATGCATCGGTCAAGTTGATTAATGAGTTGCAGATGATCTTTACAAGTTAAATCAACGGACATGTTTCGACTTTTTGCATTGTACCATGACATTGTTTTGGAAAAGAAAGTATTCAGAGACAAGTACGAGGTTACAAGCTTTGTTCCATCGGCCTGTTATGAGAGGATTAGCATCTTACTATTATGAATCGATACAACGCTGTCTACATTCCATATGTAGATAAGAATTTTTACCAACTAAAGTCGAAGAGGATGGTTTCGTAAGCCTATATTTCACTCCAGAGATACAAGAGGTCGAGATTGTGCATTGATGTCACGTAATCCAGTTCTCTCACGTAAATCTATCCGATATATATGTTGGGTCATGGTTGGCTTGCAACTCGATCACGGGCTATCCGCTGAGCACATGGTGAGACGCGAGCATACATCAAGGGGCTCAACACCGATTAGTACCCATCTCAAAATGGCATCGAAATTGTCAGGAAACGCGCGGCACAACGAGTCGGCAGGCTTGCACAAATCGCCGACAATCTCTTGGACATGCTCCACCTGCTGCACGTCCTGTGAAATCGCACGGTCGACCATCTGCACAAATCTCTGACACAAATGGCAGGGAAAATCGTCCGTAGGATCCAAGTCTGTAACGGTGGAAATGATGTCGCACACTTGGTCGTCTGTCTTGCCTTCAAGCAGGTACTTCTGCACCACATCTTCTGACTTCAGCACAAGGTTACACTATCATTCCATCATCAACATAACATTTAGTATCCCGTCCCTAATATCTCAGTTATTAGTCCAATAATAAGTTTGTCTTACCTGTTCCACCAGCTCAGGACGATCGAGGTCTTCGCATGACGCTCCACCCCATACTAGGAGCGAGACTTTGTCAAAAGTCGAACGAATATACAACATAAGCGATGCTGTTCTCAACTCCAGTTCCTCCTTCTCGTGGATCCTCTCCACGGCTTTTAAACACGCCGTCTTCCTATCCAGTGCTCCATCATTCGCCTGTTGCTTCATCGCCACGACACGGACAGCATCATCCATCGCGTTAAATCGAGCAGATTCTTTGTTAAGCGGAGCGGACTCATCGTTAACGGGAGCATATTCTTTGCTCAACGGAGCGGGCTCTTTATTGAAAGGAGCAGACTCTTTGTTGAACGGAGTGAACTCGTCATTGAATCGTCCAGACTCTTCATTGTATCGTCCAGACTCTTCATTGTATCGTCCGGACTCTTCATTGTATCGTCCGGATTCTTCATTCAGTGGAGTGTAACGATCCAACTCATTATGGCCAGTGGTTGCAGCCAATTGTTTTAGGCGATATTGAAACTGCAATTGCGTTTGCAACTCCACCAAGAGGCTAGCAAGTTCGGCGTTCTTGTTCGTGGTATCTTGGGAAGAAGGCATCTCGCCATCCGTGGTACCCGCTGGACTGTAGCGTATGTTACTCTCACCACTTACCACGGCTGAAACGGCCGTCAGACTCAGTAGTAGTGCTTGTACAGACTTCATCGTTTGTTTTCTTCTTCTTCTCTTTGTCCCAGCAAATTGGAATATGAAGTCTGCGGTCTATCTATGGCTTGTAAAAAAGCAAAGGGGACGGATGACATGACCGAGTAGTAGAATTTTGTAGAGTCTATTGAAGTTTTTGTGCTCCAAATGGATAGGCAGGATTGGTTGGAACTCAAGATGAGCTTTAGATTGCAAGAAAATTACACCTAGGACGGAGCGGCACCTACGGATCTCTCGGGGGGAAAAATACTGCTTTGAAGGCCTTCCGAACCCAAGGTACTTTACTTGTTCATAGAAAACAGGTGATAATAATTTAGTCAGGCTACAAAGCATCGGCAATTCAGATTCGATCGCCACATTTGTAAGAGTCGGCCGTGCAAATCCTAGTTTAAGACAGAGATAATTGAATAACAGAGACATTGTGAAGGACTGTCGATGCATATGTTAGAATGCGCGTGATAATGTTACAACTTGCCATCTCCCTGGTGATTTAGATTGAGTGTAGTGCTGAGTTCGACATAAGGTCGAATCAAATGTCATGTCGTTGCAAACAGTGACGTCGGTAGAGACTCGACGTGCCACATGCAAGATAACGTGTAGCATGACGAGATGCAGTGTATCGAATCAATTTTACTGGCCTACTGACAACAAACTGGTTGAAAATGACAAGGAGGCTGAGGCAGATCCGGCTACCAGAGAGCTGTTGAGCGCCAGGTCTGTCGCGGTGAGCCAATTTGCTTTGCAAGAATTGTAGGAGCAGACCAGGGCTGTGCTCGTGAAGCCTGATCTTTTGTACTGATGACGTTTTGAAAAAAGAGTCTCTTTTACGAGAATGAGTAGGCTATGCAGTTCCTAGAACCAGTAGCCTTCTCACTGAAACGATGTACAAAGACTACGGACTTTGTTTTCGAGTTCTGTCAGCAAGTGATCAGCGAGAGTTCAAGTTGCTCGAGATGAAACTCAGCATTAATACTACAAAGGAGTCCGTAGTGGTTGAAGAGGAGCGAGCAGAGATCAGTAGGGCAACGTCATTTTGTATCAACGTCTGCTGTCATGACAGCGTACTCAGGTCGGCACAGATTGAGTGCACTATCACATCAATCTATCAGGATTGTAATCAAACCAAAGCTGAATGTTATAGATACAAATAACAATTTACCGTTCCATGCGACACGTGCAAGGACTTGACTACCTTCGTAACAATAGCGCTAGAGCGGTCCTATACTTGGAGATTTGCAAGTTTCTTGGTGTGTGCCGACTAATCCTGCTCAGCTCATTTGCTGCTGGAATAGACGAACGTTTTTTGCAAGGCACAGCTAGAAGCTTCAAGTGCGTCTTTTTTTACTTAGTACACATACTTCTTAGTATCAGCCATACAATTCGATAGTGCTACAGCAAAGCTGCTCGCTCATCCCTGTCTTCCAGTCATTCTCACCGAAAACTGATCCGGATTTGCATAAAGATTGCGACAGATGGCAAAAGAGACAGCTATTTATTACAAAATTTCGAGCAGGACGTCAAATAATATCTTATAGCATAACATATGGCTGCAAATCGAATTGCTACAAAGACGTTAGGACGTATGTATTGTCTATCAAGATATTTTGGTAGTAAGAATACGATAGACTTGGTGGAAACAGCAATTGTTCAAACTAGAAACAGGCCTTTGCTCCAACGACATAGGACAGTAATTAGCGACTATAGACAACGATAAAAAATGCTCATTGTATGGTTTGTCAACGTCTTTGGCGTCAGGAACAAACAAAGACCTTGCGAGTCATACACGTCATGCACTCATTTGTGCTTACGTGATGATCCGACCTCGATACGAACGGATGGTCAAGACAGTGGCAATGGATAAAACGAGTTGCTCGTCTTTTGAGGTGAAACTCACCATGCATCTCAAATCTCCATGACATTTTGCCATTCTAGTCGCATACAAATGCGTTATTCATCCAACGCTTCGTTGTGGTGTTGTATATCACTGGATATTCGAACGTTCGAGGTCACTTCCTACACAGCGTCAGCCGAGCCATGAGTTGCAAAAAAACTAGACTGGCAGTTACTGCAGAATCAAAAAGCTTTATCGAATGGTATGAGAAGTGCTTCCTTCGTCTTCAAGCAATGGCAGCCGTCATGTCGACTGACGGATGATTGACACGATGGAAAGAACCTGGCACTCGGCTTGGTCGTTACGAACTCGTGGCACAACACCAAAAATCTGCTGAAGACTTGAGTCGGCTGTACGGCGAGAAGGCCATGGCAAAGCTATATTTGTAGTACCAAGGAATTCCAATCGTGTCATTGCGACTGAGAGCTTCGACAAGAAAGAGCAGCCATGCAACGCAGTCTAATGTGAAGAGAGACAGACAATATAAGTGCCGTGACGTTTCATAGACACGCTGTGCAGGCAAACCATGCCGCTTGAAGAGGTGCAACGCCAATCCCAAATTCAAGTGTTGAATCAGAGACGATGACGTTAACAAACTTTCGTCAACTGACGATGGTTCACATGGATGTCAAAGCTGGCAAGCTTTTTTCTTCCTTTTAGCATGTCTTAGGCTTCATACGTTGTCCTACTCCCGGAAGGAAAAATCTTTGTCTGCAGCCTCGGCGTGAGGTGTTGCGATGGCCCCCATGTGGTAGTCACCGCATGATACCCTGCATAGTTATGAACAAGCCAACATGTTGGAAACAATAATCTATCACATAACAATGCCAGCAACGTACGAGGTAATGTTGACGTCGGCCAGAGCCTGGATCTGCACAGGCTGCAACTGGTTCTTTCGATCGCCGTGACCCAAACAAGTGGAGCTACCCTTACCAAATGTAAAGATCTTGCCGTCATCCGTCAGTGCTGCTGTGTATTGTCGTCCGCAAGCCACCTGCACTACCTTGTGCTCATTCATAGCAGTCATCTCATGCGGCTCAATCCAGATCTTGGCGCCCCACATGTACAGACGTCCGTCCTCCGTCACCGCTGCGGCATGGTCATAGCCGGCAGCGACCTGCTTCACGGACAGCCCGTTGAACGCCTCAACTAGCACTGGGATTGACTCGATGTTGTACACGTCCATAGCTAAGCCACCACCAATACCCAGCTGATTGTCTAAAGCAGCAGCAGCGTAGCACTACATTAGCGTCATTCGCATACATATTATAGACCCGCCACTTAACGTACGACTGTTGCCACCCCAGCTATACAGCTCGCCTTTGTCCGTTAGCGCAAAGGAAAAGTCACGACCAACAGCAATCGAAACCACATTTTCCTTCAAAAAGAACTCGATTGGCTCCGGCACCTCGCACGTGTCAGACTCGCCATTGCCTAGACGTCCGTACTCGCCATTACCCCAAGCCCAAATTTCGCCGTCCTTGGTAAGCGCCACTGTGTGGAATTCGCCGCACTCCACCGTGGACATAGGCACTCCTTGGTCCACCAGGGTCGTCAATAGCCGAGGTGTGGGCTCGTCCTTCCCGCCAGCATGACCGAGTCCGCCAGCACCCTTCATCGTAGAGCCTCCCCAACCCCACGAGTACATTTTACCATCAGCATCCACTGCAACTGTATAATAGTCTCCACATGATACATCCACGATCTTAATGCCTTGGAAAGCCTCTACTTCTCGCGGTAGCACTTCCATCTCACTGCTTTCTCCCAGTCCCAATTTGCCATACTCGTTAGAACCCCACATGAACAACTTGCCATTCTCATCAACTGTTGTTCACCATATATAAAAATAACCAGTCATTAATTCCTTCAGTGTACATAATTTAACAATCATAAGTCGTACTGGCAGCACTGTGGCTAGCACCAAATTCTAAGCGGACAATGCCTTTTCCTTCAAATGCTTCTAGTAGCTTGGGCAATAGCTCCTCGTACGCATTGCGCATGCCAGACTTGACAATCGTTCCGTGTCCTAATTGACCTAACGTGCCACTACCCCATGTATACACTAATATCAATAGCAAAAGATAGTATCATTAACCACGTAACACAGACAAAAGATTCGATTCAGTTTAGTTTGTTTGTATCATTCACATTCGATAGACACACACATACCGCTCGATTGAGTAGAGAATGAAGTGCGTCGTAGTGCACTTTGAATGGACAGAAATGGAATGGATGTTCCACGTTGCCTCGCCGTACGGAAAGCGCTTAGCAAGACCTGTGTCACTACTACCATGAGAGCGTTTACTTTATCTGTGTGGTAGTCATTCAAAGTTGTGTGCAGTTACATTTTTATGGTGTGTATCACACTAAATATAGAAGCTACTTCAGATGCCAAATTCATAAGCTCTAACTCGTAAATCTTACCATCTGTCAAATCTTCAAATAATTACAGTCATTCTTTCTTACAAATCTCTGTCGTATTCCACTTGACAATTATATGATTGGCTCATCAGTGGTTAAGTGTTTGGCTCAGCTTGTGCACTTCAAGACAGCTCTGTTAGTATACTACTACTACTACTTAACAAGGCAATACTGATGATTGGAAGCAGCTCTTTTTTTTGTATACCATGTCACACATGGCTTAAAACTATACGGTCAGTATTCACTAAAATTCACGGCTGTGAAGACTCAATCAAAGAAAAAGACGCTCAATAGTAGTCGTTCATTAGTTTTCTTGCGTTAAATAGATTCAATGGACCTACTCATTTTTCATTTTCTCACGTTATACGACGTGAAATGTCTTTACATACGATACTTAAGGTTGTGATTGTATGGATCACTATTATAGCGACTTTATATACGGCCATATTCGCTTCAAATGAGACTTTAAGCCATTCAAACTCATCACTTGACAAGAATGCCACGAGTACACTTCATAACTTGACTGTAAATGGTCAGAAGGACGCAATGAAACAAGAGAAGAAGATTGATGATACAATATCTAATGGTACACTTCGTTCAGAGCCTGCAACGGCATCAGCCGTTATGAACGCTGCATTTAAGCTTGGAAGCGTATTAAATGCGACTAGCACAATTGAGTCCACTTATCCTAATTGGGTCGGTACTGAACTTGATACTTCATTTTCCTATGCATGTTGGCGTAGAACTCATATTGCAAAGACATGTCCTCTAGGGTATGAAAAACGTATTGGCATTTGCTGGTCACAATGTCCCTATTCGTATCCTGTCGAGTGCGGCCTCGAGTGCATCCGACAGAATGATAATTGTGCTCTTGCCATTGTTACAAAGGTAGCAGTTGTAGTCCAGACAACTCTTGCGTTATCGGCATGGAGTGTTTACGGTGATATGACAAAATGGGCAAAAGGTGTTCAACTTGCGATCAAATGCACCAAGTATATGATCAGTCTCTCAAAGTCGCTGGTTAAATTTATCCGCTACATCAAAGTCCATGAACCAAATGCAACAAAAGACAAGATTTTCTCAATTCTTTACCGAATTGATAACGTTATCATTGACATTCCTGTGTCGATTTCCTATTGCCTTGGAAAAAAAGTGCCCGATGATGTCAAGTTTACTGACAGTGTGCTTATGACTGCAGAGTACGCTATAAAAGAAATCATTACTTATGGTGGCGGTATCCTATCAAGTTGGAATGCATTTACAAAATTTATGAAAAGAATCATGCTGGGAGATTCGCTTGCTTCATTGACTGAAACAGACATCACGTCTCTAAAGTCTATGCTCGAATCCGACTCAACCTGTGGTTACGACATGAAACGTCTGGTGGATCGTACGTGGATGACAGTGGCAGAACTGCGCCGATTGAATCCTGAAATATCTGAGAACGATATCCGAGTATTCATGAGTCAATCAAACCTTGTGCAGAATGATATTCCCACTGCTACAAACAATTGTATACCTGAGATGATAAAACACCGTGATATTAGTACAGCATACGTCACCCGTAGCATACTACGTAAGGCATTTGGAGTCATCATAGATGATTTAGTCAAGTCGGGAACGAGCAACAACGGCACATTTCTCACTGCTGAAGAATACGCGGTAAGAATTGCCGACAGAGCTATTGCTGTCTGGGCCATTTGGGACATGTATTATCTTTCTAGTGTAATGTCCGAGTATTTTCAGCCCCTTTGCAGTCAACCTGAACTCATGGGAGAGATTGACGACGGCAATGTGACAATGGCACTGGGGATGTCGATTGTTGGAGACGCCTTTAAGAACAGTGATGGCACGTGGACAAAGGTTAGCGACGGCTTTATCACCATTACGTTCAAGAGCATTGATGCAAAAGAGGTGACTGTGCATATCAAGTCCGGAGGTGACAAGGTTGACGAAGTTGGTGTCCTACCAGGTGCGACTGTGACATGGAAGTCGAGCGTAGCTGCACTGGGAGGGAAGACGCTGTATCTGGATAGCTGCCGACCGGGCTTTCTGGGTTTTCCGCACACTGGAGGTGGCTCGCTGCTTTTGTGGATCCCTCGATCGACTCAAGGTGGCAGTCTGCAACTTACTGCGGTATTAAATAAATCTTAAGGTGAAGTTGTAGCGCTTTTGGAATGCTTAGGCGTTTGTTAGAAGCAACTATTTATGAAGTGTCGATCATTGTTTCATGTACGAGCTCCAAACTGGTTCATCTCACACAGTTTTTCGGCAATGCGGTAGCTTTTTCTGTATCGTGCTTGTTGCTATGCGTTTACAGCTTGGTGAGAAAGACGTTGGAGTTCAAGTTGAACGTGACAGCCGCTGAATGCCAGAGTTTGATACTATCTGGTCTTAGCAGAGCAGCATTTGTTGTAGGATGTAGATTCTTTCATTGACATGTGCTATGTAGCGCAACAGATATTAGCATCATATCCTGACTCAATATACCATCGACCCTGGAGCAAACACTTGAATCGTTTGGCCTTGACGCATCATTCTCAAATTACCTGCATAACAGACGTTTCAGTACCATTCTTGCTTGTCGTCTTACCACAACTTTGAAAAGCATTTCTCTTGTAAACGGACAGTTGTGACGAATTCAGATGCGATGTCACTTGTGTCGGTGTCAACAGCCAAGGATTTCTCTACCAGCATAGATATGATGGAGATGTTGTCAATTGATGACAAGGGCCAACGGTGCTGATACTGGCAGTGATTGCAACTGGCCAAATAGTTTCCATCAAGCTCTTTTTGTCCTTACAAGCAGCAACCAGAGGTTGCGGAGATTCCGTCAACAACAGTGGTGATGACATCGATGACTCAAGAGAGACGTTATCCACCACACAAGTTGAGTACTAGATCAGCAACATCTCTACCCAGGGGTCTGCAATTTAAGCCTGGAAGCGTTGCAATGCATAGTACAGATCATAAGTCACCCTTGGTGAGGTTTATTGTGGCAGCACAAGAGTCACTGGATGAGCTCAGACAGGAAGAGCACGTGTTGATCCACTGTAAAAGACTGTACACACTTGTGCGTAAATACATTTGCACAGCCATCCTGGTGCTATGGTTGTCTCGTATTTTACCCGTTAGTCCTCCTGCATCCAGTCGATTCGGCCACAAAATCACGCCATCATTGAGATTGAGAGCTTTTAGCGTACCCAAAAATTTTGTCTGAAACATGGCAGAAGTGCTACCAACATTGACTAGAAACACTGAACGCTATGAGGCATTTTACGATCCGACGACTATCTGCTCTCCGAATGTGGAAGCAGAAGACCTGTCTGCAAACGGGTAGAACGTCAGCAGACGTTGGTGCGCTAGTAGAGTGAAAATTAAAAGATAAACATTGAGACTAGGAATACAAAGGATCTGTTCTTGGTTGCTGTATAGCTCCCAGAGGCACTACGTTTTTTGAATGTCGTGTAAGAACACTGTGCGAATGTGGTAAGGATATCAAGCGTAAAAAGCCGCATGTTGATTGAAATAGCACAAATTAACATTCCGAGTATTGCAACCACTTCTCCCATGCATGACTGGGGTGCTGCTCTGGTTTTGAATACATCGTTTCAATATCTATTGTCTATCTAATGGTTGCAGCAGAGAGAAAGAATGAAGCACAAATTGATTCGGTCACAAATCATGCAGTCGAAAAGCTCAGGATATAAAGTGAAACTGAACAGACCCAGTAGCTCAGGATACAACGATGTCTGACCGGTAGATGCACGTAGATTCGATTTAGCTTGGCTGGAAGATAGAATTTGAGACAGACGGTTTCATGCTCCCGTATATGTAAGAAGAATCTAAACTTGATGCAAATCACTTGAGACACAGTTCAATTGTGTACCACTTTTGAGGTTTTAGTCCAGCTTTTGTGGTCGCGCGCACCTTCCTAGTCGAATAATTATGTGAAATTACAGCATTTAGTGCAAAAAGGTATAATAGAGTAGCACGTATTTCTTTGGTTTTACACAAGGTATTTAATCACTACACCCATTTCTGATCCTACCAACCCTAAGACGATCAAAGATTCATGTTGAGGATTAGCTCTAGTAAATTGAATCCCAAGACAAGACCCACTCTTCGTTTTGCTACGTTTTGTGACGGCTATTTGCATTTTAAGGACTGTATATGTGGCATTTTTGTACATGTAGTCAACGAATGGCAGTTGAAATAGTCCCACGCTGATCAGGATGCCAAATTTTAGTGACAAAAGACTTGCTAAGGATCTGTTCTGTGCTTTGTGTGCTGCTTAGATTCACTATGCCGTTAGAATGATAGATTCACCTGTCAATACAAATTTATAGGTCAAGATTATGCCCGATCACATTATTTATATTCGAATCTATGTACCATCCAAGTGCATTCACGGAGAACTTAGCGGTTTAGATTTTGATCTAGTTAACAATAAAGTCATTTGGCATTTTGAATTGAACGAGCATTGCTCGAATGACCAGATTATTGCTGGTATTATCGACCTTTGTATTTACAACCTTTTATGCTACGACATCAGCACAGTCGTATGCATTGAATGATAGTCGAATGTCATCACTACCACCAACTGCAACTGTCACAGCTGCGAATTTTACAGTCAATAGCCGTGTGACAATTTTCAATTCCACACATTCTTCCTTTAATGCATCGGATGCTGATAAAGACACTGGAAATGAAGACAATGAAGAAGATGAAGACAGGAGTCGTGAATTTAAAGAGCGAGATGAAGGCGATACAGATAGTGATGATGACAGTGATTCTTCATCCGAAAGTGACGATGACAGTGATTCTTCATCTGATAGTGATGACGACAGTGATTCATCGAAAGAAAAGGGTCGACCTACTTTTAGTAACGTGTTCAACGCAACTAGTACAATCAGGTCAACGTACAGGAACTGGATAGGTACCGCACTTGGTAAAGCCACCAAGACAGCATGCTATCGTAAAACTCATATTGCCAAGACATGTCCTCTGGGTTACCATGCGAAGTGGGGAACATGCTGGGCAGAGTGCCCATATGCATACCCAGTCAAGTGCGGGATGGAGTGTATTCGACAAAACGATGATTGTCTACTTGAAGTCATCACAAAGGTTGCTACCGTGGCTCAAGCAGCCTTTTCCATAGCTCCTGAAAATGTGTACGGACAGTTCAAGTCGATGGCAAAGGGCATTCAAATTGCATTTAAATGCAGCAAAGAGATGATGGGATTGGTCAAGTCGTTGAACAAGTACATTCGTATCGTTAAAGTGACGGACCCGCATGTGACCCAAGAGCAGCTATTAACAATACTGTACCAAACCGATAATGTCATCTTTGATATACCAGTGACTGTTGCTGCATGCCTTGGAATTCCAGTAGATGAGAATTTTAAATTTTCAGACCGATTAGTGAACACTGCAGAGTTGATACTTCACGATGTCACTTCCAACAGCGCTACAATTATCTCCGATTGGTCTGCATTCACGAGTTTTATGAAGCACATTAATTTTGGAAAAACAATCAGCAAGCTGAAGAAGTCAGATATCTCGTCCTTAAAAACGGCACTGTTGTCCGAGTCAACGTGTGGATATGACATGAAGCGACTGCTGGACCGAACATGGATGACTGTGGCGGAAATGCGTCGACAAGACCCGAGTATATCGGAGGATGACATTCGTGTTGCAATGAGTAAGTCCAATCTTGCATTACACGATATTCCGACCGTGACCAACAATTGTATGGCAGAATTGATTGCCGAGTCAAATGAAGCTGAAGCTTATAGTGTTCGAGATACCCTGCGCAAGGGTATGGGAAATATTATGGAAGACTTGATCCAATCAGGAACAAGCAACAATGGAACTTATCTAACTGCTCGAGAGTACGCGTTTGAAATTGCTGACAAAATAGCCACATTCTACGCTGTGTGGGAGAAAAAAATATAGGTGGTGTAATGTCCGAGTTTTTCCAGACACTTTGCGGTCCCACTGAGTTTATTGGTGAAATTGACGATGGTTCTGCTGAGGATGCTCTAGGTTTGAAGACTGTGGAGAAAGCGTTCAAAAATAGCACTGGTAGCTGGACGAAAAAAGGTGATGGTTCGGTTGTTATTACGTTCAAAAGTATGGACACGAAGGATGTGAGCGTGAATATTTATTCTGGTGGTGAAAAAGTCGATGAAGTGGATGTTCCAGCGGGAAAAACCATGACATGGCGATCAACCGTTAAAGCTTTGGAAGGTAGGACGCTGTATCTCGATCGATGGCGTCCTGGTTTCTTACATATTCCTAAATTAGGTGGTGGTTCATTATTACTGTGGGTACCTCGAGCTACAGAAGGTGGTAATCTACAACTCACTGTTTTGCTGAATGTGAGCTGAATGTGTAGAGTTTTTAAGTTTAAAATGTCGTGAGAGTCAGTCAGTCAGTCATGTTAGAATTAATTTAATAATAGAGATTAGATGTATATTTTACAAAAGTGATAAAACGAAGAGAAATCCGAAAGTGACATTGACGTTTTCACAAAATACACACTATCTTCGATATTTCATGCTTGCATAGTTAATAATTCAAATATTCAGAAAAGTCTCTTATCTTTGATAATTCATATGTTCACAATCGCTTAATTGGTTTAATCATTTAGTATCACGCTTACGTTTCAGATTATATCGACTTTGCATCACAGCAGAACCAGAACCTTCCGATGATATGATATCAGTCACAATGTATGGAGCTTGAACAGACTCATCGATAGACAACATGATACTGTCAAGCGAGATATTGCTATGTACGAGCAAATTCACACGTTGTAAGACGGAAAGAGACAGCGGGCTCAGAAGAAAGAGTTGACGTTTCTTGGGATCCAATGCCCGAATAATTCCAATACCAAGACACGGAGCATGAACAGGTTCAAGCACGATACGTGGTGGTCCTTGACGTAGACTAGTCGATTCATCTTGCATGAATGGCTTGTAGTCAGGATTGACGCATAGACCCACGACACTAGCATTGAGTGAAAACAGGAGTTGACTTGGAGGCACGGAGGAACCGGTAAATGAAATGTCGACCTGGTCAAAGGATACGACGAAAGGCGTGAGACGTGCATATGCACGATAAATGTCGCTGTCCAAGCGGTTTTTTTCAGATAGTACTTGCAAGTTTTGCAAACGAGGTCGCGAGAGATTGCACCGAGTTTGAGCCAAGAAGTAGGAATGGAAACGATAGACTCGCAGGTCTTTGGAACTACGAGGAGGTTGTGTGAGACCGACAGGATCCCAAGGTGAAACAGCATGGATATGCCAATTACCTTCGGTCGGGACATCAAATTGTTTGTTTTTCGTTGCGGCCACTAGCTGCACGACGTGGTCGGGGCTTGTCTCCTGAATCACACTACACAGCAAATCGTGTCCCATGCTCTTGATCCAGCCGTCTGTATTAATCACTAGTGGTACAAATGCGTGCTCTGTTGACCGAGGATTTACGTTGTTGCTGTTTGCTCTCCTTTGAATGCCCCATTTAGCGTCATATACACGCAGCAGACTCTTGACTGCCTTCATATAGTACAATGGATCGTTGCCTGGGTTGGTGTTTCCACAGAAAAAGGACCGGATTGGACTCTTCATGTGCGAGAATCCTGGACCAATCAATGGCGTCGTCAAAGCGTGCAGCGCCACGAGTCCAGGTGGTGTGAGTTCGCATTGGCCCAGGTCTGTATCCAGGAAGGCCACAATTTTGAACTGCGAGAGCAACCGATTAATCAGGTATCGACAAAAAGTAGACTTGCCCACACCTTTGCCACCACATACAACAATCTTTTTCGACATTGGACCCTTTTGTGCTAGCAAACTAGCCAGCAGACTGTCCACGGTTGCTTGCCATGGCTCTGTGATACGCAGGGTCTTGAACGATTCCACCACCAAAAGTTCTGCCAGCACACGTTCCGGTGACTTCCAATCGTGATGCATTGAATCTACTGTCAGAGGTGCAGCACTCGTACTATCAAACTTTGCAGAAGCGTCGTATAAGAAATTCTGTTCGTGTTGCGAGATAATCATCTTGAAACCTGGTAGTACTGCAGATAGTTTCTCAGGTCTGGTATTTTCATAGAAACACATGACATTTCCATACGTGACGGGGATTGCACGGAGCACCAGTACAACGGAAAAGTCGTTTATGAGCTGCATGGCCAGCCGATCTGCAGCGATCTCCTCGTCCTCAATCAGAGCTTCCGTCGGTAAATTGGGTTCCATGACTTGCAATAGGCTAAAGTTCGTAGTTCCAAAAGGCGCTTGGGTTTCTTCATTGCCTGGTCGGCCTTCGATCACCACGAGGTTGTTCCATTTGGGCGAATGCAACGAGAAATAGACTCCTAGAGGCGGTTGAAAGCCCAGCACCTGAACGTTTCCTTGGAAAACTCGAAAAAGTGCCATGCCGGCACAATTCACAGTCGCAGTCTGTTGCATTCCTAGTGCAACCACATTGCCAGAGCGTACACACAAAGCACGGTACAACGGTGAAGATCCTGTGGCGCCAACTGCAGGACCGTCGTGTATCATTTTCGCCACACGATTGGCTACCAGCAATTTAAAGTATTGTCAAGTATTGTCACACGTCGCAGGTTTTCAACTGAGACCATTCTCACACGTCACATGTGCAGTGAACGGCTAGAGATAGAGAGATGGACAAAGGCTCAAGACGTTCTGATGCGATTGTTGGAGATATCTTGTTACCAAACAACCAAAGGAATCAAATGAACTCGAGAGTGCTGGAGTTGAACCAGATCACGCTTTGCTATGTTGGTCATACGCTGCATCTTCGTTGTGTTGAAGCTGCAACCCGATACCGATCATGAATACGGCAAGGAAATGTGGCATTGTTTTGTCTAGTTATCCTCTACTACACTGTGTTTGATGCTACTGGTAGCATCAGGAAGAATGGATAGCACTCAGCTATCATCGACAGAAATACCATGTACGCGCAAGCGTGTTGCTGGCGATCCTCATAAAGCCAAAGCAAACAGTGGGTCAAGTCAAAGTCTTGATTGACTCCGTCAACTCGTACTTGTATATGCCGCTGTGCCGTGTCTCAAAAAGTTCTAAGAAGCTTGCGTGGAAAATGAAGTACCGTGTGCGCAAGAATAAGCTCGACTCCATTTTCATCTTCTATTTGTCCAAGATCACTATAATATTGATGGCGATGCACAGCAATTTGATCCACATGTATCGATATCAAGCTGTTTTTTCCATGGCATGTGCGTCACACAAGCTTTTGAAGGTGACCGGTATCCCAATCGTCGTTAACGAATCACATGCTCAAGACTAAAGCGTTTCTGCTCGTTTAGCCCATTGTCAGCAACAGTAGCTGTGACAATTTGGCGGAACTGGAGGTAAATACATCTTCTTCCAAGCGCCTTCATCCTGACAATCTCAAGCATTGTATCCAAGTTTCTGTGCTGAGACTTTGCAATATTATTACTGTTTTGTAACCAAACATTGGTCTCCAGTCGTGTCCTTATCATTGTTGTACAGTCAAGTGCTGTATCACCATCAATCGCTGCTTTTTCACTGTCATGCATTCAACACTCGCATTTCTTTCTCAGTCAATTTTACTTAGTTAATGCTTGGTATTTCTTCCTATTATCCATTGAAACAAGCAGCGTATCCGTTGTCAATAAAAAAAGTACCAATTACATTTTAAGTCTATTAAAAATGATCCAAAAAAAAGACTCATTTCAATATTTTTTACCTAAAAATCACTTAAAGAGCATTTTGTCATAATGTTGCGTCGGTTCTTTAGTTCTTCATCTGTCATGGCTGCACCTCGTATGGTACAGCAACGAGTGCAGAGTAAACTTTCGCTACTTTCAAATGCGTCTACAGTACCAAAGACTCGTGTAATGTTTGTCTCGCGCTCGTCCATGTTGGAGCTTCACCAATCGTTGCCATTTCCTGTCTCTACTGCCACTCTAAGCGATTTTAAAGCCAAACCAAAAGAGAGAATGTTTGTGTATCCAAGTGTGGACCACATCAATTATCCAACTCAACGCGTCTTGCTCATAGGACTTGGAGATGCTTCAAAGGTGACACCTACTGTACTACGTGATGCTACACACGTCGCTTTAAGTACGTTAAAGACAAAACAAGTACGTGATGTGGTCGTAGAAGTCCCAATGCTTCAAGATTGTGAGCTGAAATACAGTCGAATTGTGGAATTAATCGCTCAAGCTTCAATGCTATCAAATTATCAATTTGATCAGTATTTAACGGACTTGATGGACGTTTATGGAGATTGTAAACTGCATTTACCACTTGAAGACATTTATATGGACACGTTGATGAAATATCAAAAGGTAGAGAGAGAGAGCCACTGAAAGTACTGGAATGATGAAGAGGCTAAAAGTGTTGATATGGGACGATTTGGAATGTGATGATTGGTGTAGAATGTAGTTGAACAAGTGACGGTTGGTGAAGAGACGATCTTTGCTCGTAATCTTGGTACGTAGTCATTTGTTTGTAATGTATCGTGCTTGTGAGTTCTTTTAAAGGAAAGTGATTGATAGTTTAATGTCTTGATTCTAGGCAATGAACGCTCGCACATTGTGAATCCAGCGTTTATGGAAGAGGTGGCACGTGCATCGTCTGATCTTCCCAATATGTCAGTTCGTGTGCTGCAACAAGAGGAACTAAAGAAGGAAGGTATGAATATGTTTTTGAGTGTAGGTCAAGCTGCCGTCTGTCCACCTCGTCTTGTCATTCTTGAGTACCATGGCAATCCCGACTCGGACAAGAAGGTTGCGTTAGTTGGCAAAGGTGTCACATTTGATACGGGTGGCTTGAATCTCAAGCCAACGGGATCCATTGAAGACATGCACACGGACATGTGCGGGTCAGCTGCTGTGCTTGGAGCTGTTCGTGCTGCTTCACGTCAGAGGTCTCAAGGTGAACATTGTTTGCGCTCTTGCCCTGGCTGAGAACGCCATTGGCTCCAAGGCTGTAAAGCCGCTGACAATTGTCAAGTCACACAAAGGTATCACTGTGGAAAATAGCAATACGGACGCTGAGGGGCGTTTGGTACTTGGTGATGCGATGTCGTACATTCAGAAGGAATACAAGCCTAAGAAGATTATCGATGTGGCTACACTTACTGGCGCGTGTATGGTCGCTCTTGGCGAACACTGCGCTGGTTTGTTTTCCAACTCGGATGATTTGGCAAAGAAGCTGCAGGAGACAGGAATGGAGTGCCATGAGCGTTGCTGGCGTCTGCCGATTCTTCCAGAACACACTGCCGCCCTGAAGGGCTCTCATTCAGACTCCCGTAGTACTGGTCGAGGTCGCTACGGTGGCGCTTCAACGGCAGCAGCGTTCCTACAGCAGTTCGTTTATGAGAATGTAGACTGGGCTCACCTCGATATTGCGGGACCATCGAACTACAGCTCGGCCAAGTCGTACTTTCCCAAGGGAGCCACGGGCTTTGGCGTCCAGCTGCTTTACAGCTACTTGAAGGAGCATGAACAGCATTAAAGGGTATATCATTCTTCCGTGAAGGTTGATGTTTGCATTGCTCAATACAAAGGCAAAAAATATGAAAGGATGTTGTTGAAGCAGTATTGACAGAGTGTCGTCTATGATCAGCTGGTATGTGTAGCGTTTGACGAGTCATTCGTTTGCACAGCAATAATCCGTTCAGGTTGTCTTGTGCGCCACAGCAATGCTGGCCTTGTAAAATTATCGTCACACGAAAGAACGTCAACGCTCAGATCCCAGTACGACATGAGCTTTCCATCAGCATTTAAAACAAGACGCTTGTCTGCTGACAGCGCTGATATGTTGCTTTCGACCTTGTGCTAGCGAATCTACGCTTCGCAGCACAAGATGCCGGTTACAGGTCATTGCGATGGATCGCCGAGCTTGGCAAAGGAATTCATGGTGTGCTTGACCAACTGGGGCAAAAACTTGTTGCTCGTCAGCCTTGAGTATAAGCTGCTTGATATGGGTCACTCTCAAGTTTGTGGTGCAATCTATGACAGAGACACCATGTAACAATGCGCAAACGTAAGAAAACTTCAACAACAACGACTGGTCAAGCAATAGAATCACTAAACTCTGAACGAACGAACATATCATCAAAGTAAGCTAAGCTAACTTACTTATTGATGCAATGTCCCAAACTCCAGCAAGCCTGTAGCACCTACATAACTCAAACATGTATAGTATGGGGGTAAATTATACACCTGCATCCAGCGCGTGACACTCCGCCCCAATATCCTCTTGTCGGTCAAATAAATTCAATCGCAAGACTCCTCGGGCCAAAAAATATTCGACATGGAAGCTCAAATGTCTCCATCTAATCACATGGTTCAGTTAATATGTCTCGTCTCAAACCCGTTTCATCATGTCTGACGGTCTGTTTTTTTACCTTCATATCCTTGGCAATACTATACATCATGGATTCGTATACTAGCGTGTCCATCTCCCCATTTTCTCCTAGTTCATAGAATGCAAAGGATACCCGCTTTGGCGAGTATGTAGGACTACCAGGGTACCAAAAGACTCGGTAGGGTATGACTTGTACACTGTTTACAAGACAGTTTTCCCATAGCGTATAATCCAAATGATCCGTTGATACATACCTCCATGTTGATGCACTAATTGATTGACACAATCAAACGTAAATGAGTTATCACGAATTAATTCTTGTCCAAGTTAAATTGTCTCATACCTGCTCCAATAACATGGCCGCTCTCTGGCACAACCACATTCAAGCTGCAATCTTTTAGCAATGGCATTAAATGCAATTGGATCGTCTGCTACCACTGTATTTGTAAGTAATGTTACGCCAATGTCACAATGAGATCTTCTCAACGGGTGAAGAAGAAGAGGTACACGAAAAAAATAAAAAAAAACCTTTTTTTTAAAAGGAATTTTTAAAAAAAAAAAAAAAAAGGCAAAATTTAGGGGGGCTGTTTTTTTTTTTTGTGTGGGGTGGGTGGTTGTATTAAAAAAGAATTTTTTTTTGGGGGGGGTTTTTTTTTATTTTCTGCTGACTCATTGATGTGGTCCACGGATGAACAGTCTAATGTTTACTAAACAGTATCAGAATACATAGTATACAAGATACAACATGCAAAAAAGACTGTAAAATTAATCAAACCTCGCACTTGACGCAGTACCGTCAGCTCTTCATACACTGGTCGCTGGGTCAATAGAGCAAGACGTTTCCATCCAATTGAGGTTCGGGTAAGATTCGTAATCAATGCCATACGTTGTGCAAGAATTTTCCATAAAGCTAAAAATAGAAACAAAAAGAAGTAAGAAAATGAAAAGAACTTTCTTCAGTATACAAAAACAAACCATAGTGAAGAATAATATCCCAAACATGATGATTCACAGCTTCAAGATACTGGAGACTCGTGTGGTCTGTGAATTGTAGTATTGCTGCTACAAGGTCTCGTGGTAAGTCGCACAGTTTCATGTGAAAATTGGCTTGTATTTTTTGAAAATGATAAGAAAGTGTAAAGCCTCATAATGTGACGAGACTGTCGAACTTAATAGTTCATACAAAGTGATATTTATAGAGTTTTAGATATCATAACATTACAAAAATATAAGAACGAGTATGTACACTATAGTTTAACGAAATGGGACAAAGACAAGAACTTCTCAATGTGACAAGAATTTCCAAGCTTGGAACAAGCAAGCCATCAGTCTACTTATTTGTCCCATTGCTTCAATGCTTGACGAAGCAGATGCTGATACTTGAACGCAGCAGCTCGTTCCTTTTCAATTTCAACTCGAAGACGCTTCATCCCACGCACAACTTGATACTTTTGCTTCGATACATCCAGCGTATGAAAAGGTCCAAAGCTTCGCCTTATGCTCTGCGCAGAGACTTGGACAGGTTCTTTTGCACGAGCACGCTTGGAGCGTGAATTGTAATCAGTAAACTGCTCTGGAGCCGACGAACGTACTGCAGCATCTAAAAGGCGTGATACACCTGCTCCAAATTGAACCCAATCAGCTGGGTAATAGATTGTGATATCACTCAACGTTTCAAAAAAAGTCGCGTAAATCTCTTCAAAAATCTTCCGCCATGGCAACAACGCGTCAGCTTCTTGTGGAGTCACCTGTTTTGTCTTGCCGTTTTGTGTCAGTTGCTCGTGAACGGGAAGAAGCACAGTGTAAATCCTCTTCTTCAGCTCATACGTCGACACTGCTGTAGCTGCTCGATGTGATACAAATAGACGATCAATAAAGTCTTCAATTTTCTTAAAGTAGACATCGCACGTCTGGTCGCAGTTCAACGGAGAATCCACAATGGCCATTCGTGTGACTTCTAGCGCCGTCAAAATCGATTGAATCTCTTGCCGACGCTCCTTCAAGTTCCAATCATGTGGTGGCTCAATAATCGCAAATTGCAACTCCGGCGGGGAAGATAAAAGGTCCAGTACGCCAGATGTCAAAATTTCATCTCGCAAACGTGGAAAGGCAGCGCAAATGTTGCTCTGGATTCCCACTGACGATTCAAATTGATTCGTTGCTGCCTTCACACTTCCCTCTACTAGCTCTTTTAATCCAACGCTCTTAAAATGACGCACAGGAGGAGACAACGTTGCAATCTTTTTCAGAACTTGACCAAACTTATGAGAAAGGTCACTTGCGTCGATGAGATCAACGTCGACTCGCATTACAAGTGAAGCAAATCGGCTTTGCACACGTTCAACACAGCTTCTGAGCATGCTCAAGAGTACTTTTCGAGAGGACTCGACTTCCGCCGAAACAAACCCCAGTGCAAGCATTGTCACCCGGCTTCCAGGCTTCTTCAGAGAAGAAAGTAGTTCTTCAACGCGCTGCTCCCAGTGACTGCAATTGCCAGCTAGCTGCAGTAAGCTCATATCGACGGGTAATAAAATTGCCGATGTTGCAGTGAGCTTGTCTTGCAGTGTCTCTTGTGTATTCCGCTCAGTATATGTTGAATCAAAATACCGACTGCACACAAAAATTCCCTGCTCCTTACCATCATCACTCGGCTGAAACACCCGATAACAGTCATGCTCAGGTACAGAAACGTTTTGTGCCCCTGACCGGACGGCGCACCATAACCCAAATGAAGAAGAAGATCCATCCAACAAATCTGCAATCACCAACTTCCACGCGACTGATGGTATCCTCATATTTTTCTGTCGAAGAGGAGGGCCAACCAGTTCTAGAATGTCTTCGGAGCACCAAAGCGCTACAATATCAGCATCTGAAGGTGATACATCTTTTACCCTTGACAAGTGCTTTGGTCGCTTTGTTCCAATCAATGCACCCGATCCTCCATCAGCTTTCCCAAAAAGCCATTGAATACTTTCTTTTGCCTTTTGATGAGGCCGATCAAGCCGAAGCTTAGTTCCGTCAATTAAAATGGGCCCAGTACCATGCCTTGACGCCTGCACATACTTCTTCCAGAGGTGTAGTCTCAGTTTCAAAATAGCAAGTCGCTCCTTTTCAATACGGCGCGCCTTCTTCCTTTCTGCTTGCTCCTTGGCTAATTGTGCTTGCCGTTGCGCTTCTTTTGCAGCTTCACGGGCTTGACGTGCTCGTGTCTCCGCTAGCTCTTCCTGGCAACGTCGTTAGCTGTTCTGCTGCCTTTCGTCGTTCTTCTCTTTCGCGTTCTTCTTGTCGACGTCGATCTTCTTCTGCAACCTTCATCTTCATAACTTCGGCTTGCTGTATCGCTGCAAGTCGTTGTCGATCTGCTTCGCGAGCAGCCTCTTCTGCCCTCTTTCGCTGCTGTTCCAGTTCCGCACGCTGCTTCGTTTGCTCGCGTAGCTGGATTTCCAATTCTTGCTGTCGTTGCTTTGCTTCTGCAGCTTCTTTTTCAGCTTTGACTTGAGCAATCAGCGCCAGCTTCGTTAGTTCGTCACGCTGAGCAGCCTCCTCGGCGGCAGTATTCTTAGCTTTATCGCGCCGTGCAGCCTCTTCTTTCATCTGTTCCAGCTTCCGCATGCGTTCAAGCATTACTTGCTTTTCCTGTTCAAGCTCATGCTTTCTCTGTGCAATCATTCCAAAATCATCCCTTTTCTGATCGGTCTCTGCTGGTTCTTGTTCGCTAGAAACGTTGCTCGTAGATATTAGTTCAGGACTCATTGGAGGTGATACAAAACCTATGCCATTGTAATCAATAAAATACGAGTGGTCATCATCATACACAGGCCGATCTGGGTATAGCCGAGCCTGTTCCTCCATTTCAATGTCTTCAATCAGTTTGCTAAGAGCTGGATATTTGTCTTCAGCAAACTCTGTCACCCCGCGACAAACATCTCGTCGTAAGAAATTTCTGCACAATCAATGAACAAAGTAAGATGGAGTTCTCTCAAATGAAATTCTCTTTTTTATCAACAAAGATTACGTACCCTTGTTTCATCCCGACAAAGATTTTGGAGGCTCGAACCTTCAATGGCGTATTGTTTCGTCGTAGTTGTGTATCTGCAACAGTGACAGTATACAATTACTACATGCTCCAGTTTACAATCCTTATACAACGCTTACTCGTACCTGTTTGAAAATCACCACCAAACTTTACCATTATCGCGGTGTCGTCGGTAACGCCAGGTTCGCCGGATATCCTCAGTTGATGCTCTCGGCATACTGCATACGCGTGCTCAATGTCATCAAAACACAGCAAATCCACCAAGTCCTCCAGTGGATAAGTCTGACCGCGAAAAGCCCGATTCATACGAAGCAATGCCGAAGATCGGACACTTGGAATGTACCGGAAAATCAAACACGACTGCAGATAGGTCGCTTCTCGAAGCAGTAAGAAAAACTGGAAGTAGTCACCAGTATGGCGAGCAACAAATACACGCATCGCGAATTCGATGTGAGTACTCTGCAATATATGATACGGTAGATTTTTCACATACTTCAACACATCCATGCCGCGACCATTGTCCAGCGTGCATAGAACGAAATATGCGCGACACTCAGCCTCAAATGGGCTCAAGTACGCAGGATCTCCCACCTTGTAGCTTTCGTCATACAGCTCATTCAGCGACTTCAACGTTTGCCCAAGCTGCTCCATATTTTGCTGGGCCACGAAGCTTGGCGTTTCAATTAGCTCATGCTCACTGAGAACGTGATACCGTGCAATGCGTTCGTGAACGTCAAGAGCTATGGGATGCACACGACCCCCGGCACCGCGATAGTTCTGCAAAATGAAGTCTTTGCGAATCATTCGAAACCGGTCCCAACAGAAGTTATAAAGTTCGATTGGCTCCGGAACTCGAGGAAACTGAAACCGTGGATCCAGGCCATACTGATCGAGATCCATTATGGCTTGCTCAATATACAGCTGAGTGCGCCGAAGAACACCTGGGGGCCGAATTTCTTCTGGGATATCCAACTTGTGATCAGCCGAACTGCGCTGAAAACGTTTGATAATCATATCACGCTCTCTACCTGGCTGATCAGGGTAACACTTTTCGAAAACACTCAATTCATCTACCCGAATATGCAGCTCTCGTTCTCCTGGGCTGCACATATCAGCACAAAGACCGTCTAGGTTCGTAGCGGCCGATAGTTGAGCCTTCGTGTTTTCGTCCCTGCCCGAGGGAGCATTTGGTGGCATAGGAACAAACGGAGTCTCTTCATCACTTATGCTTGGTACCTTCTTTTTTGGTCGAGCTTGTCGATGCTTTCCATGCTTTTCTTTTGCCGGTTTCACATTCATCACTTTTGTAGCTTCAACAGTATCTTCGCCTGATGGGTACTTATGGCTGTGTCTAGACATGGTCGCTTGCCCACCAAAATGCATTGCATCTTCTTCCGCCACAGTATATCCTTGACCACGTTTTCTGTTACCGGATGGTGTTTTTTTTACTTTTTTCGCGCCACTCACTCGCTCCTCCATCGAAGCCGTCTTATCTGATTTGGAGAATCCTCCCGATATAGCTTCCGAGCCAAATTTCGGGCCAGATTGGCGCCGATCTTCATTGATTGCACCGAATGTGGTGGTAGAAGCAGCGCTCCCACCAAAAGAAGATTTTCGAAGCGCTGCAGAAGCTTTTGCGCTGAAACTGTCCACTGCTTCGCCAAATGTTGTGTGAATGACCGGGACGTTTGTAGTATCGTAACCATCTGCTGCTGCGACAGTAAAAGGGTTGTCCACCGGAGCAACAGATGCCGCATTAGAAGCGATCTGTCTCTTTCGCACTCTAACATCTGATCCTTGGCTTTCAAATGCTGCACCCTGCAACGCTGATGGTGCAGGGGCTGTTGTGTGACTAGATTTACGTCCCTTCGGTTCTTGCACAAACGATTCGTCTTCACGATTGACACGAGGGGCTCCAAAAGCAGTTTGGCCCCTACCAAATCCATTGTCATTTTCACCAAAGGCTGTGCTGTTCTCGCCAAATATTTTTAACACTCCATCGTCACGAAGTCTACTGTTCTGTAAGCTTCTACCAAATTCAGCACTTCGATGCTTGACGTTTGACGCGTATCCAAATGTTGTTTGTGCACCCGTCAACGTGGAAGAAGAAAAAGCATTATTCGGTTCGAATGATGTCGATCCAAAGGTGTTGCTTGAGTTGTTTTGTGCCATGTTTTGGTTTGGCTGTCCAAATGGAATTCCACCCACTGCAGCTGTACTTGATCCTCCTGAAGCCATGAAAGGTGCACTAGCCAGCCGTCCAGACGGACAAGACGGTTGATTTTCAAATCCATTGTTTGATATTTGTAGATCGCCAGCCAAACCACCAGGAGGCAGCGACGACGGTTGATGGGTAACACCAAAACTCTGTCCAAACGTCGTCTTTAGAGCTGAATCGTCGCCATCTCGTGAATGAAACGGGTTTAACGCTATTGATCCTGAACACGCGACGGCAGCGGAGCGATCAATACCTAGAGACGTCTATGGACGCATTAAAAAGCACACAATAGCGAGAGAACTTGCGTCCAGTCTCTCTACTTTTCAATATCCTTCTTCTCTTTTTTTTCACATAGAAAAAGAGAGAGAGTGTGTGTGTGTCTATGTCTCTATCGTAATCATATGTATCTTCTGTACCTTCTGTATCATGTCCAAACGGATGATTCGTCTTCATTTCAAAGCTCTCAAACTCATTATTGGAAGCTAAAGATACAATCATATCGATACATAAGACAGATATAGAGAGAGAGTAAAGCTTGTAATTTCGTAACTAGGAAACTTATGAGAATATAAAAAAGCACAATAGATAGAGAATAGACAGATGTAAACGTACTACTAGAGCTAAACATCGTGATAGTGTCCTATGCGCTACAATCTTGCTTGTTAAGAAACAAACAACTTCGTCCTCCTGCTCTTTTGACTGCTCCTTTGACTGAAACTTGACCCCCCCTTTGAGAAATGGTACATTGTACCATAGTCTAAGATATCGATATAATGTAGACAACGTGAGATCAGGTTAGATTTCCTAGTTTAGGTTATCCAAATACACTTGTGATTGGTTCATACTGATAAGTATAATGAATCCAAATCAAGTGAAACACTGAAGTGCGGGGAACCACCAATTCTTGGCTTACTTAAACCTCGTAGGAGCTCTTTGTTGAGCCACTAAGTTCCAAATTGCCCGCGAGTTTCTGAGTCACTTTGGATCAAAGTATGGACTTGTATGCGATATAATAAGGAGCAGTCATGAATAGCCAAATGGGTGACTCATATATATATATATTCTTTCTTGTGTGTGTGTCTTTCTATAGTTGATTAAAGATGGTGAAACATAACAATGTCATTCCTAATGGCCATTTTCACAAGTATTGGCAGTCTCGTATCAAGACTTGGTTTGATCAGGTAAAGGAGAATTTGAATCGAATTGGATATATAAAGCTAGTCAAGTATGATACAATTGAAGGAATTGCTCTAGTAGCTCTAGTAGAAAGTTGTTTGATCTCTTTTCTAGTCCGTCAATTGCTATTGATGTTAATGATACAAGAAGAAGAAGACGATGGATGGATGAATCAATGGCAGAAAGTATACAGAAATGTCATTCAAGACTAGAAAATGAGAGACGATTGCTCTGCTGTATCATGTAGTAGGAGCAAGTTTGAAGCAATTTGACGGACAGAAAGAGATTAAATGACAGGATGTATCTTGATACTACTCTCTCTGCATCTAGCTATGCAGCTAGCTATCATGGTATTACAATGTATCATACTGATTTGAAGCTTTACGCTTTGTCTATGTTGTTAATCTCTGCTGCAGGCTTCCAAGAAGAAGACGCGTCGTTTGAGACGTAAGGCGAAGGCTGCTGCAATTGCCCCACGTCCTGCTGCTGGTCTATTGCGTCCTGCCGTGCATTGCCCTACGATTAAATACGGCTCGAAGGTTCGTGCGGGTAAAGGCTTTACGCTCGAGGAACTAAAGGAAGCTGGGATTAACCGCAAGATGGCTATTAGCATTGGTATTGCGGTGGATTTCCGTCGTACCAACAAGTCGGTCGAGTCGCTTCAGACCAATGTACACCGTCTTAAGGCGTACAAGGCCAAACTTGTCGTGTTCCCGCGTAAGAGCAACAAGATCAAGAAGGGTGATTCACCAGTGGAAGAGACCAAGAATGCTGTACAGCACACGGGTCCAATTCTTCCAATCAAGCGCTCGAAGATCAAGTCGACTACTGCCGTCATTACACCTGAGATGAAGGAGAAGAGCGTGTTTACGCAACTCCGTGTGGCTCGTGCTGATCAGCGTATTGTCGGTAAGCAGGCGAAGCGTTTGGCTAACAAGAAGGAGGCAAAGAAGTAAGTTGATTCGGGTCTATTCTCTCTCATGATATGCTTTCTTTGGTCTTTGTGATCAAAATGATTGTTGTGAGAAGAGATGGAAAAAAACACTTGGGTCTCAAGTTTTTTTTTTGCGGAAAAATTGGAACATACGAGATTGCGCATTTACATTTGAGTTTACTGTCTTGCATTATCGATTTAACTTGTCTATGGTCATGAAGACAGACCTTTTTATCAACGAGGAGATAGGATTGATCATCATCTGTTGAGATGGCTACGGAATGCAGACCGCTCACTTACCAGACAAATTGATCACCTTTGGTCATTTGACTGTTGTTTTTAGGACACTAATTGTCGCGTGTCAACAGTTTTATTTTGACGGTTTACTTTCTTACGTTTTGATTGGTTAAAAATCATAATACGTTTGATTGATTCGTTAAAATTAATTTCAAAACAAACTCTCGTTCGCTCTTATTGCCTGGTGGAGGAAGCTCTGGTTATCATGGTATATGAGGAGTTTAATATCGATGAGGCTGAGGATTTTAATGATGGTACACGTGCCGTAGTGTATAGAGATAATGCATATGATCCTGATAATGAAGTACAGGATTCTATACGTCTACGGTCGTCTCGTAAGGAGCGATTGCAGGAAGAACAGCGTCAGAAGAATCAATTGCGTGAATATGCATCAGCTTTACGTATAAAGAACTGGGATACGAGTCTATTGGATCATAAGGAATATGCTGGTAAAGTTATGCAACGTAAGGACTTGAATGGTGATGAAGAGTCGCCTGATGAGGACGCAATGGCCGAGTGGTCGGAAGCAGAACCATTTGGAGTATCGGAAGAGGAAGAAGAGGAGGAAGAAGAGGAAGAGGAAGAGGAGGAGGAGGAGGAGGAGGCGAAGAGTAACGAGACGCTTATTCGTAGGTTCCAGAAGGAAGACTCGGCTAGACTCATGGGCGCACAGGACAGTGAGAAAGTGGTGGAAAAGGCCAAGCACGTGAGGAATCAAAAGCTGATCTGGGAGCGATGTCTTGAGATACAGATCTACACGAAACGTCTCTTGATGACAGCAAAGGATGTTGTTGTACATGACACAACGGACGGAGAGATGACAGATGGAGAAAGAGCGACGAACAAGAAGGAGGAAGTTGTGATGGAGTTGTACAAGACGATCGAAGCCGTGTCAGCATTACAGGAAAAGCTTTGCAATGGACCGGAGCTGAGTGCGGTTGATGTACCGCCGAGTAAGAAACGTAAACGGTCGTGTGATGAGCTGTGGCAGGACATTGCAACGAGCAGCAGTGCAATGTTGCCGCAGTACAACGCAATTCTCAACACATACACGCGCAAGACAGACCTGGCAGCGGGTGGCAAGACCAATCAAGCCAAGAAGTTTAAGGTTGTAAATCAAGATATTCTAGCTCAGGTGGAGTCAGTATTGGTGGATCCGCAGCGAGTCAGACGAAAGGCACATGCTCCGTTGGATGTACCGGAAGCTAACGCAGTAGAAGAAGGTGCTGGAGAATTACTGGACGAGCTCATGTACGACGACTCCGACTTTTACCAGCAGCTTTTGAAAGAGTTCATTGAGAGTGGTGGGGGTGGTGCTGGTCAGGACGGTATGGTGCGGCGCACTTACCGCAAGAAAAATAAAATTGTTAACCGTAAGGCAAGCAAGGGCCGCCAATTGCGCTACACGGTGCATCCCAAGCTGGAGAACTTTATGTTCCCAGATCCTTATCCGAAGCCAGAGATGGACGTGACTGAGCTCTTTCGGTCGCTCTTCGGTCAGGTTCGGCAGTAGACAATTGGCAATAACGTGCTGGCTGAAGAATAGATTCATTTGGTCGTAATGTGCTGTTTTGTTTGTAGATTTGGTCAAAGCACAACTTCCTTCCCTTATCCTACGCCAACACTTGGCGCACCATATTGTGTTCATAGGAAGAAGCGCTACTTCCATTAGAGGACATCGTCCTCCTCCTCATCTTCTTCCTTTTCACCTGTTACGTATACCTCCTTTATCTTAGCCAAATTTGCTTCCACCTCATGCAGGCGCAGCTCATTCACCCCCTTAGCACCAATCTTCATTACAATCTTCACCAACGTGATCATCTCTTCAGCGACGTGTATTGCAGTCAACGCTCGAATCTTCTTGGCTCGAGTTGCATTTTCCAAAGACCGAAACTCTTCCTCTGCTATATCCATCGAAGCATCAGCTAACATCGTTGTGGAGTCAATAAGTTCAGTGCCACGCTTTTCAAAACGCTCTGGAATATCAAACTGATGTAGTCTCCGCACCTCTGTCGCGTACAAGCTACTCTTGAATACTTTATGTTTCAGCTTTACCGTATCTTTCAGTAGCTGCGTGAATTTGTCAATCAATTCCGGTTTTCCCTTTGCCATCGCGCGCAAAGTTGCTGGAGCGTTAAGTATTTGTGCGCGCTTTGTAATCAACTGACCAGCATCGCGTTCCAAGAACGAAAGGCCCCATAGTCGCCCGTACGCTTTGCCAGCGTCAAGCCGTTCCTGTTCCGAGAAGCACCAATCTCGTGTCTCCTTGTTTTTGATGAGCAGACGTGACGACCAAGTCTGCACCGAGTCAGTTCCAATCACTAGTCCAAATTCCTCCAACTTAGGGGCAATCGTTTTGTAAAACGAGATCGCCTCCTCATCAGTTGACACCTTTGTTGTTAATAGTTCTGCCACCAGGTGATTTACTTTCTCCCGGTTCTCCACAAGCTTTTTGTTGCTTTCCTTCCGAGCCTTCTTCTCTAGCTGCTCAATCATGCTCATTCCACCAGGGCCCTTCGACTGCTGAGACTCGTCACCAAAGATGTCGTCAATCGCACTTTCTGCAGCAGCAAGCTCTTGAGCCATTTGATCTTCTACTGACCACGGTGGCATGCCGTTTAGTACTGCATCACCACTGCTACCACGACCACGCACACCATTTGCTAGACCTGTGCCATTTGACACTGCACAAGACCACAGTAGATACATCCACACACAACATGTCAGCATAAGACCACACCATCAAACTAATTAGCCATTAGCTCACCTTGCTGAATCATTTGCTGTTGCTGCATGAGAATGCTAAAAAGTTGCTCCATTGAAACAGGTCCGGTAGGGGAGACTGGAGCGTGTACGGGCGGCTGCTATTCATAAATACAATGGACAACGGTCAGTGAGTCAAATTTGAGCCCCAACAGGTCGGCATACAACTTACACCAGGATCGCTAGGTGACACCTCATCTGGATAATCAAGCATGTCAGGTTCTACCTTCTCTGCTTTCAGCTTGAGCTTGATCTGCTCATCAGGCATTCCCATTTTCTGCAGCTTAAAATACTTGGTGTACTTTGGGTCGTCTTTAACATAAAGTGGCTCGTAGGAAACAACAGCAGCAGGCATTGAAGGCCAGCTAAAATTCTCGTAGATTGAAGATGGAAATGTTTTTCCATTTGATGGATACCCTGTCGAAATTTGCAGCGGCGGCTTTATCATTTCAATGTCAACACATATTAGACAACGTCCATAAAGCTAGCAACAACAACACAACTTACACCAGGATCATTCGGCGACACACTGCTAGGCTTGTCCAACAATGTAGGGTCTACACCATCACTTTCCATTTTCATCCTAATCTGATCAATGGACATTTCCATGTCCTTCAACTTGAAGTATTTCTTGAACGCTGGATCATTCGCTACAGTCATTGGAATGTACGCACCGTTCTCCGGCTACAAACAATCAAGTTTAGGTAAATCAAACCAATAGTACATCTAGACAATAACAAGAAATTATAACGACATGCAGTCGTGTACGTACTCCAGGATCATTAGGAGACACTGCATCAGGCGTGTCCAGCAGACCCGGATTAACTCCTTCTGCCTTCATTTTAATCTTGATCTGGTCAATTGGCATGTTCATTCCTTTTAAGTGAAAGTATTTCTTAAACATTCGATCATCCTTCACCAACAATGGCGTGTAAACAACAGTAGCCATTGTCATCAAATTAGTTGTCCGTGACGCAAAAGCTACGGACTGTGTCTTCTGCTCTAGCTCATTTAGCTTCTTTTGTAGTGCTTTAATCTCTTGTAAACTTGCGCCTGATGCTCCACGTTCTCGAGTTCCAAGTCGATTTTTTTTATCCGCCATGAGCTGAGAAATCTGATTCTGTAACTTGTCAAGAGATGAATTTGTAGTTACAATATCTGCTTTTGTTGCTAAATGTAGCAATTTCTCCAGTTCAACAGGTGAAAGACCACGGATCGCAATATCGCCAGCTCCAGCTTTAGCTCTCCCGTGATGCCTTGAGCTTAATGTGTGGACCACATTTTTATTCTCTAACTCGTCGTCGTTCTCGTGCGTATCATCATTTGAATCCGAGTCTGAGTCTGAGTCCGAATCAGATTCGTCATCCTTTGCTCCTTCTCTTTCAATTCTCATCTGAAGACAAAGATTACGATGTATACGAGCATGTTTTCTCTTGCAGATCTGTAATCAAATAATTGATATCTCTAAATTAGTCATCGAAAATGGATAATATCTCGTCTTTTTGCTTAAATTTTTCTCTAAACAACAAAAAACATACTTCATTACAATAAATTGCCTGGTGACACATTGTACACGCCACAAGTGCATTGCTCATTTCACAATACGCACAATCCTCATCGTAATAAGCTGAGCAGTTCATTTTCATACTGCTTGTAAGGCGAATCATCAGCTCATCGTCGCTCTCAGTGTCGGTCATTATTTACGTTAGAGAACAAAGGTTGAACAAAGGTACGTTAGGTACTTTAGAGAACAAAGGTACTTTAGGTTGGATTATTTTTTATCAGTATTAAAGAGAAATTGGAGAATGTTCTTTTTCTTTTCATGTTGAGTTCCACGAAATAGACCAGAAACAGGTTGATGCGTACATAAACACAGATGGTTTCACCTGATGTTGTGTGACTATTGATGGAAAATGTCGTGGAAACAGACTGTTGCAACTCCAATTCTCTAACGCGTGACTCAATGATATCCAGCTTTTAAAATCATTTATCTAAAACTTGGATAGAAAATCTGAGACTATATTTGAATTACACAATTACATATAGTGCTCTAGAGTGACTAAAATGAAAGCGATATATATGAGTTATATAATGGCCATTTGTATGATGTAATCATTTACAAAAAAAGGGAAGATATTCGCTTCAAATAAATAGCTAGTGACCTTCATTCTTGCTCTTCAACTAAACTTGACTGGACCACTGTAGCTTCCTATAGATACTATCGATCTGAATCCTGCATGTCGTCATCTTCCACCTACTCATGATAAGTAACGTAATTGCATCCTCGCTACTGACTTGTCACTCTCGTTGATATGATTCAGTTTGTGTTCCGACTTGACTTGTTCACTTGAAATCAGGCCTGAGAAACAATGAAAGAGCTCACAGATTGTAAAATGACCATTGGCTTCGGCAATCATCATTGCATCACTGTCATTCTTTGTGCGCTTCTTAGGGTCAGCATCGTGGTGTAATAAGTACTCAGAAATGGCCAAGGAACCCAATTTAGCTGCAAAGTGTAGTGGTGTAATGCCACTAGCAGTTGTGACGTTCACGTTCGCACCTTTCTCGACGAGAATGGAGACAATCTCAATGTTTTGCGAGACAATCGCAGCGTGCAGAGGATACGTGCCACGTTTGCTGCAGACTGATACTTCAGCACCAGCATCAAGCAACAACTTGACGACGTCTACACACCCGTTGCGACACGCTGCAATAAGTGGCGTGACTCCGGCATTATTTGGTTTGTTCACTTCCGCGCCTTCTTCAATCAAGAGCGCTACAATTTCAATCCGTCCCATCCGGGCTGCTATATGCAGGCACGACGAACCGTCTGCCAGGGCTGTATTTGCGTCAGCGTAGCTAAACAAAATGAGCTGCACAGCGTACAAGTGGCCAATACGGCACGCCATGTACAGACAAATTTCCCAGCGACGAGTCTGAGTGAGCTCGGGTGAGTGAAGTTCGTCAATCTCACATGCAAACTGGCTCAGTACATGCTCACAGAACTCCTCCATGAACGAGTGCATGGTGTGAACACGCACAGTTTTAACCTGCAAAGACGGAAGTGGCAAGCGCTTAGGTTCTTCCTTGTCCCATCCAAATCGAATAGAGAATGAATCGTTGGCATTCCGAGGCTCAATTGTGCATGTAGAGGCAAGACGCATTTCGCTCAGCTCATGCACAGTGTCATCCATGAGTTCTGTGCCATCTTCTTCCTCATCTTGTCCCAGGATCTGCTCAGCACATTGTTGTCTCCATCCACTCAAAGCTAAAGGACGATGCAGCTCAGCCGACTCGTCGGTTGAAAAGTGCTCAGCAGCGCCTAAGAAGTTCACATATGTCTTGAGCACTGTACAGTTGCCTTCCTGTAGTTTCTGATGCAGTGTCACACTAGCAAAAGTGCTAAAGAATTGTTGTAAAAGCGCAATGAAGGATGCAAGGGCATTGCGACGTGCGTTGATGACGATATGGTCGAAACCTGTCAGTTTGGATCGGAGCGACTGACGCGCCGGGAACGGGAATGACAGCAACATCGAATGCAGTGCATCAAACTCGCAATGGTCTTCAGCACAACGACATTTGTGTGACAAGTTGACTAGCAGTTGATGACGATGTCGTGTAGTTTTGAGAGGTTCATTCAGACGTTCACGAAGCGTTTTCCAGAGGTGTCGGAATTGTGAATACGACCTCAACGCTGTACAAACCTCATTATGTAATGAAGTGGTCGACGTCATGGCACAGGTACTTTTCTTGTTTTTAGTGAGCTTGATCACAAACAAGATCTTGCAGCCAGTGACTTGGTAGCATGGTACAGTCACGTCGTACTTGTTAATCCAATTCATTGATCGACTTGATCAAATTGGTCCAAAGATAAAATGAAGCTCAATTGCTCAATGCTGTTTGTTTTGTGTGATCGTCTGTGATGCCACCACAAGGCAAAAATCTTCTTGTTAACGATAAATTTCACAAGATTACGCGAATCCTCTTCTGCGTTAGCAAGATGGAGATTGGTGCTTTAAGTATTCTGAACAAATGTAACGTGAACTTTATGTCGGACCAAACACTAGGCGCATTTTTAACTAGCCATTCCTTTGTTTTGACCAATTAATGTACGGTCCCTCCTTTGTGTGAGAAAAAAATACTTACGTATAGCACCGGCTTTGTTCCGCAAATGTCTGGCTCAGACTTGTCGACCGGGCACAAAACCGTTTCAAAGGATCTGTCCAAGACTTGGCATTGCATCCTGTACGTGAGACTGGTATGAAGCAAACGTTTGCAATATGCGACGGAGTTGCTGCATATGTAGTCAACACTTTATCTTTTATCTTTTGTTTGCAGCATATCCTAAAGCTTACCACGATCTCTTCGGTCTTGATTGTTGCTGAGGTTTGGCATCACACTTCTCTATAAGGAACGCATACTTGAAGAAAGGCGGAACTTGTTACTAATGTTAAGAAACCGCTTTGCCCTTTTTATTCCTGCAACGTAAGAAGCGACATATCGCAATCTAAATCGTAAGATTGTCACAAATTGAGACTTTAGATTGTGTCACCATTTAAATGGGACAATCAATAATGAATAAAGCTGAATTACTCAGAACTAGTGTGTATCAAGAGCATTCTGCTACAATTCGAGCAAGTCAAACTGGGTTCTAACTCGATGCTGGTACTGTAAACGTGACGACAACTAGAGCACTATGCTACATTTAAGTAGCGTGGTGCTCAATTTGTCCATTTGTGTCAACGAGTGGAATTTTAACCAAATCCTTTAACAGCTTCGTGCTCGCGTCGTGGTTTATTTGTCTATGTTTCCATCAGTACTATAAAAGTCCAGGTCTCTTCCACCGAGAAGAAAGCTTGAATGCAAACACTTGGCTGACGTGCCGCAAATTAGTCTCAAGCACGTCAGCCAAGTGTTTGTATCAAGCTCACACCACCAGCATCGAGCGAGAACCGAGGAGAAAGCTTGATACACACTAGTTCTGAGTACCTCAACTTCATTGAATATTTTCATATCTTCATCGAGCTGATCCTGAGCACTATCAGACCGGCCTCTTGACACCTTAATATCAACTCTAACGATCATGGTCTCTCGGTATCGATGTCCACTTCATGACCATGACTTTACTCTTTCAAAATTCCATGTTTCGGCACAGATCAGACAGTGAAAGCAAGCACTATAAGAGATGCTGGTCCTCTTTTCAAATAAAAACACATACATACGCTCGTGCAGATGGTCATTTACAGTAGACTTGCTTCAATCGGCCTCTTCTGGTACTTCAACGATTGGTAGTATCATGCTGCCGACACTGCGCCCCTTAATCTACTCGTTGTAGTGATGCTGGAACGACACAATCCAATGACGTACCCTATAAGGAACGAACACACATCATAGAGCATCATCAGTCTAGCGTAATTAAGTAAGTGTGCGTTCTTCAACAATGGCGTGCTCTCGTGGCTGCGTTTGTCTTTCCAGCATGATACCACTGCATACTTGTAGCAAGAGAGCAAAGCTTTTGCCGTGAAGGTTTATCAGCACCAAGACTGCTACAGTTCGTCGTTAGGCTACTTGAAAGCATACACTGGAATACTGATGATCGAAGAGCACTGCTGTACGCTACAGTTTTTCCACAGGCTGTCGAAAGTCAGACGAGCCCATCAGATCAAGTTGTTGCCAAGAAGATATTGTTTTTCTCAAGCTACTAAAGCTACGGTTGATCAGCTAGAATTTACGACGCGAGCGAAGACTTGTCAACTGTAGCATCGTTTAGACGCCGAAAACGCTGCTGATAACTCTCGGTAAGAAAATGATCAGTATTCCGCGTCGCGATCTTGTGCTACCGCTTGCATTTTGTATGCTTGTAGTCCGGTTGAGACAGCAGACCACACACTGCACTTGTGCGTACAGCGGCGATCGTTTCATCGCCTGAGGCTTAGTCGTACCAGCTGCTATTAGCACCGCAACTTCACCGCAATGACTCAAGCAGGCTCTCGTCCTGACGAAAGATATACACCCGGCTGGTAGTTAAACAGCAATGAAGTTCAACGTCGCGTCAAAACCAGCTCCAGAAAAGGCCCAAGCCTCAAAAAGTCAAGTTCTGTCAGGCATCACCGTGTCCTGCGGGTCGTACTCACGGAACGACAACTGCGCGCCTTGCTCTACTTGGTGGATGTCGATTTAAAAGCTTAAGTAGTATTTCGGTGGTGCTGACAACATATACTTTCCTCTTGAATCGTCAGCAGCGCAACTTGTCCTCCTGGCTACTGCGCTCCCGATATCAGGTCACTACCAAACATACTTCACAGGTAGTTTGCGTCCCTCACAATTTCTTCTCACCTTTCACAGTGTTCGACAAGAACGCTAGAGGTGACTGCTAACTTGTAATACGACACATTCTTTGCCACTTCTACCACGGCTTTCAGTACTTAAAAGCTCTTGTATGTGTGTTCCTGTGGTTTCATGCGCCACTTCGTATATTGCTGCAGCTCCTGGAGAAAAGCTTCGGATGGCAGCTGCATTGGCCTAGGCATTTCAGCAAGATCAAACTCGGACAACTCTCCGATGTAAAACTGCTTGAGATAACGAAATGACTGCCGACTCGCATGGTATGTCTCAAACATAATCGTCGAATCTACGTTCATGGCTTCCTGAGCAATCAACTCCGAGCCGCCTGGATGTTCTGGAATCCAGCGCGTAATATCCAGCACCATTCCTTGCATAACAAGCCATACCTCGCCCGATTGATTGCGACGGACGACCTCTTCCCAGCGAATAGCTTCGGTGTGTACTCGTGTCTTAAACTCGCCAAAACGTCTCTGACAAACTTCCTGTAGACCAATGCAGCCCACCGTGATAGCTGCAGCTAAGAGATCTTCCGTAAATGAAGGATCGAATTGAAACTCAGTGCCATCGTTGCGGGCTTCGTGTTCTAAATACAAAAGTACTCGATCGAACGTGCAACAATCTACGTCCACATTAATAGTGGTCGATGCATCTTTGTGGACACCCTTGCCTGAAAGAACAGCTGATGACAGTTTAATGCACGGGAAAAGCAGTTTCTTTTTGACTGGAAACTCCTCCTCGTCATTTGTCAGTACCGTGACAACATCCGAGCTCATTGGCGACAGACCCGCAGAGTCCATTGCTGCAGCACCAAGCAGCTGAAACACTGGGGATTGACCTCTCTCTGAAGATACAAACACCTGTACATCTTCATCCACACGACCACGATATGAATCCGGCATGGTAAATTCCGTCTCGTTCTCATCCTCCGCATTGATTTCAAGCACACGAATAAAATAGCAATTGCCATCTTTATACGGCATTACAAGTCGTTCATGCTCCGTGAGAACACGTTGCCACGTATATTTGGCAAATGCCGTGGCAAACTCCTTGGCATCCGTCACGATCGGTGCACCAGGTTGTTGCATAGTTGTCAAGGTCCCAGTCGCAGTCAAACTCTCGTCATTGTGCTCCTCTTCCATCATTATTTCCTTCAACAATGGACGTATCTCAATCGACAATGCATTAATAATCGGCACACGCTCTGTGAAAAGCGTCCAGGTCTCCGTCTGGAACCTGCAAAGCTCGAGATTAATCAATTGTGGCTCTGACAAGGCGATAGAACCTCGAGGAACGGCCACATGCTGACGAACAGCTACAACAAATTGTGCATGCAGTCGTGGATACACTACAACTGCTCCATCTCGTCCTGTAGCTTCAGTTGGAAAATCATCTGGATGTAACAGAGCACAGTGACGCAACGTTATAAGTTCGTCATGAGGGAGCAATAGCTCATTTAACTCTTCCACACACAGAGAACGCTTCCATACAGCATTTGTATTACTGCATCCTTGCTGCTGTTTGAGACGAAGTACTGCTGCCATCGCAGGCGCACGGATGTCACCTGCGGGATTATTGTTCGCGTTCCACGGCATCAGTTAGTTGTGAGAAAAATGTTGAATTTTTGAATTTAGTGCTCGACTTGGGTGATTGCAAGATTTGGATACTACAATGAAAAACCCAGCAGTTTTTTCCAACGACCCAGATTGAAAAGTATACCTCTGACAAAGCACCGGAATTTGTGTATACTACTTACAAGCAGACACGTGCGAGGATAACTGTCGTCACAACGCACCCATGAGCAAGTTTTATCACTAAGTCGACTGCTTTTTCGATTTTCTGGCAGAATGTTCGACGTATCAAGCAGCCAGAGAGAAAACATGGCTCTAACATTCGTCCATACAGATGGCGTCTCGTTCTAGCGCAACCATGGCGAGACATACGTTGCATTAATATCAAAAGACCTTCACAACTCTGTGTAACTATTTGTCTTCATGCTCTGACGATATCTATCTCTTTTTATTTGATTACATCAAATGCTTACTTCACTCTGACTAGGGCCTAAGTGCATAGCATCTTTTGTGTTTCTTTTGTAATCTAAAATGGGTCTGCCACGGTTTACTACGTTTATATGAGCGCGTCCTAGACTTCAATGGTATTCACTTTGACTATGCACACGTTCGTCCATAAATTTATAATCAGGTGCTTATCTGTATGACGATAACCGTAGTGTTGCGCTTTGTTTCTTATTAACGATATGATAAACTAAAGGTCTTAGTAGGGCCTAATGTTCTAACCGAAACCATTTCAGTTAAGGTTCCAACCTGGTGTAATCACAAGTACTGACGCACCGTTCGTATTGATAAGTCACCGCAGTATCGGTCTGGATACCCAGCAGACGGTCGCTACATTTGTTTACGCACTGTTTGTGATCAGCATCCGAAATTCAACTTACACTGTTGCAGTTGAAGTTGTGCTACAATTGATTATGATCGTATCAATTTTAACAGGGTATATACGTGCGACAGACCACATATTTCGATCATCATAACCAGATTTACCAAACTTTAAACTTGTATCCAAATGCTTTGTCACAAAGTCGTCACTTCGTTCATATCCCGTATACAACACCGTGGAATCTCTAGCTCCTCCTGTCGTCAATGGAGTCAAGTACGTCCTCATTTCCATGCGGGAGACCAGCGAAATGTCATGCTACGTCTTCCGCAGACTGTATCGGTCATTGGGGCTCCCATGACGTGTACGTGCTTTTCGGATCTTGTGTTGCGATCGTATATCTTTATTGCGAATTTACCTGCATTCTTGCTCTCATTCTGTAGATGGTCAGCCTTTGTTGGGCACGGACGATGGTCCTGATCTACTACGGGAAGCGGGACTACACAAGACCCTCGTGAAGCTGGGCTGGTCCGTCGAAGAAACCGGCAATCTCCATTTTGTCGAGCCGTCTCCAAACGATCCAGTGCTGGACCCGCGCTACGGCAAAGCTAAGCAGTGTTTTCCTGGTTAGTAGTCGAGAGGATGCTGCTTTCATCTTTTCCTCACGAGGTAGTTGAGGACTAACATACGATTTTGTGCACCAGTTGGCAACGGAACAAAGCAATTGTACGAAATCTTCAAGCAAAAAGCGGGAGAGGGCAAGTTCTGCTTGGTGCTGGGAGGTGATCATACGATTGGAGCAGGATCGCTTGCGGGTCTCCTTTCGGTGTATCCGGATGCCGGTGTAATTTGGGTGGACGCACATGCTGACATCAATACACCTACGGGCTCGGACTCCGGAAATATGCACGGCATGCCCATTTCTTTCCTTATGAAAGGTATGATGGACAGCTCCAAGATCCCAGGCTTTGAATGGCTTGTGAATGGCCCTAGGATGAAACCAGAGCAACTCGTGTATGTTGGCCTGCGTGATATCGACGAGTTTGAGCGTCGCGTTATTCGTGAGAAAGGAATCAAGGCGTTTACCATGCAGGACGTGGATCGCTATGGTATTGGCAAGACCATGGAAATGGCACTGGACCATCTCAATGGCAAGAAGCAGCGGCCGCTACATGTGAGTTACGACATCGACGCAGTAGACCCACTGGTGGCACCTTCTACGGGCACACGCGTACGCGGTGGACTGACGTGGCGCGAAGCGCATTATGTTGCGGAAGCTGTGGCGGAGACCAATGTGATGGTTGGACTGGACATGGTCGAAGTAAACCCAAAACTGGCACCGGGTGACGGTGCCCAGATGACAGTGGACATGGCATTGATGCTCATTTCGTCGGCGATGGGCAACCGCATCTTGTAGGTTGTCACAATGTTTTTTTCAATTTTTCTTCATGTGCATCCGGTAAGGAGCTTGCACCGCTGCGGGCATGTATAAACACATTGTAATGAGCACACAACAACTGAAAGTTGTGCTTGCCTCTTCATACGGCCATTTGAATGTTTTGTTTCCTATAGCTAGTAACAACATTGGTTGCTACCTCACTGCTTCTTTTTTTTCTTGTTACCGTCATGAAGTTTTGCTTCGTTCATAAACCCATTTTCTTCTAGTACCAGTCGCGCGCATGCATTAATGTGTTTGAAACGATCTGGACCAAGCTTGATACCACCGTACCATCGCGTCACCACAACAGCCACATTCTCGACTTTGAGCAGCTCTAACAGGTTTGATAGTTTACTTCCAGCTCCGTGTTCTCCGTCTTCGTCATTATCCTTGACAATACATTCACCAGTAATTCGATACGCCAACATGTTGTGGATTGCTCGCTCGATTTTATGATCATCAAGCAACAAAGCGAGAAACGAGCGCACATCTTCAACACATTTGACAGGGCACGCGTGTCCGATAAAAGTGCTCTTGCGGTCAACAATCGGTGTTTTACCATGTACGATCAGTGGTGCAATCACTGCTTCACGTTTCACATCACGCACTAATTGTGCTGTTCGAACACGAGGACGTAGTGTTTGTGAATCCAATTCAAACGACTTGATAATGATATGATCAGCAAGTTTCTCTTTATCATTGTCATGATCATCATCACCATCTTCTAGAGTACCATCCTGTTCATTAGCATTGATATATTTCTCCCTCACACCTTCAATCCATTCATAAAGACAAACTTGACCACCTGATCGTTCAAAAATTACCGTCTATTGCATGAAAAGTTAGTCACACAAGAATACACAACAACCACCACATACTGAAGTGGTAGACTGTAGCAGTAGACTTAGTAATACCAGTTTCTTCAAGATTTCGTCTCGTTGAGCATTCGTAAGTCCAAAAGACTCGTATACTTCAGCAATTGGGGCATCAGTGGATGGATATCCTTGAGGTAGATGCACTAAGAGGACAATCAAATGTGGACCAGGTATTGAGATCGTTACAGATCTCTTTCGATTGTATTGATCCAAGTCACTTTGGACCTTCATCTTGTCTTCATAAATAGACTGGACATAACAATACGTCTAGTGAATAGATCGATACATCCTCTAAATATCTTACCAATTGTATTAAAATACCTGTAAAACTTCAATTTCCTCGCTCTTTTGTTGAGTAATAGGTACATTCAATACACATTTACACGTTATTGAAGTTACAAATGAATGCGTGTCATTCATGCTCTGAGACAGACAGCGCGTCATACCTGCAGCTCGGCGTTGGTTTCCATGGCGAGTTACAGCACTAATGTTTTTGTTCAATCAGATTATTTCATGTGTGCATTTTACCCAATCATCGATTATTGCAATACCCTTCAGCCGATGGAAACAACGCGCAACACCAATCCGTTTTCCCGTGGTATCCAGAGGAAACGAAGGAAACAAATAAAGACAAAGAGCAAGGAAAATGGTCACTGGGAACGTTGTATGTTTAAAGTAGTGCGCAAGAATCGATACTGTAATATTTCCAGGTATAAACAAATTGTATAGAATCTGATGTATTGATATGATTGCACACTTTCTGATACGATACATGTGTTAGAGTACCAGGCTCGCTGTTCTGTGGCAATCATTTACCTGATAATAATACAGTTATGAGTCAAAAGTCGCAAAAGTTTAAGGTTGCAACAAGACGTCGAGTACCGTGTCCTGTGGATGGGTCCCATACTGTTTACGAGTACGATCTGGCCAAGCATGTACTCGTCTGTAATCGAGTCAAGGATGCCAATATCATGAAGAGATTGCCATACTATAGTCACAATATCAATTCTGGTACTCATTGTGCAAGTGGAGAAGATTGTAATGTGGGAGTGAATGGTGCAATGGAACACGAGAGGGTTACTGAAAATGAGGGAGAGAACGAGCATTTGGTACCATCAGTACAGGAACAACAAAGCATTATTGACAAGTTACTTGCTATTGACTTTTCAGACTTACGTAGACGTATTGAAACGGTGTACGAGTCTTATGTTGGTGAACTAGCGTTGGAGAAGCTTCATCATAAGTGCTGCGACCAACTTTTGGAAAAAAAGAAGAAGGCAGGTGCATCGAGGAGCTTGTTGCGACATATTGAACAGCAGACATCAATTATTGGGCACATGGAGAAAGTAAACCTGCTGCAAAACTCAAATGCAGCGTTTGTGGAGCTTGGTGCTGGAAGAGGAATGCTGTCATTAGCCCTGGCTCATATCTTCCCGGCAAGTCTGTACGTGTTGATTGATCGAGCGCATACGCGAGGCAAAGCTGATAGATTTATTGGCGGTGACAGCAATAGTGAGGAAGTTGCACAGGTAAACTCTACTACACTGCGTGCAAAGATTGATATTCGCCACCTGAACTTTGCTGGTATGGCAGAAATTCTGAACAAACCCATCGTGTGTATGTCCAAACATCTGTGCGGGGTAGCCACTGACTTATCTCTACGGGCTATCACACAAACAATTCCTGAGACGAACAATGCCAAAGTTCCTGCAACTGAAAGCAAACTTACTTCAGTCAGCTCTAGCTTCCAGGGGTTGGCGATTGCACTTTGCTGTCATCATGTCTGTGCGTGGGAAGACTACGTGAACCCGGCGTTTTTTCTCGCTCACGGGTTTAAGGCTGACGAGTTTGAACTGCTTACGAGCATGACGTCTTGGAGCACCTGCGGCATGGGTCTCAAAGGTGATGCAGTCGAGCACATTCTTGGCATCAGGTTTGTGATGACATGTGATCGATTGAACGTACAGTAAGTGTCTAGGTGTTTTCTAACCGATTTATGCGTTCTTTGTCAATGTTATATTTCAGCAAAGACGATCGTGCAATTTTGGGACGAAAATGCAAGCGCATTATAGATGCCGGACGTGCGGCATTTTTGGAGCATTTCCACATGAAGACGCGTCTTGTTTACTACTGTGACACTGACGACAGTCTCGAAAATTGCTTGCTGCTAGCATGGCGATAAGGCAACATGCAAAATGAACAGTGGCTTCCAAGACAAAGGCACCCGTCCTAAGTGCCTACGATAACATGTCACGTCAATATGATGCAACGCAAAGCAGAAGCACTACATGCTCGGATTAAGGTTAATGGGAATCGGACTACGAGCAAACTTCTTGTTGCGCGAGCCCTCAATGCGCGGGTGCATTGGTGGTCGAGTTGCTCCTCTGCTCCCACCTCCAAAATCTGTTACATCTCCAAGACGAGGTGTGTGTGGCGTTTTCTGCAACAACAAAACCACACCAAATCATCATTAGTCGTAAATCATTCAGCGTGCCGTCGTCTCGGTTGGAAACAAACGTCGCACCTGGTCCTGCCGGTGAATCTCTTTCGTGATCAATTGGTACTGGAGCGGTGGAAGACGCACACCGTACTCGTTTGAGATGGGCGGCAGAGGAATACTGTTGCGCTTGTCTGCTAGCTCCATCATTAGCTACAAAATTATCATCAACTACATTAGAACATCTCAAGAGCCAGCAGCTTTTGCACAAAAACCTGATCAACATCGTCACTCACGTCCCGAGACGGCACTTGAGCGTAGTGGTGGTTCATTCTTGACGCAATAGCCAGTCGAATATCGTCGGGGTCAATCATCTGCGCCCATAGAAATTGAGCAACGTTACGTCTTCTTCCTAGTATTGATTGTGTGTTGGTTCTACCTGCTTGTCCGCATACATGGAATATTCCTGAGCATCCACTAGAATTTCTGTCGCATATCCTGCATCACGCCATCATCATTATAGCACATTTAACGTCGTCTTAGCTAGAAATATCAGTAAGAAAAAGCATAAATCACTTATTCACATACGGTGCACGAACTCCTGCAGCTGTGCCACGACACGTGGCTCATATTTGTCAGCTCCCATGGATTGTAGAATCTTCTTCATACACATCACATCTAGTGGTTGAAGATTTGCTCCGTCATTGCGTTCGTAAGCGTCGCCTTCGTCTTCATGAAGACGTTTATTGCCCTTGATACTGTCGCTGCCCATTTTTGTCAAATATGGGAAAACCACAAAACTGATACAATGTACCTATATCAAAGATGAATTATACGAATTTGGATTACTACACAGAGATGGCTACATATACGACTGTAGTCATTAGGGTTACGGACGTGATAAATTTATAAAGGCTAGGTATGTTGCTCAAGTGCTGTCATCATATTTTCCTATACCGGTATTAGCTCATGGTCAGTAGTTATTTATCCGACGGCGGATTTGTTACTTCCAATCAACATTTGCTTTGTCCTCCAATCATCCTGTGAAAACCGATGTACTTGTTTTCTGTATAGTATAGATTATCCCATATATATGGTTCCTTTGGAGTCGATAATTTGAATAAAAAGATATCAACGATGGCGTCGGAAGATACGGAGAAGAAGCTGGACATGTCGTTGGATGAGATCGTGCAGGAGCGGAAGACGGACGTAGCTACAACTGTAGCTACAAATGCTAATGACAAGGCAAAGAGCACGTGGGTGTAAAGGATGACGTGGCTCTGTAGGGCGGCGAGGGGTGGAGACTGATGGGTGGATCTGCGGTGTTGAGCAGGAAACGTGCTGAGCGTATTGTGCAGTCAAGTCCGTATGAAGCCAGAAATGATGATGTATATCAAGGTACAGAGGGAGAGGGAGAGAGAGATAAGATAGGGGAGAGACTGTAGATGTTTTTGGATTGGTACTGAGAGCGAAGTGAGTGTTTGTACAGAAGAAGATCAAGACGTGGAAATGGAGCAGTCAAAGCCTTTAGGATGCCGCGTATACGTGGGGAACTTATCTTGGAGCATTAAGAAGCAGGATCTCAAGGATCATATGGAGGCAGCGGGGCCTGTGGAACTTGCCACGGTGCTAGAATGGAACGGCCGCTCAAAGGTGTGTGTGTCTGCGGACGTCCTGCTGGTAACAAGAGGAATACTACAAACTAAGAGAGTTTTGCTATCCTTTTGTAGGGGTGTGGCGTCGTCACGTACGAGACAGAGGAGGCGGCGCAGAACGCGATCGCTACGCTCAATGACACGGAGTTGGGTGGACGCAAGATCTTTGTTCGTGAAGATCGTGAGTCGCAGGCCACATCTGCGGCAAAGCCAAAGCGTGGCTTCCGAGTCTATGTCGGCAACTTGTCGTGGAATGTCAAGTGGCAGGAACTTAAGGACCACATGAAGAAGGCAGGCACAGTGGTGCATGCCGATGGTAAGGATGCTACACCGGTGTGATGTAATTGGTTGCGTTGATGATTGGCTAATGTTTTGTTTCTTTGCTGCTTGGTCAGTGTTGGAGGAGACTAATGGCCGATCCAAGGGATGTGGTCTCGTGGAGTATGCCTCACAAGAGGAGGCCGCAAAAGCTATTGCGGAGCTCAACAACACCGAGCTGGAAGGCCGACTCATCTTTGTCCGCGAGGACAGGGAACCCGAGGGTGGCAGCATCTCAAAGTTTGCTAAGCGTGTTTCGGCTCCGCGCGGTGGTGGTGAAGGCCGCCAGCTCTACGTTGGAAACGTAAGTTCATGTCGCTTTCACACGTAGTTTTCTTGCGATGGAGATTGTTCTTATTTCTGGTTGTTTTTGCAGCTCCCGTGGGACACTAATTGGCAGCAGCTAAAAGACATGTTCCGGACTGTGGGTGAAGTGGAACGTGCCGACATTGCAGAGCACTCGGATGGTCGCTCTCGTGGCTTTGGTATCATTCGCTACGTGAACGCAACAGATGCGTTGCAAGCGATCGGTTAGTAAATCTTGTTCTAATTGTATGCTGTTGTGTGATCTTTGTTCTAACGTGCAATCCTGACTATCGTACCACAGAGCGCTTGAACGGTTTGGAAGTAGAAGGCCGGACGATTGAGGTGCGCCTTGACAAGAGAGAGTAAACAGCCTATTACAAGTGCTGCAGCGAGCCTATATGGAATAGGAGTTGTGCACAATAAATAGGCTTGTCATGCTAGAAGTAAAGTTAACTTCGACAACATACTCCAATGCCACAAAGCCATGCACGCGTGTTGATACGAATTATTAACGTGAAACGCTAAGTCTTGCTTCAAACTTTGTAAGATTCCGAAACGCTCATGCTGTACTAAACATAGCTGAGTAACCACATTGCTGCTACAGCTATAACGACTCTTTGTGGTATCACAAGATCACTAAACTTCAAAGCCTGCGAAACACAGCAACCTCCAAGCAACGCCGGTAAACCCTTCAACAATAACACCTTATAAAATCCACTACGTACATAAGCAAATACTGGTTGACGGTATTTCTCTGTTCTCGACGGCAATAGCGCATAAATCTTCTTAACCTAAGGTCTTGAATGTCGAAAATGTACATTATTGCTAACCTTACAAACATGCAATTACAAACACTACAATACGCAGTCATTATGAACGCAGTGTCGTGATGGTTGTAAATTGTTTACAACACTTGCAATCATTACTCTACTGTCTACTCTTTGCTGGCAGTCAACAACTGGCGTTTGCATACAGTTTGTTTGCCTGTGACATTCACACCTTGTACAGATTCCGTGACCTTATGACTCCATAATAAAACAGTGTCATCTCTTCAGCCAGCCTGTATGTCCAAACCACACCTATAGCTGTCGCCAGTGTTTGTAAAGCTTACCAACCATATCATCATGACAAGAAACAAGAATAGCAGACTGCATTTTTGTATTGATACCACATTGTGATACTAAAAATCCGAAGAAAGTTCTTGACATCAGTGTCAATTGAATCTTTACGTTCTTTCTATCAGTCTCATCTGATCTCGAATGTCTTTCTATTAATATATCGTCTATTTCTATTAAGATAATTAAACACATGACACGGCAATTGACTCAAAACCCCTTTAAAGCATAAAGCGTAAACATGATCATCAACAACTGTGTTAGTTGTGTCTGTGCGTTGTGATTGGTAAAAAAGGCATCATGTAGTCAGACTTGCGGTGCTTGTCATTCTATCGCGGGAAAGTGTGACTAATGTCCCACCTAATCGGACTCATAAGAAGTATTAAGACAAACCAATACTACTAACAATACTAGCAAGTTGGTCAATGGTGGTGCCTTTGCATAAGCGTAGTCTACGCTATGCATGGAAACCATACCTTCAATTACGTCTACGTGCAGTATTAGGAACTGGAGCAGCTCTTATGCTCTTGTTTCTAGTGTTTTCTCGTCTGTCTCTCGAAATTCCAACGCCATCTCTTGTGGTCATACGTGAACCTTCCGATGTCGTCCAGACGCAGCCCACGGACGTCACAGCACCAATTAAAGATGACGAAGGCATTAACATGGATGTAAAGGAAAAAATAGAAGCTGATGTGGAGTCTGTAGACTCTTTATCAACACTAGAGAATGTGACGCAAGTGCCGCTAGTGCTACGACTATTGCTGCCTCTTATCGCTGGCTTCTGCTTCGGTTTCTTGGGTTCAGTGCCTATTGCTGGACCTACATCGGCTATGGTACTGAGACTTGGTATTCAAGGAAAATACACAGCGGGATTGACGATTGCAGTTGGCGGAGCAATATCGGAAGGGGTAAGAGAACCAACACATGCGTTGCTAGCGAATGTATTGTTGACTTGAACCATATTTTGATGCTTATTTGTTGTGTTCGTAGACGTATGCTGGTATTGCATTTTGGGGTTTTGGAAGCTTCTTGGCTGGGTTCAAGTCTTTATTGCCAGTGTCCAAGTACGTGGCTTGAGACTGTGAGTATGTTTATGAATGAGTCAAAGTGACGTATGGTTGTTGTGGTGTGGAAAATAGAGTGCTTGGAGCAGTCATGTTCACACTGATAGGCTTAGTGTTCTTAAAGGCAGACATGAAACCATCATTAGACTCGGATATTGAAGCGTGTAATGGAAAAGTGGTGCAACGCCCACAGAGCGAAGTGTTGAAGAATATCCTCATGGGAGTCACTATGTCGGGAATTAATCCAGCTTTGCTTGCGTCCTACACTGGTGCAATTGCATCAGGTTCGATCCATTGTTGCTGCAATGAGTTATTGTCGTCTGAGCTAACCATTCTTCTGTTGTTGTGTGTAAAGTGTATGGCACTGGTATGCTTGAGTTTACGGTATTCTTGGCTGTCATATTTTCAATTGGTGTTTGTTTTGGCGTTTCGACGTGGTTTTACTTGCTACTTTCGCTCTTGAAAAAGTACAAGCAGGTTGGTACAGAATGGCTTGGAATGAAAAGTGTCGTGCAAGTGCTAACAAGTGTTGGATGTGTGTGCTTTTGTACAGCGTTTGAAAGATCAAACGATTGATTTAATAATGCGTGGACTAGGCTGTTTTCTGCTTACACTAGGCATTTTGTGTGCAAAGTCATCAATTGACTATTTTTTGTTGGCATCATCAGAGACGAAGTAATTTCTCTCAAGACACGATACGTACCTTCCTATTACATGAAGGTAAACACTGACAGTCTAGAAAGAAGAAAGAACAAGACATTGATGCATGAAATCACCTAAGTAGTAAAGTTAAACAGCAGCTAAATTGCAGAATCGAAAGTGAGTCATTTTCAGTGTTTGCGCTATTGTCTCTTTGCAATGTCACTTTATCAGAAGCGTCAGGTCAAAACTTGCTTCCCAAAAAGGACATCAAGAATAAAAAAAGGACTGATGACATGTGCACTACACGCTGCAAGAAAAAAGCAGCGCTATGGAGATCAAGCGTAGTCTTGCTGACATATGATGTCAACGACAAAGAATTCGAATCAACCGTTGGATATGTGTACTGTCTCAACATATACTGTCATGCAAGTCCGACTGTATGATAACAGCATATTTGCTTGGTCGCTGCCACCGGAACGTCACTTGATTGACGTAAGACCTGTTGTGACTTTAAGACGCGTAGGCTCAGTATGACTGTTTTGCTGCGGCAAGGAAATAGGCGCTTAAGCATGATATACACAATAGTCGAATACAATTACGTGTTTCAAAGTCGATCGATGGATCAATGTGGGTGTAATCTAGAAAGACACAATACAGACATCACAGCAAATTCATAGAAAGAACTAATGACAAGGTATTCATTCAAACTCCCTCCCTCGATGTTGCGGAATATATCTGTGTCTATGTAAACCAACCTCATCATTCTTCCTGGAGGTGTTGGTCTTGAGCTTGCAGCTTTAATCGAGCTGCGCCACCAATCAGCAACTAGTTCGAGCAAACCACTGTCTAGATAAGCTTCTTGAACTCATCGTACAACACCAACACGATAGCACCGCCTGTGCCACGCAGGATGTTGGAGCCAGCACCCTTAAAGAAAGCACCCGAACCTTCGTTCTTGAGGATCTTCGCAGCGCAGTCAAGCGTAGACGTGTACAAAATGTCCGTACGACCAGCCTGCATCATCATACGGCGACGCACAGTGTCGAAAGGGTAGGAGATCATACCGGCCATAGATGTGACCGTCTGAGCCACCATCCACTTTTGCCACACAGGGGCATTCTTCGGGTCCTTCAGGGCAATGTCACGAAGAGTGTCGTAACCACCAAAGAAAGCAGCACGGTACACGATGATACCACCAACGGACACACCAAAGCCCTGGTATAAGCCCGACATCCCATCCGACTTGTAAATCGTGGTCAAACAGTTCATCAGACCAGTGTATTGACGTGACTTGCCCTTACCAACATCAGCTCCAAGACGAGTACGAGCAAAATCAAGTGGGTACACGAAAAGAAGAGAAGTAGCACCTGCAGCACCACCTGAAGCCAAATTACCCAAGAAAAAACGCCAGAAATGTTCTTTGGTTACACCATCCATAAACATCTTTTTAAACTTGTCCTTAAACGCAAAGTTCAAGGCCTGCGTTGGGAAGTAACGAATGACATTGGCCAAATTACCACGCCACAACGAGCTTACACCCTGATCCTTAGACACGCGTACAAAGCAGTCCACAATACCCTTGTACTGGTCCTCAGGCTTGATCTGCGTCGACGCAGCCTGTACCTGCAATAGCAGCTTTACACGCTCAATTGGGGCCACAACAGTCTTGGAAATACCGCCAGCGATACCACCAGCAGCCAGATCAAGCAGAAACGATACAGCACCACTCTTCTTCTCCGATGTAGCAACAGGTTTGTAGGTAAACAGAGCACTCATCTTTAGCTTTGAAGTGGAAGAAGGTACGAGAAGGTAGGAGGTTTTCAAAGGGTCTTTGGTGATAAGGAGAAAAATCCTAAATGATTCCAGGGGCTTTTGTGTGCGGCTGTGCTGGCTTCTCCGCCACACACTGACCAGATACATTATATCTTCCAATAAGAAAATTTAAATGGTCTTTTGACAGACAGCAATTGGATAAAAATCATTTATTTTGAACGAGTGGCTACCGACTGGACTAAAGTATTATCATGTGGAATAAAAGGTATATTGATAATGAAGGGTAAATAAATATAGACTTAAAAGAGCGAATAAGATATGAGGCATCCATGTCACACGCGGTGCGCAATCTTTGGTAGTTTTTACACATCAAGACGTTATTAAGACCCAACACTTACTTGACTTTTAGTCGCGTGATACTTCTAACGTGGTCACGTTGCTTGAATTTCTCGTCAAGTTTGATAACTTCTAGTACTTCATCTGATCGTCATCTGATTCACGTCGTCCGAGCTGAACGCGTTCGTTGGTGGCACAAGTCGACCCTGCTAGATTCACGTCAGACCCTTTTCATTCCAGGTGACAGTCTAGCGCTTTACAAGTCACAAGAAGGGTGGCCCTAGTCGTGCATAAGATTCAAAGTTGATTATTACAAACGAGACCATTTGTAATTCAGTTGCTGCCAAGACGACAAGTCTGTGATTGAGAGGAAGTGTGCTCTCGTCGTCGTGCGATGCCAGTATATAACTAGTCGATGCGATTACAAGATGAACTGTTTTAGCGAAGAAACATAACCTTCTTTCAGCAATGCTGTCATCTGCATGACTAGGCAAAATGGCAGGCATTTCTGGATGAAGCTTTGACACGTGGTCACCAGATGAATTCATTTACTATCGCGCTCGTCGTTCAAGCCTCCATCTGACGTCTTCGAAGCGGTTTCTGTGTGATCGCAATCAATGCATCACATACAGCCGTCGTGTTACACTGACTGACCTTAGCAATAATTGAGCAAGCGCTGGAGCGAGTATACTGATCATGGTGAGCAGTATTAACCTCAGCACGATGCCAATGACAGCCACTCGTGCCACTCGTGCAGCAGGCAAGGCAAGGCACGAAAGGATGTAGTCGAGGGCAACACGCTTGTTGACGGCGTGGGGATACTTCACAGGACCTCTTGGTTGTTGCAAGACTTGAAAGGCTGGCTGGCATCAGAAACAAGTGTCAATGTTCGTGAGCGGTGAGCTCGTCGATTGTACATTGCTGCAGAAAAGTGCAGCATTTTGTGGGCGTGATCACATGTTTTTGCTTTTATTGCTGGGTACTCCAGTGCGTGTATGATCTAGCAAGAGTAAGCAGAGTCATGCTACGTAGCCCATAAAACACGCTATGAAGTGTCCTGTTTCTTAGTTATAGTTGAAAAGACGTATACGACAAGGCAATGTCACTTCTATCAAGACATTGAAGGGTCATAGGTGCCTGCCTCATTGTGACGTATGCGAGATTTTGGGAATTTGCCTGTACGGTTTTTGTAGTGCTTTATCATTTATGAAATAAAAAAGCCATGTAGCCATTGTTGATCCATTTCTATTTAATTAGAAACGTACTTTTGACACCCACATCTCAAAAGTAGCAGCATTATGTTGCACTCGCTGTACATCATCAACAAGGCTGGAGGGCTCATCTATCAGCAGGACTTGAGTTCTGCAGCTCCCAAGCTAAGCTCTAACGATCATTTGCGTTTAGGTTCTACTTTCCATAGTATGCATGCCATTGCGGCATTAGCAGCGCCTACTAATTCAGGTGGTATCAATAGTCTCGAGACAGGCACATTCCGTCTCCAATGTCTACAGACACCCACAGGCATCAAGTTCTTCATTACGGCAGCTTTGGGAACGCCTGATCTTGATGTGGCACTGCAGACTGTATATGAATTATACGTGGACTACGTGCTCAAGGTATCGTAGAGCGATCCATTGTAAACGAGGGGGGGGTAAGTTTATTTATTAACAACATCTTGGTTGTGCCCAGAACCCATTTTACGAGCTGGAGATGCCGATCCGATGCAGTCTATTCAACACTGGACTCAAGCGATTCGTGGACAAGTTCAATCTGGACAGTGGTCGACGTCGTCCGCAGATTAGCAGCGGGGCCGAGCTGTACTGACTCAGCGTAGCAAGGATTCCAATCGACTCTACTGCATCACGTAAACGACATTGGCGACTCTCCTTCCTAGTTCATATGCATTTGATTCATCTCGGTGTTTCTTTGAAAGAATGAGAACAATTGGAATAAGCAGACTTTGCATCTTTGTACTGGAGATAAAATAACAATGGTCAAGCGAGATAAAATCCGGCACAAATGTTCTTCAGAAGGCAATACCAACTTGACTTTTTCTACCATACTACCATTAGTGCAAGCCAACCACAAATACAGAGTCTTCCAACAAATCAAGCAATACTCATTTGTAGGATAGTAGATCACTCAGCATTTCTTCCTTCGTCTCCATCCCAACGAATCACGCCTTCGAATGGAATCAATCGGTATAAATGTAGCCATGTTCCAAGACAAACCTCTACTATTTCATTGAAATATTCCTACCATTCTCTTTCTAATGCAAGAAGAAGAAGTACTTGGGTCTTCTTCACGCAGGCGTTTGTTTGTGCGTCACAGTACGTCCTCACTGGACAGCAGATGTAGTCGTGGTGAATCTAGTCCTCTAAAGTCTACACTCTCATTGCTCCGAAGTTCCCAACAACGTACAAGTATGAAAGAAAATGCGTCTGACGTTGCCATTTCCTGCAGGACGTCCATCGGTGATAACGATGAACGCGAGGAGGCTAGAAACTCAAGTAATACTTCACCTAATGTGTACAAATTTGACGTCTCGCAATACAAGGATGGTACATTTCGTTTTGTACCTGCGTGTGCACGTGATTTTATTAAATACACGGGACGAGTGTTGCACCATGGTGCCCAATGCACGCGCAAGACGAAGATCAATACGGTGCAATTTGATTGGCCCGCTGTGGCTTTTCAGGTCTCTGTTCGAGGTACCAGCTGCGTTGCGATTCGACTCAAAGGAGATGGTGCGTTTTGTTGGTGATTGATTACTGCTTGGCATTGTTGATGACGTTGGAAGAAAAAGAATTGACATGGGAGAGAAAGAAAATCTCTTTTGCATGAGAAGATGCTTATGCACTGAACTCATTTTGCTCCGACGTCTATCCGACCAGATCATGTGATGTCAGTGCTCAATTCATACTGATGACTTTCATATTGTTCACGTACAGGCAACTACTTTAACGTGTTTGTCAATAACAAGCTTCGCTGCATCCTCCGTGCGTCACTTAATGCGACGTGCTGTGACGGTAAGTACATGGTTTTTACGCAATGTCTTGTGACTTATTTGCACTCTTTGCTCACGATATCGTTTGGTCATTTGCAGTGGCAACTGGTCTAGATACCAACTTGGAGTACACGATCCGAATTTGTAAGCGCACAGAGCCACAGATGCGAGGTGCGATGTCTACGTTCAAGGTGCGGTCTTGCTCTAGTATGTAAATAACGCTACTAGTAGATATTTTTCCACGTGATCACAGTGTTACGTATGACAGGTTTGCACATTCTATGGGTTCATTGTCGAGGAAAATGCTGAGGTCTTGTCCGTGGATCAACCCGAGCCGCCACCAATGCGCAAGATGGAGTTTATTGGCGACTCGGACACGTGTGGCTTTGGTAATGAAGGCAAAGCTAGCAGCGCCAAAAATTTATTTGGAATGAAGGGGCGTATGGAGAACGTCTACAACGGCTACGCGTGCGTGACGGCGCGTATGTTTGATGCAGAAGAGCATGTCCTAGCGTGGAGCGGGTAAGTCGTTTTGCTGATTGATGGTGACAGATGCTGTACTGGATTGACTGACGTGCTATGTTTGACCTTGTGAAGTAAGGGCGTCCACAGCAACTCTGCGGATTGGGGTCCGAACATGCCAGTCTTGTGGAAGAATACGCTAGCATCTCGACCAGGCGACTGGGATATGTCGAGCTGGATACCTGATGTTGTGGTGATTAACCTGGGCATTAACGACTTATCACCACCTGCATCAGCGGAGACAGACATTATCACGGGTTACTCGGCTTTTTTGCTGGAAGTGCGCTCGCGTAAGTGTTATCGTTAGTCATGTATCCGTGTAGATTGATTCATTTTTCAATACGCTCATGTAGACCGGCCAGACGCACACATTTTCTGTGTGGTATACGACGATGGCTGTATCAGCTCGGAAGACTCGGAAACGAACCGCAAGTTTGTGTCATTGCAGCTGCAAGAGATCATCAAAGTGGCAATCTCAAAGATCAGCAAGCATGACGACAAGATGCACTACACCTTTATTAAGGTATGAACGGGATACTGTGTGCATTACAACTCTCCATTGCTTTCTTCTAACATGCTGTTGATGATGTAAAAAAACACGACAGGTGGACGAAGGTCTCGAGAAAGAAGACTATGCGTCCATGATGCACTATGCTGTTAGTGGTCACATCAAGATTGCCAAAGTACTTGCAGAGGAGATTGCACTACATACAGGGTGGAGTATTGAGCATGAACCAGAGACAATGCCGTATCCTCAGGCAAAAGACCAGATCCTGACACCCCGAGACCATTCAAAAACTTCTTGCAACGTTTCGTAGTATTTTGGTCACTTTATGAAAAAGGCAAGACCTATTTATTGTCCATCACAAAAAGTGTCACTATTTATTTTTGTGTTTTGTGTTCATCAAAAGTAGTCGCATCTTTTTGAAGAGAGACCATCACTCTTGCAATCATGCTCGCTGCTGATAAGCTACGAGAGCTGCGCGTGCTCATGAGCCGGACAAACGTGCGTCTACTTCCTTTACGTCATCATCTGGACAAAACAGATAAGACAGAAGAGGTGGTAGAGCTTACAGGACGATCACTACAGGCTTTTCTCGTGGAAACAGCTGATGCCCATCAAAGTGAATACGTCGGGAACGCGCACAAACGTCGCGAGTTCCTCACTGGTTTTACAGGCTCTAATGGCACAGCATTAGTGACAATAGAGAAGGCATTAATGTGGACCGATGGTCGTTATTTCTTACAAGCAGAGCAGGAACTTAGTGACGATTGGACACTCATGAAGTCGGAAGAGGCCGGTGTAGCCACAATTGAAGTAGGGACTATAAATTTGGTCATTTTTGTGGTTATTTTAGGTAGTTTTTGGTGATTTGTTATATTGGGCTTTGTTCGATTTGACAGCAATGGACCAAAACCAATCTACCAAGTACAAGTGTTTTGGGTATTGACCCTTACTTGACATCAGTCTTTACAGCTCGGTATGTTGTTCTTACCTACTGATTGATACATGTCCATCTTGTAATGGTTGTGTATTCGTATTCTTATTGTTGTTGTGTTTCGATTTGTAGGAATTTTGTCAGAGTGTTGAAAGAAACAAAAATTGAGCTTGTAGCTCTCCATGAGACTGATAATCTAGTGGATCTAATATGGAAGAACCGTCCGACGATATCACCTTCGCAGGTAACTTTTCTATCAGAAAAATACACGGGCTGCTCAGTTGTTGACAAACTCAAGAGCATTCGTGAGGCTATGAAAGCAAATGGAGCCGATGCTGTTGTGCTCACTGCGCTTGACGACATCGCGTGGTTGTTCAATATCCGTGGCAATGACGTCCAGTTCAACCCGGTTGTGTAAGTACAGACGGATCACGTTCCATTGCTGAACACATAATCTAATGTGAGTGCGTTGATTCTCTGTTAATGTCAGCACGGCATACGCTATAGTGACGTGTGACTCGGCAACTCTGTTCTTGGATGCGGCGAATCAAGATGAAGTGATTCAGCATTTTGGACCAAGTGGAGTCGTTTGCAAGCCATACTCAAGTATGTTAAAAGAGGTTTCGGTCTTTGCTTTAGCTAACAAGGACAAGAAAATTATGGTAGACCCCGCTCAATGCAACGTCGCCGTTTTCCTTGCCATACCGGCTGCAAACCGCATCGAGGGTACCTCGGTAATCATGGCCCTGAAAGCGACCAAGAGTACTGTTGAAATTGAGGGTATGCGTCAGGCTCACCTTCGTGACGGTGCTGCACTTGTCAAGTACTTTAGTTGGCTTACAAAGGAGATGGATGCTGGTCACGAAGACCAATGGGACGAAGTTCTGGTTGCAGATAAGCAGGAACAGTTTCGTCAGCAAGTGAAAGACTACGTATCGTTGAGCTTCGATACCATTTCGTCGATTGGAGCAAATGGATCCATCATCCATTACTCGCCAAAGCGTAACGGTTGTGCAAAAATGTCGACGTCTGCCATATATCTGAACGACTCTGGAGCTCAATATATGGATGGCACGACGGACGTCACCCGAACGCTTCACTTTGGACAGCCTGCTGCTTATGAAAAGGCGTGCTTTACCCATGTTCTGAAGGCGCATATTGCTCTTGCGAGTGCTGTCTTCCCTGACAAGACCGAAGGCGTCAGACTTGATGCCATTGCACGTACGCCGTTGTGGAAAGCCGGTCTGGATTACCGTCATGGAACAGGTCACGGTGTTGGCGCGTTCCTTAATGTGCACGAAAAGGGTGTAGTAAGTGTTTTGCGTCTTTTGACATGCTTGCTGCTGTTCTTGTAATTCCTAACACAGATGTTATTAATAGTTGATGTCGGTCCGCTTGAACCCGAATGGCTTAAAGATTCAAGAAGGCATGATCCTCAGTAATGAACCTGGCTACTATGAAGACGGCAAATTTGGTATTCGTATTGAGAGCGTTATGGTTGTCAAGAAGGTAAGCCGCGCACATCCATTCTCGTTGTTGATTGTATTTGACGTGAAATTATTGTTCACTTTTGCTATGTGGTTGCACTAGGCTCCCCAAATCAAGAGTCCACTCAATCGCGTATTCTGCGAATTCGAGACTCTCACTCTCGTTCCTATACAGCAAAAGCTCATTGACATGAGTCTGCTTACAGCCGAGGAAATCAAGTGGTTGAACGCGTACCACAGGGAGGTGCACGACAAGCTTCAACCGTTACTAGAAGATGACTCAGAAGCGTACGCATACCTTACACGAGAAACGAAGCCTCTGTCGCTGTAGGTTGTTGCGATTTTTTATGAAGTAGTTCGAGTCGTCGACCAAGGTGTGTCAATGCAAGTTCTGCCTGCTTTGTGAATAATGGTCTACCAGCCGTTCTTGTTGCGAAGCTCAATATTCTCACTAGTTTGCTAGGTCCCTCTCACGGTCGCTACGTATCGATAAGCTTCTACTCGATTGACGGTGTCTCGTTTCAAGTCGAGCTCGGTGTTCTTCTTTTTCCTTTACATCTTTGAGCTGATGTTGCAGACGCGTCTTCACAACTTCGTGTCGTCTTTCCTGACGCTGTAATCGTTCCTCTTCGCGCTTCTTGCGCTCTTGTATCTGATGTGGAGTTTTACCTGCCAGTGCTTGTGCAATGTAATCAAACCGTTCTTGGTATATTCGCATTTCGCGTTCAACTCTTTGTCGTTTTCTCTCTAGATCAAGCTCCGTCATCACTTGTTCCTCTCGTTGACGTTGAGCAGGAAGAGATGTATCACACTTCTGCTCTTTCAAATGAATCATCTGATGCTGCTTTGGTTGAGACGATGTCGATGCAGTTACGACAGGAACTTCCTGGTTCGAATCGTTAAATGTCGGGTATACCACTGGAATCTTAGTCTTCATGTGGCATTCCTGGCCATTTGAACGCGTCGGTTGTCTATCAAACGCGTTCTTCTGCTGCGTAGACGTGTTGAAAGAAGACTTGGTAGAGACTGGAACGTTAGGTTCTAAAGCATCGAAAGCATCGATTAGCTCGTTTTCATCGACATCTTCAGAAAGGTTCATGTTTTATTCTTCTAGTGTCACAATCAAATTCGGAAGGGACGCAAAGGGTCCAGCGTAGCCAGTCAATTCATGTCAAGATGAGTGTCAACGTGTATCGGGGTCATGGTGGATGGTAGTAAGGTGGCAGGTTTGTTACAATGGCCGAGAGGCTGTCAGTGTAGTGGAAGTGGGCAGCTTGAAGACATGGTATGGAAAGAACTCGATAGCAGAATTGGTTGATTCAAAAGCTCGGTCTTGAGCTGAAGGAGATCAGTGCTTAGATTTCTTGGCTGCATCCGAGTTCATGTCCGGATGTCCTGATCTATGATGGTGGTTGACAATTGACCGATGATGAAGTCACGAAGACATGGAAGTGGAGAGATCTTGAAGCGATCTAAGCTTCAGGACCTTGTATTGACAAGAAAACGGATAGCAAGGATTTAGATGCAAGGATGAAGCAACACTTAGTCGAGGATGCAGAGGTACATGAGGTCGTTGAGTCGAGTAATACGGCTTGTGAGAGGTTTAGCATTAGTCCGTGCATCTTGTGGACACCTAGATGCACAGCACACGTAGAGCAATGCAGATGTGACGCGTCCAATGAACAAACAATCAATCTGATGGATTGCAATCCGTTGAGGAGAGCTAAGTCAGTATGACCTGAGTGTCCTTTTATTGATGAACGTTTGATAAATGCCCTACATGACGTGTAGAAAGATCGTAACGCTTACTGCGTGGTCCGTACTGGAATGGAAAGTTCTATCCAGCACTTGTTTGCACCAGTGTAGAACATGATCACACCAACGTAGGTGTTTCCTCGGTTATCTATGATGATACGACTAGCGTACTTGCAAGTACGCTAGTCGTATCATCATAGATAACAGACTTGTCAAGGTGTTAACAAGAGCAAAAAAGTCAAAGTCGACCGTGTACTTGTGACGCGCTAGCTGGTTTTTCTCAAGCTTTGGACGCTTGACCTCCATCCTGAGTTGCCAATTCCAATGGCTGATGTAAATTCTCTATATCGAATGAGCTAGAGCATGAAAGTCATGCTGCACCTTCCTGAGGCTTTCAAGCCAAAGAACATATTCTAGACTGTGTGTTGACAGCAGCTTAAGCTCATCTTCTGTCGTAGGCTATAAACAATTACAGGATTCATAGATTGTTCACTGAGATCAGGACGACAGATCAAGTCAAATACCCGAGACGCTTGCACTGCATTGTTTCATTCACAGTCCTGAAATCTGTGCCACCTCAACCAAGGAGTTCATCTTTTGACATCTTTTCAGCAGACTACGATCGAACCCGACGCCTGTAATGACCCGAACTTCTACTACGACTATCACTGCGGCTGTCACTTCGACCACAACGCCTTCGTTTTCGACTGCTCCTCGACTGATCTACTGACCGACTTCGGCTGCGTCTTCGGTAGCTGCGCGTGCCGCTACATATTTCACGCCTACGGTTGTCAGATCTGCTGCGTGAACGTCTTGGACTGCGACTGCGATCACGGCGAAATTTAACCAGTCTATTGTCCCAGCGACTGCGTCTCTCGGAATTTTTTGCTGAGGAAGCCTTCATGTCTTCCAAGCTTTCACTTGTGGCGGCTATGGATACATCTGCAGTGGTTGAAAATCCTTCCTGGGTCAACATTTTCTTCTCCGTCTCGTTATGAACAGCAATAAACTCTTCTTCTTGGCCCGACACATCTTTCTCAACAGGACAGTCATCTACAGCAAACGGATTTGCTTCAGTAAGCGGTTCTAGCCATTCCAACTTCTCCTGCTTGTACATCTCCATGATCGCCACACTCACAGCATACAACTGCGTTTTCTCCACGTCGAACAATGCGTACCACGGCGGGTTTGCAGGTAACGCCACGTCTTGGAATCTACTGGCTAAGAATATAGCAGCACAGGAAATGACTTGTGCTTTGTACCGTACGCAGAGGTCTGTCCGCAGACTATCATTAATGTATCCCCACGCTTCTTGTGCGAGTTTCGAGCTACCGTCCAATACCTTGATATAATACAGCACATACTTATGCGGATGCTCCGTCACATTATAGACACTAAAGCCCAAGTCAATAAGTACCTGACGCTCGACCATAATGAGCCACATCCGCCATTGACTAAACGTAGCACCATCGAAATCAATGAGCTGCTGCGTGACCGTCGTGTATTTCCATTTCCGACGACGGAATATGGCGTAAAAGACAGCGATAACGTCTTTAATCCGCTTTGGATTTTCCTCGACCTTTGCAGCAAGAAATAAACAGCTAAAAGCGACACGAAAGGCATCAAATTGACGTAGAGATTTGCGATAATAGAAACGATGTAATAGTGTTTGAGCTGTAGCCATAACAACTTGAGGTAGACGGAGTAGAATCCCAGCTTCCTGAATCAATTCACAACCAAAAAAACGATGTAATCTCTCAGTATTACGAGATATACCATCGACGAAGGAAGGCGAGCGTGCGAGTATCGAAGCGGGCAGGACGACGTACACGGGCACAGGTCTCATTGTCAGAAGGAATGATACAAGTATAACGATAGGAGTAAATATTCAAGTGTTTCGTGTACTATCTATTGTAATATTATAAAGTGCCATGAATATTACATTAATTAGAAATTCAAGAATGGTGTCTTGGAAAATGTTAGCAGCAGGTGGAAATGAGGTTGAAGTAACGTTTAATACAGACGACGTAGCAGCGTGGCAGGATTTTGAAGTAAAAGGTTATGGACGTGAAGTAGTACAAACGTTACCAATGTCGCTCAAAGTGAGTGAAAATATGTTAGAAACACTGCCGTCCATTGAGCTGAACACGATAGAAATCACGAGGAGACGTCATTTATCACTGCCAGAAGTTTATTACGCAGCAGCAATGGACGGTGTTTTACTCGTTAATGAGCCATTGCAAGACTTGTGGGAGAGATTTAAGAGGTAAAGCAGCAATGGAGTTGATTTAATATGAGAGGTTGAGTGCTAATGTGTGCTCCTTTGACTAGCTCCAGTGCGACGTTTACGAAGTATTTTATCATTTATCAGCATTTCCGTCGTCTTGGCTGGATACCAAGATCAGGACTTAATTATGGAGCTCATTATACTTTGTATCGTGGATCAGCTGCAGAATATCACTCTGAATACGTTGTATACATACAAGATGATGGGAAAACGTCGTCGTGGAACCAAATTCAGTCGCTGACGAGAATAGCAGCTGATGTGAAGAAGACGGTGCTACTATGCTCTGTGACGATTGAACAAGCAAATGAGAATGTGACAATGGGAAACGCTGTGACCTGCAACTCTTTGGCTAATGCTGTGAGCTGCGCCAAAAAGAACTCACTGGCTATTGGTGATAGTGACCTTACTTATGGTGCCTATAGCTTCCATGGCATTCAGTACACGGTTGAAGCCATTGCCATTCGTTTTTGGGACGCGTTGACCGCAAAGGAGCCAAGCTCATACACGTTTCTGCCTCAGCCAATTTTACCAAAGAACCTTGAGTCTGCAAAGAAGAAGAAGAGGATCAAACGGCCAAAGCGCCGCTTTGAAAGCAAAGCTCGCACAAGTTAAGAGAATTCTACGTGACGCATGTTGCAAGTCGAGTTTATTAAGGTTAGCTATCCCAGCACAACCATTTCCATGATGAGGCCTACTGTCGATCCAAGCACGAGACCAGAATTCAAAAAGAAACTTGTAAAGGGGCCAATAAGGTGCTGCTCATCCGTATGGACACTTTCGCTCACGAAGATGATAGTCAACGTGCCCAAATAACCATTTCCAAATCCATGTCCCAACACAATAAGCACAGACCAAATGTCGCTCTGAAGCCACCATCCTTTGACAATGCCAATAATGATCGGGACGAAGATAAAACGCGCCATGATTGGAATCCATATATTGCCGGGTGTGAGACCGAAACGATGGTTGACAACGAAACGTCCAATACAGTCACTAACGGAAAAGAGTGTGAGTAATATCAACGACCACCAACCACTCTCTTGAAGCGACGGAAAGTTGTACGTCTTGATCTCCGTAACAAGTGGTGGCCACACTGACAGACTAGCGAGAAAAACTGCCAGAATCAGTACCTCCAAGTGCCATACTTTTTTCAGCACAGTCCATTTCGTAGGTGCAGGACCAGGGATACTAAGCGGGTCACATCCTAATTGTTGTCTTTCCTCCAGTAGCAGTGAACGTTCCGTAAGCTCCACGCTACTATCAGCTTGTCGTAGCAAGTATTTCTTGGTGATCTTGAGTTTTATGACCTTGTGAAATGCGCCAATGCAGAAAGTGATTGTAAGTGCTCCAGTATAAAAGTAGATGAGCGACGAGGCTAGCAGTTGGTCAGCTGGAAAGACGAGTTTAGTTAAGTCCCGGTACAGACTGCCAATGAGAGTGCTGAGTCCAACACCCAATTGGAAACTTTCTTGTACATTTTGGGGATAATGCGATACAAGCGCAATGGTGGAACTATCAATGAATGCAGTGGCAATTGATGCTACAGCTGTACCACCCAAGACTGCAATTATATTTGCATTCTCGGATGAAAAAAAGAAGTAAGATGTAGGCACAAAGACCAGTACAAGAAATTGTCCGATAAAGCCACCAATAATACGATTCTTGTACGAAGGTTGACCACAGAAAAGGACGATAATCAACAAGAAAAATAAGTTTGTATACATAAAAGTCGAAGTGAGAGCAAATTCAATGTTAAAGTCTGGAAAAAGCATCTTCCAATAATCCACGGGTTGTGTCAGTGCTGAGAATGGAAAGAGATAACCCACACCCACAAGAGCAAAGAGCCAGCAGGCTTGTTTCTCTTCACGTGCCTCTTTTAGTTCACTACGCAAGGTTCTGTCACGTTGGTATTCGAGTGAGATTTCTGTATCATAGGAGAAAGAAGAGCGATGGATACCCGGCGTACGAGGTAGAGGCGACAGCATTATAAGCAATTGGCAAAATGAGATACCGGTAATCGAATGTACCGGTTTTGATAGTATGATATGAGCATTTTCTCACGTCTCAGATATATCCAACTAGGTCCGAAAAAAAAAACTCATGTAGCCATAAGCTGACAGTCACTTGCCTCTATGATAATGTTGCGTGAACGCAATACGTTTGTGCTAAGGGCTCATCGTAATTGCAGCGAGGAGCGACAACATGCATTCACGCTGCATGTGAATATTAGAGAGAAAGATTTAGCTCATTTTAATGGGGGAAATGGCACAGAAGGAGCCAAAGCACTTGAGGTGAGAAAGTCAATTATATGCAATGCATAACTAATTGTCTGCTTGATTGATTTTGACTGATGTTGTTAATAGCGGTTGCTAGAGGTACTGAACAATGACAACAGTTTTCAGGCTTTAGTTCGGGAGATGGATGACCTCAGACAATTAGATCAGTTTGTCAAGATCAAGGCCAAGGACGGCACGCACACGCTTGAGCTCCTGGATGTAACGGTTCAGTGGCAGGTGGCGGAGGAACCAGGTCTTTCTAACGTCTTGCAGCGTGTCCAAGTCAGCAATGATGCTGCACAAAAGACGGCGAAGAAAGTTGATGGAAGGTACCATCGTCTACCTGTGAGAAAGCTAGTTGTGGCTGCTTGGATGTACCCGCCACACGTCAAGATTCCCCCGACAGGCGATCAGATCCCCTTCAGCGACGTTGATAAGCAGGATTTTTTTGTCGAAGTGGAAAATGACAACAACATAGAGGAATCAGCTCATACAGAATGAATTAGCGTGTCAAACTGGCAAGCGTGCAACAACCAAACTCGCTTTACACCGATGAGTAAAGCAGCTTGCTCGCATCTGAAGCACACATCGTAGGATCTCACTCGACAAACTTTTCATTATACTATCGATAGGTACTGGAACTCCCTTCTTTGCAAGACAATATGACCATGGTCACAGCCTGAACATACATCTGAGGGTGTGAGTTTATCATGTTTACATCTTTCAAGGTGAGCTATAGCGGCCCTTGTATTCGTTTCCACAGCAAAACAATCGATAATGTCTCAATATCACCTGAAAAACCATCCACGACGGAAGTCGTCCATGTCACATTTGAGTACCATGCTAATGAGGACAAACTAGCACCAGTTTGTCCAAACTTTTCAGCTTACGGCCGCATTTACGGTGGTAGTTAATCATCACAAGTTACGTTTCAATTCAGCTAACTCCATCAGAGGCGATATCCCAAACCAGTGGTAAAAAAGCACAGTCACCGAACTAGATTGCCATCGAGAATGCAGGAGGCATCGCTGCATCTTGCCAACACCACATAAGCTCTGTGGTAGCATGAACTATTTAAGCGAGGACACTATTTCCACTGCAGCTTTCCTCCATAGTCACTGAAATTTTAGAAGTATTCTTCGTCAATAAGCTTCCATGTGTCTTGACGACTTCAACAATTATTGGTAATGGGCCGGAGCGGCGTTAACAGCAAGTTAAGCCGGTTGGGCTACTGGAATGTAGCACTTGCAGGCGCTCGATTTCCTCATCACGCCTCTGCTTGCTAGCCTCCAAATCGGTATCGAAGCAATTAGTTGGCGTGAGGTCTGGAAGTGTCTTGCACGTGTGATGCATAGTAAACATTTTCACTTTTGATTCTCAATTGACTGTTGACGTAACATGAATAGGCTTTATCAGGAAGTTCTGGTACCAGATTTGAGAATGGGTAGTTTATCATGCCGACCATCGAGGGTATCACCCATTTTTATCCCAAAAATCAGCGCTGAAAATGAGCTCATAAGCTGTAATAATTTCCGATCAGCTGGCGGAATAAGCACGTCAGGCAGTGGTGGAACGGGCTCCCTGCACATTTACACAGCGTCGGTTTCAAAGGTGCTCGTCTGAGGTGGTAAAGAAACAATTGTTAATACCACCTCCTTGTTTTCCGGCTTGATTGAAACTGTCCTGTCGGGACCGGGTTTGTGGCTTCGCTTCACATGCAGTTTGTCGACTCAGTAAGTGTCTTCTGATCGCGGTCGGGCGTACAGCTGTCGTCTTGACACGAAGATGTAGTGGTGATGATGGTGTAAGAGGCGTTTACTTGTGCGACATTGGCTTGGAAAGAACGAGCTGATTGAAGGTAACGCGACTGAATAATCGTTTGGTTGTAGCTGAGCAGGGGCATTGTCAGTACATTGTTGTCTTACTTACAAGTGCAGAAAATATCGTAGAAGTGGTGGAAATACTATCTCGCTCTTTTGTGTGTCATATCTATCTTCCTGGCCATTCATTGTCAAGAGCGTCTTGTTGCTGTCAAATACTTATACCCATCATTTCGAACAAAATACGGCGTCTGAGTGTCAAAATCCTTCATAACTACCATACAAAAGCAAAAGAATGTAGAAGTGAGGATCTCGCCAATTCGCGCGACATCCGCACGTACAAGAGGTCAAGCGCATTCGTGAGATGAGAAAGTGATCCTGGACCGATCATGGCAAAAGAACGAGCTTCTGAGGAATAACACGAGACTGCAAGCCTCTAGCATAGAATAAATACAATGCCGTGTTTGAAGGAAGACAGTTGTGTCAGTATCAAAGTGAATGACCACGGCTAGCTAATGACCACGGCTAGCTAAGGATATGCTCTCTCAAACTCACATTGATTACTTCAGCAGGTAAAGGGGCTACTAATGTGCAACGTCAAGAATTTGCAAGATTGCGCGCGGCTAAGATAGCGCTCTACAAAGAAACAACTTTTCGCGCGACAAAAAACATCATGGCAAGGTTGTGATCAAGACTCAGCGGCCACAAGTAGACGACCTTCAGCACGAAATTTATCTCCCTTGAACCGGGAACATAAAGTAGAATGAGGCTATCGCTGATCTCAGATCTTCGCCTTTCGACGCTGTCTCATAAGATCTGCAGAAGGAAATCTTGTGGATTGCAACGCTAGAAGCGACAAAAATGAACGTGTTTAAGAAGAAGTCGTGCATCGCGAGGCGGACTAACGAGTAGTTGTGACGGCGAGCAGACAACGGATGGTCAGGTTCAATGACTGTAAAATAGTGAACAGTTTGATTAGACCGTGTAGTGAGCACAAACCGTGGACAGCGGTCCCTATGGCTAGATACGAGAGCTGTACGCAAGTCGATGAAGGGAAGAAAAAGCAGCCATCAAGTCTAACATAGCTGGAGATGAATATACATATGTAAGCACAAGGAGTAGTGCATACTGTAGTCAGGAGGTAGAGAGATGATTCGTAGTATCATCGTAATTATGTCTTGTCTGACTAAAGACCAGGTACAAAGCATACGTCAACACAACCCCATTTCATTGTGTCGCAACCAGCTCGACAGTAGCGGGAAACAAATCTAGTCTACCAGCTTTGATTTGGAACGACGCAAACCGAAACAAATCGGGGCTAGAAAACGAAGTAGCGATTTGGGCAGCAAAAGCTGCAGCTGACAGCTGAATGACAGCAGTCGTAGTTGAAGTTGAAGGAGAAACAGCTCGGGTCTCGATATTTTCTCAGATTATGGGTTTAGTATGAAGGTTTGGATGGTAAAGATACCGCCAAGTCAATTGGACGATTTAAATCAAATCTCGACTGACCTGTCTTATTTTGACCGATCCAAGTTTAGCACAAGTCAATGCATTCTATAATCATAGTCATGCGCAAGAGTCGAGCCGCACTGCTGCTCCACTGAAGCGTTTCACCACTTCGCAAACTTACGATACCGTTTTAAATGCCAAGTCGTCGCTGTGTCCGGAGCAAAGGTGGCGGCGAGCTCACGTACTGACGAGAAATCAGTCACAAAGGTTCGGCTTGGTACTAATCTGTACTGTTGTAGCTACTAACGAGGCCGTCAGTCAGATGGTGCCAGTCGAAGGGTGTCTCTAGACACCCTCGTCGACACTTGACGCCGAACCGCTGGTCGCGCTCCACCACTGAGAAAGCCTAGACAGTATTGTATCCAAATTACATGAGGTAATGTCTGTACGCTCTATAACCCAATGCTACATGGAGAAACATTTTGATGCCTGCCGCACTAGGGTCTCTGCATGGCGCAAGCAGCGCACGCGAGTTAACTGCCCACAGTCCGGCTGCAGGCGTTTCACTATTTCGGGCATCTCTACTTATTAAAAGAGCGCTGCTTACCATGACATGAAAGCCGCCTTTTGGACCACGCAAATCGAATTTCATTGCTGCCGCCGGAACCATGTTGCGCAGCTGATGAATGCTGAGGCCTTTCCACCTATGAGAGCATATACAATCTTCCCTTGCGCCATTTCTGCCATCTGCGATAGACCCATTTTAGGCTGACGATGCTTTTGCGCATTCTAGCGCCTACTTTTCATTCTGGCGTACCCACTTCTTACTGCCTATGGTATACAAACAACAAGTATTGCTGCAGCTGCTTCTCTTTTGTTTGGGTCCTTCTTTCCAGCTCGGATTTTGGCCCGGCCCACCAAGGCCGACAAAACCAGGCCATCTTTGCTCCGACTTCCCGCAGCTGAAGCGCATATTTCGATTTGTCACAACCCAGAGCGACGCCAACGGTTTTTCCTTTTGACATTTGGGTACTTGATTCTTGTACTGTTTGGTGGTATACAACAATAGTAGAATAGAACCCAGTCATTTATCAACTTTCCGCCTGATTACACAGTCAATCAATTAATCAATCAATCAATCAATTATTATATTCCTGATGATGAGCTCTCAAAGCCACGCGAACGTGCATGTCTCGGCACTGCAGCCATCACTATCCCCGCAGTCCGTCACGCGCCGTGCCACCGTCGCTGACGATGGTGAGCTGTGTCATCACCGCACGTCGGGTGCTACCGTCGAGCGCGCGCTTACCACTGAAAATCAGGTGGATGTTCAGATCCTCAAGAAATTGTCGGCGTCGGTCTCACACTTTGAAGGGCGACGCAAAAACTTATCCTTTGTTGTGTCGGTGGAGACACTGATTCCTGGCCGACGTGCCTTTTCGGACGAGCGCGAGTCTTGCCAGCTAGTGGCACGATCTTTTGACGACTTCCGACGCTTCCGGAAGTCTCTACTTGCCCGTGTCGGTAGCCTCCACGATCCGACGCTGCTGTTTTCTCGACGAAGTGGCAAGTGTCGATGCGAGGGCGTCGACGGTTGCCCCTTTGACGTCACCCGGAGCTTTCTCGAGCGACTGAAGTTTACACGAATGCCTTTCCTGAGTCTTGGCGAGAGCGAGGTCGACCTGACCAAACGCCAGCAGGAGATGGATAACTTTCTTCACATCATCTTTGCCATCCTGCACCGCATGCAGCCCGGATCGTGGCACCCGGAGTGCCGGTTTTTGCAAGATGTTATGGCCTTTTTGGAGGTTGAAGAGTCACTGTCTCAGCAGATGGAGCTCCTACTGCGCTGCAAGAACCGTCATATGAACTTGGACGGGTGGAAGGCGCATACTCTGGAGACTTTTGGCTCGGGTATTGGTGTGTAATGCCCTTCGTCTGATCAGTCGAGCCTGTAACTATTGGATGTTCACAGATCACGAACGAAGGAGTTTTTTGCCTCAAGCCATTGATCCACATTGCAGTTTATTTATTCGATAACAACGTTTAGTATCAGTATTCGGTTCTGCAGTGTGCAGGGCGACAGAAAACAAACAACATAGTCCAGTTTGTGCCTTTTATACGAATGACAGATACAATTATTAACACGACAAACGACTTCCTCATCCATATTGTCACAAGAATTGTTGTAGCTGTCTTTATGTATTTTATTAGGCAAGTGTAGGCAAGAACGTGACTTCGCGCAGCAGCTCCATCGGTCCACCGTGTGTATCAAAGAGAGCGCGCTGTTCGGAATCGCGCACGAAGAAAGACCCAATAAAGCCAATCGAGTTCACTTCGATGCCTTTGAAGTTCTGTGCCCTCCTTGGGATTACAAAGAGGAACGACGATGTCAGCAACAAATTATAAGCTACGTGTAGTGATGTCGGTGAGGTTCCCACTTGAGCAGAGATTTTCGAATATTTTGTGCTGTTCATCTGGTTGAGAATTTTATCATAGATGACGACGATGTTGGCTGCAATCTTGTCGCTGTCGATACCGTCAACAAGATCGATGCGGTGGAGGAAGTGGCAGAATGGAAGCTCCGGCAGCTGCACAATTTCAGTCGTCGGGTATCCACCCAGCTTCTGGTCAATAAAGTGTAGCATTGGTGGCTAGAAGACAAAGACTCAGCTGTTAGTCTTTGATGTTTTGGATACACAAGAAGTGATCTTCATACCATATGAAGTCCAGTAATCTTTTGTATAGACGAGTACGTCATGAGCTGCATGTGTTTATGGGATTGACTAAAATTCAGAACATATAGCTTATTAGTGTCAATACATGTACTATCTCCATGGTATCTTTTGTATCAGATATAATGATCACCATTCGTACCTGGCACCACTTTCAAAGCCACAATTGAAGAAGGCGAAAGCGTCCAGACCCTGCATGGCCGTCCACATGGCACGAAAGTCAGCAATATCGAGCGACTGCTCCTGAGGGACATACTCGATAGTGGATAACACCACATGTTCATCTACGACACTGAACTTATTCAGGATAAGGTTGTGTGTGCCGTGCAGCTGTGTAACAAAAAGATCCTGCTCCAAGTTCTCCTTGGCGAAAGGATCACGAAAGGCCTTGAGTTTCGTTTCCACGGGCTTGGGTTTGTTTTGTGATACGTCTGCAACCCACAGAATATAGGGATTGCAGAGTTTAGGCGTAGCTGAAAGTATCTCATAACTGGCCGGAATTTGCTTCAACGCTTGTGACTGCTTTGCGCGCTGGGTTACGTCTTGCATAGTCTTTCGTAGCATTGTGTTTTTTAATTATTGGGTCAACTGGAACTGACGCGCGTACAGTATTTAACCGGTATCATGTCTGTTCTATTCCGTCCAATGGCAAAACGTTAGAAGTCCTGACTGGTCAAGCAAGAATAATAATGGTTGCGCTGCCGAATGTGATGCGGGGCGTGCTCAAGCACAAGCTGCAGATGGAACAGGAAAATGCTACTTGCACCAAGAAGCAACGTGTGAAGAAGGATACATACACAGCTATGGATGTGATGAATCGCCTGCTAGCACCCGGCGGAGACGTGGGTTATGACGTGTCGGACTTTGAGTGGGAGCAGCTGGTGCAGCTTACGCAACAGAACGAGCGTTTTGAGAAGCTTTTCTCATTCCCAGAAAATGCATCCAACTGGATCACAACTAAGAAAAAAAAGAGGAAAACGCATTTGAGGATCGTGGCTCTCGATTGTGAAATGTGCGTCACGCAGGAGGAAGGCTCAACTGATCGCAAGACCAACGCTCTATGTCGAGTATCGGCAGTAGATGGAGAAGACATGCTGGGAAACATTATTTCCGATTTTATTGTACACCAGCCGGAGCCTGGATTTCATATGTTAAATCCCAAGACGAGTATTCACGGCATCACACCCGAGCAGATTGCAAATTGCAAGATTACTGTAGCGCAAGCGCAAAAGAAAATGCTCAAGTACATCAATCAAGACACGATCGTAGTGGGTCACTCAGTGTATGGTGATCTGGCCAGCATGCGCATTAACCATCGACGCGTTATTGACACGTCCCTCATTTTTCAGCGGAAAGATGAAATTTCATCGCGATCGACGCCGGGGCTCAAGGATCTTACCAAGTTCTTGCTTGGCTTTGACATGCCTCAGGGGCACGATAGTACCGTCGATGCTCAAGCTTCGATGATGGCAGCCAAGTATGCTGTCCGACATGAAACCGGTCGGATCATTCCATCGGCGCTAGAGCTTAATGGACCTCGTGTCCAAGAGATACGTGGCGAGACATTCCAAGTCACAAATAAGTATACAGGCCCTGCTGTGCTCGTTGGAACGGCGTTTCAACTTGGTCGACCGTCTGGTGAGTCATCGAACCCCACGGCTATAAAAAACGCACCGTCGAATGAAGCGTCCTACGTCGATACGGCCGCTATCACGAAAGAATCAATTGTACAACCGCGCAGTAAAGCTGGGATCACTGAAGCCATGATTGCACGATCGTGCCGGTTGCGGGTGCATCGAATTCCGAAGGGCTTATCAAGCAAGGATATTGAAAAGTTCTTTCTCGAGAGTACCAATATCGTCCCTGCCGCAGTGGAGAAGATTGTATGGCTGCCAAACCGAAATCGAGGTTCGTGCAGTGTGACTTTTTCGAGCAATGCTCACGCAGCACTAGCGTTCAAGACTGCGCAGGGAGCAAATGGGAAGAGCAAGATTACGAATGACTCGATTGGTCGTCCACAAAAAACGATTGCAGTTGTGAGTTTCATGGGAAAGACGTATAAGAATGTTGTACTCGGTATTCTTTAGTACTAAAAAAAGCTGTGCGAAACATACATTGGCAATGGCACCGTCTGATGTGGCCTAGACTTGCTTCGACCCCAAATAAGTTTATTTACGCTGCGAAACTTTCTGTGGGAAGATTACGTTTTGGCTGTACTTTAGTTGCTAGTTTGAAAACCTAATGACTCAGTAGGTGTTTGTCGCAGCAACAGGTTTGATACAATTGGCATCCTATTCAGCTGCGCATTGGCGCTGCTCGTTAACGAGTGGCGCTCTTGTCATAAGGCGCTCTTGTCATAAGGCGCTCTTTTTTTTGTCTGGTAAGTCTGTAATAGTTTGTCTGTTTTCCAATTGCGTACTTTAACAGTTCCAGCACGACTGTGTTTCGGCTCTCCATTTTCATTACATCGACACTGGATGCCTATCCATTCGAGTATATACACGGTCAAAAAGCCTGCGCGGTTGCAAAAAGAGTCGTGCGCAAGCAAATGATCGTCGTGTAGTCGGAATACATTCAGTGCTAAGCACCAGATGTGCCATAGCTCACTTGTATCTTCGAAAAGCATACGGGGGGTCACATTGCTGCTGCTTATAATAACCGATTTAAGGAAAAGCACGATCTAAAGAAGACAGTGCGAGCTAGTACCTCCGACAAAAGCTATTCGAGCAATCGAATACGTGGTACTTGGCGCAAAACGTGCTAAGACAAAATCGATTTCCGAAGCTTACTAGTTAAAACTAACAATGCTATCTCGCTGGTAGCAGTGGCCGCTCACGCGTCCGATGCCTTAAATTTCTCCTTTCAAGGTAAATTGAATGGATGGTATTCCTGCCCCAGGTACACCGTCGCAATAGACGGAACCTCTGATGATCATGATGCCAAATGCGCTGTATTCACTGCGCCGCTTTGTTATCCTGGAATTTGCAAAGTACCCGACTGTGTGAACCCCAACATCGACATTTTTGTAAAGCGGATACCTGCTGTAAGAGACCCAAAAACTGCACCAAACTTTTGGCTGCTGCCAGTTGCCGCAGGTTCATCGTCAGCTACTCGTAAGGCGTACTTTGACTTGTGTACCCTCGTGTTTGTATATACTCACCGTTTTTCGTGCAGTGCAAAAATCTATGGTAGAAACATACACCAGATTGGGTGGATCGGTGAACGTCAATAACATGGACCAACGTTGGAACCGGTCGCAGTACATTGCTGGATTGCGTCGTAGCACACGTGGCTGAAGAAATCGACCCATTGAAAGTTTTTGCGTGTGCTCAAGCTCTGCAAAGGAAGTATGGAAGCCTTTCGGCATTTTCTATCACAAGCGCTGCAAAGGATTTAGCAATTTTCATTTCAGACTACACAAATGGTGCGAATACTATCGTGTACGGTGTGAGCTATGGCACTGCGCTTGCGGAACGTTGAATGCATCTTAATTGTCCTCAACTGACGGGATATGTTCTGGATGATATTGCCACGACTTCAGGAGCACCCCGAAACAAAGGCTTCTACGCTTCAATGGCAGACATTGATAGTAGAGACATTGGTGATGCATTTATGGCATTGTGCGCGACGACGCACGAGTGCAACGAGCACTTTCGGTCAAAAAGCCTTGCAGAGTTTCTTCAAGGTTTGATGACACAACTTGATGCTGACCCGAGGTCGACGTGTGCTGCGCTTATAACCAAAGCGGCTGGGGACAAGAATCGCGATCCGGCCTTGAATCTTCTACGGCGGCATCTAACTGTGCTGCTCTCAATCGAGCAACGGCGCAAAATTATCCCTCCTATTGTGCACAGATTTTGTCGTTGTGGGTCAAAGGATATCAAGGGTATTAACACACTTTTTGTCGAGTTTCAATATGCCGTCTTGGTTTACAACAAGCGACGGCACTCGGTTTGATTCGAGTATACTGGGATTCCTTGTCCAGTTCTCTGAGTATCGGGAAAAACCGACGCCATTGATCTCAAAAATGACCTCGCGGTATACAAGTGCAATAGTTTCAAATGGAGAGATGAGTTCACTTGTCACGCATTACTGTGCTTTTCGAAAGAAAAGTCAGCTGTATGCGACCAACTTCGAGTCGGAAGCTCCTCTGCCAACGGCATTATTTACGAGGTGGACGAATGTTGCAATAAACGTGCAAAGATTCCTACCCAAGCAAGCGTCTTGTTGTTGAGCGCTAAATTAAACCCGGCCGCACATTACACATATGCTGAGTATTTGATGAAAGCACTGGATGGCAACAAGAAAGAGTTGGTTGCGTTCAAGTATGGCTCTTCTGGAATAACTAATGGTATCGAACTAGGCCTAATAGAGGAACAAACATGCGGCATGAAGCTACTGTTGTCATACGTGACCAATGACGGCAATTTGGAGCTTCTTGACAAGTCTTGCATCGACGAGATACCCCAGTTCAACATGGATATGACTATTGCGTTTCAGTACGCTTATCTGCACACGGACGATGCCTATGACGGAGATTACTATGAAGACTTTTTTATCTTTGCCGCGGAAACGCAGCGGCTTGCCTGGATAGTTCGTTCGCGGCTCAGGCATTAAACGGGTAAGAATCCGACGGTAAGACGAAAGGCAACAAATAAAGTTGAAGTTTTGCTTTACATTGAGAGTGAAACTTGAAAATGTACTTATACTCTTTAGCACAAGTCAAGGTATGACTGTAGTCAGGATGAAACGCAGGCACCGAAGAACGCAATGTTGTGCAGGGCACTCCTCATGGGGATCTGTGGACTCTTTGGATGCGCAGGTATGGATCTCAATGACGCGTGTAACGTAGCGCCGCGAAAGACAACGTCCGCTTTGCGGTGATCACGTCTGTCAAACACTTCAAGTTGCCGGACTACCTCCGTCCAGTAGGCTCCTGCCTCTTCCTATACCGTCACCCTTTTGTTGCGGAAAACTTTATCAACACGCTTGGTCAGAGGCTCGTGACAATCACCATGCAAAGGATCTCCCAGCATCAAGCTTGATGGACAACACAGCCATCCGGTTCATCCGCGCACCGTTGAGCTACTACCATCCGTCGAATACAGGACGAAGAGGGCGCCTTTGTTCAAGCCGCACATGCGCGTTTTCAACGTTGGAAGTGTCCAGGCTGTACCCTAGCGCTTTCCCAGTGGCTGATAGCTTCAGAGAGGTTCTCGTACATTTCCCTTCAGCGGCGAATCGGGTCCCGGAGTGCACAGGTTTCCAGAAGACCAACTCGCGTGAAAAAAATTCAGTGGTGCGTGGAGATTTGGTATGCAGTCCAAACTTGATAATCGATGAGGCCGTGCAGATGAGCATACAAGGTCAGCTGTCTCTGGTTCCACGACTTCATGCTGCTAGCTATTCCCTGCCGCCTTGGACGCAAGACGATGGGTGACAGCAACTAAGGGTTTGATGAAGTCCTTTTTGCAATAGTCGTACGCCACATGTGAAGGTAAAACCAACAGCAGCCGATCAAAATCGTCCGAGGCGCGACCCAAGGAACCTTGCGGATTTTGGAGTGTGCTTCAAAGACGAGTCAATTCTTCCCCAGATTAAGGCTGTAAGCGGCACAAAGCTCGTCGGTCTCCACCTCCACCAAAGGTATATCCCTAACAAATTTGCAGTGAGTCCCAACGCCGTTAAGCGTCGAGCATCAGGGAGCTGTCTAGACGGCCCAGATCCTGCTGGGCTCCCTTCAATCACGCCTGGGGCGGTAACCCGCCACAGAAAAAGCTTGTGTAAACGGCGGCGGCTACCGAAGTGTGGGAGCACCGGCTTCGTCAGGACATGCTCCAGCTACCAAGCTGCGCTGCGTCCAGAAGGAAAGCAATTGCTGCGGCGTAATTTCAGTGGCCGTGGTTAGATAACAGAAACGTATATGTTGGAAGTTGCATTTTTTTGAGTTGGTTAGTCGTTTCATTCTAGGTACGTACATGCATGATGAGACTTGCTGGGTGGCGTGCTGGTGCGGGTAAAGTGGCGTGCTGGTGTGGTTGAAGTGGCGGATAACGACTTAGGGCCTGCCGTGTTATTAACTTCGGTCATCTTCGGCTGCGGGAAACAGCTTGGATGAAATATGAGCGGTAGAGAGGCAATACAGATAGCACAAGGTCAATAGATAATGAAAAAAATCCTTTTCTTTCAGTAGCACTATTGCTATCAAACAGGTTATGAGCCCAATATTAAAGGAGATGGACGCCGCCAACGCGGCACAGGCACCCCCGACAACCAGTAACGAAAGGGCTGCGTTGGAGCCTGCTGTGGTCGTCCCTCCGCATGCTCACGAAAGGAGCGCGGACACCAATGCACTAGAAATGGTTTTCACGATACTGAGCGGCATGGAAGAGCGCACGAACAAGATGGAACTGTTCAGGCGAGGCTTGCTGAAGAAGAGCGCACGCGAGGCACTGTTGACAGTGGTATTTTCGGCTCCATGCTCGGCGCTGACTTCGTGGGCAGGCTACATCGAGATGCTCTCGACGATCGGAGTTGACAAGTCATCAAGCACCGCGACATGCGACGGATAAGGGAGATGAACACAGGACAAGAGTTCAGCAACGTGCGCCGCAGAGCGTACAGCCGCTCCCTCAACCGCCTGGTCAACTGCCGCTACCAGCCGGGGACGCTGCCACGGTATCAAATCCTACTCAAGCTCCTACGACGGATCCATACCGGACTCCAGACGCGAGGAATAGAAAGCTTGCCATACGCAAGTTCGACGGGACGAAGCGTGCGTCGGACAGGGATCCGGCTGTTCTTGATTGAGGCAAGACTTTCTGGCGACATGTGGACATGGCCAAAGAACAGAAAATGGGAAGACTAATGTACTAGGACAGTACTCGACGGGCACCGCAGAGTGATACTTCAACAAGCAAGTCAACACATGGTAGGCTGTACTGACGAATTTGCAGTATGTCATGGAGCGTATGATTGACACATTCAAGATCTACATCAACATCACTGCGGCTCAAGCGATGAAACTATTCGCGGCAAAGAAATACATCAAGCGTTCGTGGCCGGAACATCACCTCTACCTTGTCGCTGTCGGTGGTGCAGCTGGAGGGGCCGAGCAACAGGTGCTCGATAATATCGTACTCTACGCATCACTGGAGCTTTCGACAATTATGATGGCGAGTTACCGAACTCATCGCCTCGACTACCTCATGCATGATGAAGAGCTCGCGCACTTTGCGCAGACAATTGAGATGGACTCTAGATCAGAGCATGATTTTTTTTTGGAAGAGAAGTAGTTGATCATGTGGAAGAGTCAACGTTTCGAAAGGAAACACGCACCTGATATGGATGCGAAAAGTCAGGATATGTCAAGGCTGATTGTCGAAGCAAGAAGGCTGGCAGCACAAACGGAGGCCGTCAGCCAAGGGTGGTGGGAATATTGTATTCGAAGTTGGCGAAGGCACTAGTGTAAAGAGCTCGCGTCATGCCAAGTTGGACGAGCACTGGTAATTGGAGTAAACACTGATTGTGATGGCGACGAATGGATTCTAGACAGTAGATCCAGGCGCCATCTTCTTTGTTGCAAGACGCAAAGACGTGCAAACATGAGTGCCATCTGGCGGACGGTGAGTCAGTCAAGCTGTCACGCGTTGGTAACGTGGTACTGACTATAATCGACGGAGGGCAACAGCGGAACGTCACGTTGACTGACGTTTACCTCGCGCAAGAGCTCTCGCGAAATATTATTTTGCACGGCAAGCTCGAGCGCAAGAGGTTCGGACTCGTGGATGATGGCACGAAGCGCGCATAGCCTGGCGCAGCGATGGCAAGGTCGTATTCGACATGTCGATGGATAATAATGTTCTCTACGTTAAGACAGTGGGCCTTGAACGCAGTCCAAGTACGCCAAGTGACGTATGATGGCGATAATTACTCACGAGACATCGGACGAGTCGGTCAATGGCATGCAGAGTAGGTCACTATAACCCTCCCATTATCGTCTGGGTCATCTGGGTTACGACGCGATTAAGCGGATGGCAAAGGACCCAGCGTCAGGCATCAAGATAAAGGATCATTCAAGCCTTCGTGCGCTGAGGGAAAACAAACCAAGATTGTGCATTAAAACAAGGACACGGTTGATCACTCGCCAATCGACTGTATGTCATATTATCGGACGTTAAGGGTCTGATGACACCAAGAGACCGACATGGGAACTGGTACTTAATTAAATTCGTGGATCACGAGTCTAACTGTTTTCGCGTATTTCACGCTAAGACCAAAGATCAGTCGGCGAAGAATCTCGAGCATTTTTGTTTTTTTCGAGCGTCATTTCAATTGCCGAGTACATGTCCTAAGGACGGACGGCGGAGGAGAGTACGAGAATGTCGACCTGATTTGCAAGCTCACAGGTGTTTCAAGACAAGTCAGTGAAGCTAGAAATCAAGCATCGGATGTATAAGCTAAGAGAACGCACCGTACGGTGCTTATTATGGCTCTCTCGATGATATATGCAACTCGGAGTGCCTTTGCCGTTATGAAGTGTGCCTCATCACAGCCCGCAAGCGCAAGTGACAAAAGAGCATCGCCTATGGAGATACTTACGAAGCGTGCTCCTGATCTGGGGGTTTTGTATACGCTGTGTTCTTTTTACCGCAACCCGCGCAAGAACTCGCTGGAAAAACGGTCTCAAGTCGGCGTTATCATCGGACGCAGCGACGTAACCAAGGGCTACAGGTATGTCCTGCAAAAGGAAAATAAGGTCGTGGCTACGCAGCACGTAAAGGATATCGAAACTCTGAGTGATGATCAGAACATCCAGTTGCAGAGAGAACTTGACTTCGAGGATCAAGTCGATGGTACGGTGTCGACATGTTCAGGTGAAGCAGTCTTGATCGTGGCTTCAAAAAGTCGAAGAGGAAAGAAGAAGTCGAAGTTCTGGACACGTGATTCCCACAGGACTCGAGGTGCACCGAACGCGCGCAATATATCGTTTACGAGCGCGATCCCAAGAATTGTGGAGAAGCGATGCGCAGCAGCAAGCGCGAAGGATTGGAGACGGCTATGCGTGAAGAGATAGAAGCTCTGGAAGAAATAAGGTTTGGCGGTTGGTCAAGCGAGGTTTCAGCAGTAATGCACTGCACACCAAATGGGTATATAAAACGAAGACCGATGCGCACGGCGATCTCGAGCGGCTCAAGGCTCAACTTGTTGCATTCGGAAATGAGCAAGCTCTTGGTGTCAATTATCAGCTTACCTTCTGCGCAGTTATATACATGTCAACGGTCAAGATACTACTTTCTCTGGTAGCAACATGGGTTAGTGCCCGCCAAGCACGGGGATATACCCAACGCTTATGTAAAAGCGGATAAAGAGTCTCACCTTGAGATATTTTCGCAGATACCACAAAGCATGGACATTGACGAAGCGACTATGAAGGATCTCGGCGTGTCAAGCAAGAACGACTCCATTTGCCGGAATCATGCAGGATGTCCAGTTACAAGTTTACGCTCAAACTAGTACATGTAGTCAGTCAGTCATCTAATTTGGGCTCGTCTATTTTATGTTGGCTACATCATTCTGTTAGTTTGCGTTCACTGGTTCACATTGTCATCATGACCGAGTGCGTTGCATGGGATGCCACACTAGCGCTCGTACGTTGGCAGCGCACGCGCCGTGGCTACGATAATGACGCTATCTTATTGCAAACGGGTTTGGCTTTGCTGCAACCTGATGCAGACCTCCAGTTTGGCCCACAGAGTGCGCTGGCCCGCACAGAGCGGGCGTTTAATCTGCCGTGGCAGCGCATTGTGTCCGAAGTGCTGCAGTTCGCCGTGTATTTAGTCACAAAGGCCAAGCTGGATGAAAATCTGCGTCCGAATCAGAAACTGCAGGCGCTACGACTGCTGCAACTAGCACTAAACGCGCTCACTGTCAAAGGAGATGCACAGCTCGCGATACTGCCGCTAAACTCGTGCAATTTACTGCTCTCGGCGCTAGCAGAGACGTTGGAGAAGGTGCAAGAGAACAAAGATACACTGCAGATACTCAAGGACGTGAAGGCTGTGTTATTTTATCTTTTTGGACTACCTAATGATCTTTCAAAAGCCGTTATGGCTGATTTCCAGATGTATCGCCCTCCTACAAATGTGTTTACTGACTTCTTGAAGAGAATTTTTACTGCAGCTTTTGCGTCACTAACAAAGTTGCAGGAAATCAAATTAGGGGAGGGAAACGCAAAGCAGGCGAAGTCATACGTTGACGTGATGTACGCATCGCTGTTCATATTCCAAGAATTGCAGAAGACGCAGACGAATAAAAAGAAGGTGTTTATGGCAATGGCTAAGACGTCACTGAAAGATTTTTTGGCTTTTCGCCACTCACTGATGACGCTTGAGAAGCAACATGCGATGGATCTTGAAGCTGTGACGGTATTGCTGGATCAGGTGGTGGAAGATGCGCTGCTCGACCCGGAACACATTTGTCAGTTTGATGGTGCGGTAGTGCACGCCGCGATTTGGAAGAAAGGAAGTAAAAGTAACGATGAAGCGCTGGAAGAAGCAGATGAGAAGAAATCAACGAAACGACCGAAAGCAGGAGAAGCAAAGGTGGTGTCTGGATTGGTGTCTTACCAGAAGAATCTTTTTGACGAACTTCTAAGACTGCTGTCAGATCAAGAAATGCCAATGCGGCTGAAGGCATCTATTAGTGGATTCTTTGAAGTGCTTGTGCGTGGTTTTGCTATACGTATCCGTGCTGCTGCTAACACAAAGATCGAAGACACCAAAACGGACTTGAAGACAAGTCGAAAACGCGCGGCTATTGTCATTGCTACCACAACGACAACATACTCGCCCTTCAAATTTTGGTCCGAGTTGTGCGCTGTCACGTATCTAGCTTTCCAACGAGAGACAAAAAAGAGTGACTTTCTGCCGGTGCTAGTGACCTTGTATAACGCGCTGTTCCGAGCGCTCTGTGAATGTGACATCTACCGCGTGACAGAAGACACGGAGGAACGCAAGCAATTTTTAACGATGGAGAACATTCTTACATCATTTTTGCACGTGCTCAACGTAGAGCACGTCCATGATGTTTTCGCTAACGCTGATCGGGCTTTAGAGGAGTGTGAGGTTATACGCAGTGCAGTGCGGTGCTCACCCAACCTTGCGAATGGCTGCCTCGTTCCGATATTCGAATTGCTTGGAGTGCAGGCTAACAAGGCCAAAGACGGCAATGCTGGGGTTTATGCGGCAGCTAGCCATGCGTTGATTGAGCTCATTCATGCATACGATTCTATGCGTCTTTTGGACAGGTTCCTGAAGGCTGTTTTTGCAACTCCGCAAGCCTACGATGGCCTGTACAAGCTCTTTGCTGTCCCTTTGTGCGAAGCTGCACTTCGTAAAGCGTTCATGTTGCTGCCTCCCGGTCAAACGGAAATGTTGTGGAAACTGCTTGTGGAGCAGATTGCATCTTTTGCATTTAAAAATGATGACATCTGTAATGCGCGTGGAGTAGCGGTTGCACGCTTGCTCTTCCAGATTTTCGCTCAAGAAATCCACGTGGTACCTTCAAATCGCTCCAAAGTGCTGCGACTTATATTACATACCCATGAACAACTTTTGTCTTCATTTGCGACCGAGCTTACTCACGTCATGGGTTCGTTTACATCCTATCGGCGAGAGTTGTTCTGCATATTGGGAGAGTTGCTGATGTTTGACACTGTACTAAATGCTTCCATTTGCGAGCAAACGTTTGATCAAATTTTTGACAAACTTGAAGGTGATCGCTTTGGCGCTGTAATGGAACACCTGTTGAGCGTTTGTCCATTATCCATCGAAACAGAAGGCAGTAAAAAGCAGACAGGTTGCACAATGAGTGGTCTTAGCATCAACCACGGGGTTGGTGCTGCCGGGATTATTAAACTCTGTGTGTTTTGGTTGCGGAAAACGAGAGCTTTGAATGAAACCACAGGGGACAATGCTAGCGAAGGACGAGAGAAAATCACTCGTTTGGTTATCAAGTATGTTGTCAACTGGAAATGCTGGGAGGCAGTAAGTTTTTATCTTCCTGAGTTGATGGCTAATGCGAGCAGCAACGAATGTGACCTATTTTTCCGCGAGATACTGAGTGCCTACATTAATATAGCTCCATCTGGTGAGTCGGAAGTTTCGGCTAAGCGAATTATTTGCGACGCGGGTTTTTATGAGATCCCAAGAATAAGGAGTATTGCGCCAGTTTCGTTGACTTCCTTGGGGAAACGCTTTGTGGGCGAAGTGCACCGTGGGTCTTTGACGAGCTTAGAATTATCTTGTCGTTTCTTTGGCTTCTTGTTAGAGATTCCGTCTAGCTACCTGATACCTCAAGAGTGTGGGCAGCTGCTATTGACCGCTCTTACTCTGTATCATGCAATCTGTATGTCCTTCAACAATGTCGATGGCAACATAGAAGCTCGTCACACTTTGTTGACATGGGTTCAGCAGTACTTTAAGGTTATTGGAGTTGAGTTGCAGAAATCAGGGAAGATGTGGCCAGAGTTTAAGAAGCAGCTACGTAGCAGGACATCCTTCATTGTCTCGCAGCTCGTGGCAGACGACTCTGTCAGCGTGGCACTCGTTGCCGAAATGCTCGGATACTTTTTGGATATTGGTGCTAACGCGTTTGTTGGCGAATTACTGAACGACGTCTTAAACGGTAAAAATATTCAAACTGAATCGACAGACAAGATTACAAGAATATTGAAGCGTGCTGTCATTGTTGTGGAGGCTCTGGCTGCATACCGGACCGCACCGAGCGTTTCTAAGGAAGAGAAGGAGTTTATCGAAAATGTTGTGGAGATTGTTACTCGCGAAAATGTTTGCGGTACGACACAGGGGCCATTGTCTTTTGAAGTGCTTACTGCCCTTCTCAAATATCAGTCTGCGGTCCACAAATTAGCTCGCCAGCACAAAAATCAGCAGACGAAGGCTGATGATGGTCGAGTGTTGCAATTACTCTTGAAGCATGTAGGTGGCGCTTTGACAGCTTCGATGAAGCTGGTCGCCATGATCGGTAATTCCACGGACAGTATCGAGCTCCAGGACGCGGCTTGGTCCTTTTTTGCGAATTTTTGTGAGCAATATTCTTCGTTCCAGACATTTTTGACTCCCTTACAGACGTATGGATGTCTGTTGGCTGTGGCACTTTCACTTATTGCACGCAACACCACACCTTTATTAAGCCAGAATAAAGCAGAGCTAGCAGCGTTGCAAGCAGTGGTGGCCAACGCGAATAAGGATGAATTTCGTCTGCTGCTCTCAACGCTTATGCAAGAACTCGTTGCACGTGAAGGTAAACGGAAGCTAGGTGCACTGTGTGCTCTATACGTGCTTTTGGTTGGCGACCGAAAGCTGAATGCATCACGACGACTACTTTTGAACAAGCACAAGAAATTGATTGTCGAGGCGTTGCTAGAGAATTTTGCTGCCCAGTTGCTGCTCATTGGAGCTAAATCGGCAGATCCCTTTGACAACGCCGTTGCTCTTCATGTTTGGAGCTTGAGAGTCTTTGTACTGATGTTTTCCAAGGCAGAGCTTTTCTCATGGAAAAACCCTCAGCTACAATACGTTCTCACGGGCTTTCAACCTCTGTTAGCAGCAGTATCGTGCTGGCAAGCTGGAACCAACCGATACAACCCTCAGGAACTGCATGAGTTGTGGACGCTTTCGTACACACTACTGTTACGTATTGTACGAAGCCACTTTGCTTCACTCGTGCACTGCATTCCGCAACTAGTCCAGGCATCAAACGCACTTTTTCAGATGCTTGTGTTGACCTCTGCACACCTTGAATATTCTCAAATTTGTTCCGAGTGGAGCTCAAATCTGGCGCGTCTGTACGGGTACATGAAGGCGCACGACGTTCAGTTGCGAAAACATGTCATCTACCTCTTGATGGCATTCCTTGTAAGTGTAACTCGCGACAAGCTAGCCGTGCGTTTTCAACAGAAACTTCGCCCAGGTGTGTTTGCACTGCTAGATGTGTGTTCACCATATGAGAAGGAGCAGCTCTTTGGGGCGTTGGACTCAACTGGTAAATTACTGCTCAAGACGCTAGATGCAAATTACAAGCTCACGCATCGTTACGTGGGCAAGGTCTAAGTTTTTTGACGGAGAAGCAGGTGAGGATCATGTAAAAAATCAAACGATGTGACCCTTGTTTTAGCGAAGTCGAGTTCCACCAACATTCACCGGTTTGTGATTGTAGTATTACGTGCATACCGCTTGCTGAATCCATGCATGGCATTTACAGTGATTCAGATTGCATCTGACATCGTGTTTGAACGAGGTACAGCAGTGGGGACCGAAAGCAAAATGATGCGCTCCATCGGGGTTAACGATAAGTTGTTTGCTGCATTGTTTGAGTAATCCATACACAGATGAAGCGAATGGAGGTGATGTTATCGACAAATGATGCTGCTGTAGGTCTTGAGCCGATAGTGTCTACTAATAGACAATGTCTCGAGATGCTGCAGGTCGTCAGTGCTATATGAATGTGGCATGCCGGGGACAGCAACACTGTGCGCTGAAATAATCGACACTTGTATGGCTTAGATCAAGGCGTCCTATGCATAAAGTTGACGACAGAAGCTTGTGTCACCTCTATGTTTAGCATCGCAACAATGCAGTTACGGTTAAGGCGACTTTCAAAGACGATTTATTGTACGCAGTCTCTTTTCATCGTACATTTTGTTTTAGAAAACTGTACGTATGTTTGCATCGTATTGTCAAATTTAAACTAATCAAATGAATTGTGTCAGTAACGAATTCATTTTATAACTCGAAATCCACCATGGAATTTCACGAGTGCTTTACACTACTGACCACGCGACCTGTACACGCCCATGAGCACTGTAAGGAGGAGCAAGATATTTACGAGACGAACCAAGACATGAATGTATCGGTAGACTATGCGCAATCAAGTCCCAACCAAGCTCAGGATTTGATGCTACAAAGCTGTCGAGAGCTTGTCAAGACTTTCAATCGTCTGCAGGAGATGCGGGTCCAAATTTACGCTGATTTTCAGCAGTTCGTCATGCAAATTGTTATAAATTTGCGTAATTATTACAATGGCATAATAAATTTACATTAAGGATTTGTGTGTTGAGCTAGAGGCTTTCAGGTTTACAAAAAGACCCAGGAATTTCCTGCATTCTGTAAGATTTCAAACGCTATTATACTATTAAAATTCCGGATCGTTGACAAGCAATAATTTGTTGCAATGCCCACTTTATTCAGGTTCTGGAATCAAGAATCGGCTTTCGGCTGTAAGTGAGCAGGTGAACCGCATTGAAAAGCTCCTGCGGGATGAGAAGCACCAAGTGGCGATCGCAAAACTTCTCCGCAAAATTCAAATTGAAGAAAAAGAAAAGCTTCTTTTGGTAATGTGCTGCACAGCTTGTTTTCGATCCTGTTTTTTTCAGTGGATTTTGTTTAACTGAGTTTTGTATCGCTGTTGTAATAGACGTCTGCCATTTTAATTGAAAACATGCGGCTCAGCGACGAAGCCAAGCAGGTTGAGCCCGATACCTCGACTATTGCATTCTTGGAGCGTTCAATCGAAATACTTACAACTAAACACACTGACTGCGTAGTTCGTATCAATGAGATTCTGGAGGAGCTACGGGTAGAATTAGCCGATCTAGAGGACGCGTGATTTGCACAAATCAGTGAAATTGGGTGTATTTGAAAAAGAGTCGACTATCCAGATTTTGTGGTCGTGCTGATCGATGGGGTAGGCCCGCAGACTCTTGCCCGTCCACCTGTTCAGCTGGAGGATCAGCATTACGCAGCGACCTTCGTCTCGTAAGATTGGACGCTACCGAATCTTGTCAGGACATTCTCCAGACGTCTTTTTGCCTTTAGTTGGGGTTGCGCAGGAGAGTTTTAGAATGATCTGCACGATAAATCTCAGCGTGAGTTACTTGAAGCTTTTGCCACAAAATCGATTCAACTAAGGTATCGCGTCCACTACTTGTAAGCGCTTTTGCGCGCGCAAACACTTCCCGCTGAGCTCGATTTGATGCACACAAAAGCGTTGAATGCGTGCTCCATTTTTCTTTCAGGTGAAACAAGCGTCCGCAAAAATGATTATCGGATACCCTTAGCGTCACGCACATCTCGCCAACCTAAGAACATAAAGAACATTCTCCCGATCTCCATAGTCTTGCTGCATTTGATAATCAGCACCAGCAAAGAATATGTTTGATAAAACCAAGTAGATATTGGTCTTCAAATTCACCTGCTCCAGAGCTAGTGTCGCATTTTCGAAGCCAGCAGAATTCAATCGTGTTGGTAATCAATCACTGGTATTCTCGTTTAAATCTAGCAGAACTGAATAGCCGTCGTCACCACACCTTCACTCTCGGACACCCCGTTACGACATGGAATTTGGCCATACGTCTCCGAAAACATTAAAATCAGTCTGAGATGAAAGCATTCTGACGATACGTAAGTAGATATGGAAGAGTGTGACTTGCGTCGACATGGCTACATTCCTCCTCTCGGTAATGGCAACGGAATTTGATCGTTTCGATTGCGTACAAGACTGGATCTGTCTGCGCAAGTCACACATCAGGAGATGGCAATCGACGGTGAGGACCAAGCACTCCGTCAACGGGGCGACTACGTTCTGCAGTTTCTGACGCTAAGTTCCGTCTGATGACGAATGCTTGGCAGACCAATGCTCACTTGAGTGCCGTCTCTTGGTACGTCGAGTTATGAAATTGTCGCTACCTGAACATCAGCATGACCGATAACTTCCCTTTTCAGGTCCAGAACGTTCTGTTCAAGTTGATCCATGCGATCTGTCAACATCTTGGCCCAACTCTGCATGCACTTGGTGCAGCAACAACCATCGGGGTTCATCACGTCACTAATGTGCTCTTCAAGATCGTATGCTGGATCGGATTCGGCATCATACACCTCCTGTGCCACGAAATCCGTTAACGCAATGTCAGAATCAGATTCTGCAGCATCAGTATCTGCGGAGATATTCCCAGCAATGACGCTCGGGTCTGCCTTCGCGATTAAGTTTGTTGCTGAAGGCACGTCTGAGCTCGGTGGGGCTCGAGTTGGGGCGGCCGCCGTTGTTGGTGTTGCTTTAGCTGGAGATTCTGGTGCTACTGACGGTAACGACGGCGGTGACGTTGATATTACTGTATTTGTTTGATTGCATCATGTATATTTTGTAGTAATTATTCGCTTTTGCGTGTGACTAAAAACTAAAATTTTATTCAATTGTTCAAATCGGTTCGAAAGCTCAAAATTAGAACTTCATGGCAATCGAAGAAGCGGTCGTCTCACATTCAGCCACGTTGGGACAAAAGCCCCAACTAAATCCCTTTTCAGTTCAATATGTACTAGATTTGTTACAAAAGAACGAACAAATGCGTAAACAACCTGCATCGATATCATCTACGAATATTGCCAAGCAGTACGAGGATAATCAAGACATGAACACCATTCAAAACAGCAGGAAAAGTGACGAAGTCGTGTCTGGAACATGTACGCCTCAAGTAGATGATTGGAGTGAAGATTTTATCAAGTGTAGGGACAGTACCGATACATGGCCGTGTACAAAAGATCGTACAGTAGATGCATCTAGTACAAGTCTTCGATCTAATTTGGCCAATGAGGATTTGTATGACCAACGACGTTTGTACTAATGCCCAAAGACGAAAGAATCGAATATAAAACTTGTTTCAAGTGTGGCAAAATGTTTGCAAGCTGGAAGGGATTAAGGGGACATCTTAACAGAGTGAAGCCTTGTGATCAGGACAAAACAGTCGCTACGGTAGTACGACGTCGACCGCCGGCATCGAAAAAGTACTCCAAATGCAACAAGACATTTTCAAGTCCGCAGAGTCTTCGAATTCATATGAACCGAGTAACATCGTGTGACCAAGACACGAAGAACGAGCTGGATCCTATGACTCCATTCGATACAACATCTTCGACGACATTGACGCTGATGAGAAGTGATGAATTGAAGAAAGAAGAAGGACGGAAAGTTAAAGCGAGGTATCAGTCCCGCAAAGCGTACTTGAAGAAACGTGGGCGCTTAAGTGAGCTGGAAAAATCTCTATCTACGATTTGCCAATCAGATGACGATGTGAATCGAACAAAAGATGCCAGCATTGAATCTTAAAAACAATGGATCGAATAAAATTTTTGATGAAAGCAGCAATGCCGAGTTATCTAGTCGTGTGGTGAAGCGACGTCGTGGACAAGAAGAAACAGCAGAAAAAGATAAGCCGACTGGTTCTCCTTCCGATGTGTCCGGATTATTACAACCAAGCATTCCCACGCTCTCGCACACAATGACTTCAGAGGAACTGTCGAATACAGAAGGGAACTTTGTGCATCGATCAAGCAAGGGACACGGTGGCGATTTACTTGCAGGAGGATGCAGCTGTCCCCCATGTGTTTTTTTTCGACGTTGGGCGAGGGAACTTATGAATCGGATGCAGCAACTTGAAGACGAGGTATTGATGTTGCGGCAGCAAAAACAATGGGTTCTGGGTGCGGTGTCGAGGTGCATATGGACCCAGAAGCGACCCAACACCAATCTGACAATTTGCTTTTGTCAGCAACAAGTACTGACGATCTGTCGCACACCGCTGTTGGCGATGTTGCTTCCCCTCAGGCAGAGCCAGCAGATAGTCTCAAGTTGCTAATTGACTTTAGCAATGCTGTGGATACATCTCAACCGCCAGAGCGCGGGCTGTCAAATAGTGTAGCAAGTTTTAAATCAAGTCTGCTCTGTGCTGACGGTGGTGATGGACACCGAAGTGTGATGGCTTCTGGTTTGCAAAATTTTAATTCTGAAGCAAAGAGTCTGATGGACGCGTACTGACATATGAATGAACAAATTCTGCTGAATGAAAGGGCAGTTGAAGAGTCTAGTGGTCACGTTCCAGTTCTGGTAGGGTATAGCCCCACGGCAGCAATGGATTTTCGTCGGCAAGTTAATGAGCTGCGCGCATCCATTGGCGCGGGAAAGCGTGATGCTACAGTGGCAGCTCTCATTGCTCACGTGTGGAAACCCCGGCACAAAGAGCTTAAAGCATTACTTGATGCCAAATGCCAAAGCTCGCCCTGCGATGAGCAAGTCTATCATGCAAAATGGGCGGAGATTGCGAACCAAACATTTCTGAAAGATAAAGTAATTCTCGAATTGGAGAGACAAATGGAAGCGCTTGGGGATTCAGGTCGTAGTAGTCGATCTAGGTACGCGGAAATGGGTGAATTGTCAAGCAAAATAGCAGCTGAACACGCTGCTAAAATGGCGCTTGAGAGCAAACGTGAGAGTTTATGTGTGGGTCTTGTAAAGTCCAGTCCTCGCATTCAGTCACTAGTTAGGAATGCTCTTTTATGAGGTATTGTGTAACACATCCATGGCGGGAAAATATACAATATTGTAAGCATCATGTAAGGGTGTTTGATGATTTCCAATTAGTTTAGTATAAAAGTGGCTGTAAGCGTACAATAGACAACACAACTCTTAATTGCCGCGTTTGCTACATAATTTATAGGCGTAAAAAGCTTCTTGTATGTTTCAATGACCTTCATGTAACAAACCATAGGTAGCCACGAAATTGCCTAATACCAGTGCCTCCAATCGCTTTGAACAATATATAAATAGCCTTGACAAGGTAACAAGCATACCGCTTGATCTGGACACGGGCTTCTAGAACCACTCTTTTGCTCTTCTAGCTCCAATAAATAAATAAATAAATCACGCTGATGAGGGCGTGCGGGTAGAAGTGCAGGTTCAGCCGACGAGGCGCTGATCATTGCATCTGGTACAATTGTTTTTCGACCCCAACAAAATTCGTTGGTAGCGTCGCAGCATGCTCCCACGTTGTTCGATATCTCGAGTTCAATCATGCATATGAGCGCCAGATAAATGGCACTTCTATAAGTACTTTTGCTTGATGTACGGGTAATAGACAACAATAGCAATAAGAAAAAGAGCCATTCGGTCAAGCACGCCGCATGATCGGCTACCCTCGCGAAAATAAAATGCCGAAGTTGAAACCTTGGCCATTTGACGAACGTGAGCCATCCACTGACGGCACCACTGTCCAATTGCAATGGCACCAAACAGCACAACCACTTCCACAACACTGAAATCTGAGCCTTTAGAGCCCAAACAAACTATAGCAATCATAATTGCACCACAGATCAGCGAAATTACCAAAGCTTCAATGTCCTTAGTCATAGCTTCAGACGTGAAAAGCGGGGGACGGTGCCACTGGAAAGCCTGAGGCCAGTGTAACTGCAATTCTTTGGCAAGGCTATCACCCACGTCTGCAGCCAATACCGCAAGCACAAACAGCGCTAGCTGATTCCGGAACGACTGGCTCATTGTCTGGTCAATTAGACCTGCAAAGGCGATGAGTGGTGACACGATACATACAAGACCGAGTACGTCACACAAAACGAGCAGCAAGCTCTGCATAACATCCTTGCTTGTCACGACACGAAACACGATAATGACAATACCGCCGACCAAAATGATAAACAACGGATCGATCTGAGCGTCACGGTCGATGATATTTGCCTGCAGCTTCAAATACGCGTCCATACTGGCCACGAGAACGCAGGTCTGATAAACGACAAGCACAACTGCATCTGCCCCAGAAGGAGCTAGCGAGCTGAAAAATATGGACACAAATGCAGCCTCCACCGAAGCACCACCCATTACGTGCCATGCGGAATTGCTGTCATCGACGACTTTTCTCTCCAATGCATAGGCCAAGAGGACGCTTACGACGGCACCCAGCGAGGCTAGTACAAAAGCAGCAATGTACCAGTGACCACGACAAATCCTAACCGCCAGAGGAGCAATGGCAAAGCTTTTCGCACGCATAGACTCTTTAAGTAAGCGAGCGTAGTATTCACTGGGGTCTTCTCTCCTCAGCGACTGGTCTTCCAGCGTACGCAGTCGTCCTTCCCCTATCTGCGATTGTTGTCTCTGAATCTGATGCTCCTGTTCTTCTGTATCTTGTAATGTTAATGTACCAACATCTTGTAGGTCAATAGCTAGTAGCAGTCGTTGGCGAATGCGAAAGGCCAACCAGCTCCATTCAACGGCACCCACGGCCAGCAGCAATTGTCCAAGGAAAAGTAACAAACAGGCATCCCCAGTCTCCACAAGCACCACAACTACTAAGGGAACAAACACAAAGGTTAGCATCGTGCAAAGTGTCACGAGCGCGTACGATGAGCACACAGCGTGGCAAGGCAGTAGCCGCTCCTGCAAGTCCATATACACTTAATTAATTAACGACTAAGGCTTGTCTTTTTATGCAATACAAATAGGGGTGACGTTATTATAGACCAGTGGAAAGTCAAGGATCACCGTCCCAGAGATATCATTTGCTGAAAATTTGACAGAAAAGACTTGACTGGCTCGTTGGACTAAGAAAAAAAGTGTCAAACTTATAGAAACAAATTTCGAACATCATTCGGTTCTATTTCTATAGGATATGCGTTCTGCAATGGCCATCACGTTATATCCAGCCGCCAAGGTGTTGTTCAACGCTGTTCTCGAATGAAAGCTTATCTACGCATAGCTTTGTGCTATCGCTGTACCATCCTTTGCCTAAAAGCATTTATCTCAGCGCAATCCTTGAAAAGATGTAGCCCACCAATCATGTACCTATTTCTAAATACTATGATATTTAGTCGTATGCACTAATTGCCTAACCCTACACAATTTTAATCAGCACGTGCATAGCCAAGACCGGTGATTAAAAATGCTCCATCCATTGCACAGTCTCGTCCATTGTCTGACTGTCTCCCCATGTTGAGCTCTCGTCGCATTCATTTATCGTTGGTTCAATTTTCTCCACAGCAAAGGGCGGCAAGCTCAATCATAAGCTCGCCGCTCAATTCGAACAGCGTATGAATTTATCGGAAAGTAGTTTTAGCTCACACTCTCGCTTCCCACAGGAGACGTCGCGCAAGACCATTTCGACTAGCAAAAAATTCTGTGTGTTTATCGCCACGGTGACAGCAGCCGCACTATTTCTTTTTTTCATTTTCTTTTCAATTCATAAAGAGTACTCACTTCATTCCGTCTACCTTCTTCAAAGCTTTTTGGTCCTTGGCTTACTTGAGAAAAGCTGGTGGTACTATCGTATTCGGCACCGATTCCTGGTTCCGATGGAGGCGTCCGCAGCAGTAATATTTGGTAATCGATATCCAGAGATACCCCGGTGTAATCTTTTAGGATACGATCGCGAACTACAAGAAAAAATGGAGCCTAAGGCGTTTGCGGTGAAAAGCGTAACCGATAAGTGGATGAAGGATGTACGAGGCGCCGCAGTAACAGTGGCATTGATAGCGGCGTCAACCGTTGCCGCTATAAGCACCGTCATAGCAATGTATACGGAAGATAAAGTGACTATGTGTGCTGCAGTGGGTGCCTTTGCTGGTATACTAGGTGCTTGTTTAGCTCCTACGCTTAGCGATGGCGTTGCCATTCTTATTCACGAGGGCGCGCTGACTGTGACTGGTATGAATATTATGATCGTTCATTACACGGGGTCAAAGTCACAAATGGAGATTCTGGACTATCTGTATGTGGCACTGGCCAGTTGGGCCCTTATTGCGATTTCGCGTATTATTCTTTCGAAGAAGTTGTTGGAGTGCTTTTTAATGGTTGCTCTGGATACCGTCGCGCTGCTTCACGTGACGGTCATTTTGATGGAAGTGCTGGACTTTATTGAGCACCCACTTGCAAACAATTTGCCTCGCGAGCTAGCTGCTTTTTTTTATTTCTATCGCGTCGGCTGAGTTGGGTCACTACCTGTTTGATACAGCGACTAGTCAGTTGGTGTCTTGCTGTTTATGGCGCTGGAGACATACTTCCTCAAGGCTTTCGGCGGCAACAGACTTAATCGTCTCTGTAGTATTTGGTGCTGTCGGCATGGTGATCTGGATACGGGTTGGCGGTACCTATATGAACACGTGGAACATTATCGTAATTCTTGTTGCCGTCGGGCTATCCCAGTTAGGGCGCTCGTTTATATCATTGATTCACGAAACAGCTATGGCGCCTCCATGGAACCGCACGACATTTACTGTCTGGAACAATGGTATGATGGAATTAATGAATCCGTTTCTTGTCGGTTGGATTGTGTTTTATCCGTATGTTAAGACAATTTTGGAGGCCGAAGGCTCCATGGATTAAATGCGCTGGGATAGGCATCACAAGTATTTATTATGGGAAAAGCAGTGAGAGGGTGTTAGTTTGAACGCCGATCACTCAATAAAATGTGACCGAAAGGATCAATTATTGTGTCTGCTGCGCTTCAGCTTGCAATGCTTTACAAAGCTTCTGCGACTTTCGTCCAGCCTCGGCCTGCGTTATCCTCTGCGTCTATCGTCGGATATGCCGTGTCATTCGATGTATCAATTGCGCCTACACGCTGTTCTCGCTCTTTTACTCGCAGTTCTTCAGCAGCATTGAAAACGCCTACAACAAAACGAAAAGCTCTTAGAGCTTAATCCAACCGCCGCATGATATGTTCGTTTATTTACGCACCACTGGTCTGCTTCTTGCAGTTAAAGCATCGCGACGACTTTTTAAAATGCTTCAGTGCGCACGCTTCACAGAAGAAATGGCCACAACTACACGAGCGTGCGACGAAAGAGTTATTAGAAGAATGAAGAAATGTATAACGTCACGTCATGCGCTGCTATATACAACAAACGTACATTGTCTCCACAGCATTCCGAAAAGGCCTACGGCAGATTGTGCAGGCAAATTGCTCTTCGCTGCTTTTTTTTAGTCGCATTCTTTTCTTCCTCATCGCTTTCATTATCAGGGTCTGTCCAAGACACATCAAACAAAATGTGTGAGCCCAGTAAATATGCATGGAGTCGATTCCTGGCTACAATGAATGCACCTCGCCCTGCTTGGAGTCGCTTCTGACGGTTCTTTTCCTTCTCTGCGTATTCTTTCTCAATTTGCCACCCGCTTCTGTAGTCACCACGATCGTGGAGAAACTTGCAGCTGTCTCCGTAGCCACAGAATCCCGTTTCCTTGTAATCCTTACAGATATCAGGCTGGTAGTCAAAACGCGAAATTGCCCGTGCCCAGGTCTGGGCTCGAATGGGGCCCTGTGTACTGTAACGGATGGTCCCAGTCTTTGTCAGAAAAACACGCAAGTCTATAACGTGTCAAGCAAACCAATACGCACCCCGTGTATTTGTTCATGCCGATCTGCGACTCCTTTTTCGTAATGTAGCTCTTGTAAGCAGCTTGACCTCGATACACTTTCCCACTATCTGCATCCGCACTTCCATCTTGATTCACCTTGATACTTCGCTCCAACACAGCACGCGCATCGCTATAAAGCCACACATAAATTGCAACGTTAGTTAGTGTCAATGTTACACTCTAAAGCCACAACTGGCAATTAATTACCGGTCTTTTTCCGTGTCAATTTGTGCCTCGTAGGTAGCGTCACCTGCATATTGCTGCGGCACAATCTCACGCTCAGACTTAATCAACCTCGTCTGGATCACGTTCTTGGCCTTTTTGATGCCTCCAGTCTACAGCGCAGCGAAATAATATTCAGTGCACGAAAACATTTCGACTGGTAAAACAGCTGCCTCCTTACCGAGAAGGTATTGATCGATCGTCGTTCCGTGGCCATGGAAGCAGCAGTTACGTAATCATCATCAGTAATGGATCCGTCAATATTCGGCTCATCTTCATCTTCAATGACACGTCGACGTTTGTTCTTCTTGGGTTTAGCCCTTCGAAACATTTTGATTCCAATCGAGTGTTGTTCATGAACAGATTATCTATGTATCGATTTAGACAGGTCCACCTGAACAACGCATTTTACAATAGCAAAGCCGTCTATACATCCAATTATGTTGAATAAATGCAAGGCTAAGAAGGTCTTTAGGCAAAGCTCATCTGTGCATATAATATGCAGCATGCATCAAGAAAAGTATACCTTTACCATAGTATCACGTGCATGTAGCAAACACAACAAGCTGCATCCATGTATATATGACCATGTATTACTTACAACGTTGTGCTTCTAAAGCTGTCTTGGAATGGTTTGCAGGTTGCGAACTTTATGTGAAGGATGTATATACATTGTAACCTGTATATTTAGACATCCGCATACCGTGGTGTCGTGCACGATGCATGTTAAGTCAATGGAAAAGCAGATGAGTTAAAGAAGAATGGGGCTTGTACTTTTATTAGGTCGCGACTGTTAACGCCGTTGCCGTTGGCAGTAGCAAAGCGACTTTTAAAAGCTAGATCCTAGATGTTCATAGGGCGCCGCTCTGCTCCAGCAATGGCACAAGATTGCCAGCCTTGTGCAAACTGTTCACGTCCGAGTTGCCACCAAAAGACTTGCCACCTATAAAAACGTTGGGCACGGTACTCTGGCCCGTGATCTGCTCCAGAGCGTCCTGCAGCTCGCTGCCGTCGGAGATCTGGTCCAGCTCCACGACTTCATACTTGGCGCCCAATTGCGTCAGCAGTGCCTTAGTCTTGGTACAGTATTGACAGTAGCTTTTGCTGTACACAACCACAGGGGATGCAGCAATCTTCGCTTCCACGGTTTCCTTAGCACTCGGCATAATTGATAGTAGCTGTCTTGCCTTTTGACTTGATAGTAAATCTGAATCTGAAGTATCGTTGGTTTTTTTGAAATGTTCGGGCAAAATTCCCTTTCAGGGCATTCTAGCCAATCCACGGACTGTACGTTTCATCGGAAATGTGCGCATATGATTGCATCACCAATTGACTCATCACATTTGCACATCTGCAAATAAAAAGTATAAAACTCGAACAGCCAATGGTCTATACGTACTTTTTGGCTGTATGCCTTTGCTAAGATCATGTGTAGTATCCGTAAAGACGACAAGAGCATAACGAGCACAAAGATATCGTACCGATGCCGCTTTGGCTTCAACTGCTGCTTCAAACAGAATTTACAATTACAATGTTAACCCGAACACCTTGCGCTTTATTCTTGCATGCTCTGTACTTCACGCTTGCATTATATCACTAAAGAAAATTGCCACATGTCCCCTTTTGACAATATAATTGTTGGATTCAGACCCTAAATGAAAACACTACGTTGCTATGCCAAACTTTCTCACAAGTAAACGCAGCCGTCAATTAATTCGGCCTCTGCGCGTACTTTTCAAGCAGCAAAGTCTAGATTGGGTTCTTACTAAAGTTATTCGTTCTGTATTACATTACAATTGGCTGTGGATGGCGCCATACCGAAGCCCTCGGGCAAACTTGTCTCTGGAAAGTGCTGGCGCAGCAACACCTTTGACAACGCGTTATGATGGATAAAGTGGTGAACAGCAAAGGCCAACTCGCGGCTGAATGTAGACTTAAAGTCAATTTCGTCACCGTCAGCCGATAGCATGAAGGAGGCATAGACTGGCCGCGCCAAGTTGCTTTGTGGCACAATGCAAACCAATTTCTCCAGATGCTCGATTTGCTCAATTGCCGCATGACGGTCCTTCTCCACACGAGTAGAGCGGTCGCGCACGTCGTAGTGCACCAAACACGCGCTGCCTTCTTCCTTTGTTGCACTCAGCATTTCTAGTGGCTTGCTTATGTGGTCTAGCGAGTGCCGCGTATGTTGGCCCACAGAACCCTCGACAAGTGGGCTGTAGAACGTGTATACGGCGTCATTGAGGCCACGGAGAAATGCTTTGTGCTCGTTCAGTATGGACAGTGCGCACACACGGGAACCCGTGGCAGCTTTCGCAACTGAGCTTATATTCGCTACCCTGTGGCGGCCAAAGCGCGTTACAGCGAAGCGCAAGCTTAGCATTTGAACTGGAATGGGACTAATTAGTAGAATACACTATTTCTTGCATTAACAGAATTTATTAATAACGAATCAGTTTTCCTGTAATTGGTTGCCGAAAGCAAAAGTAAAGAAATATACGTCACATCTTTTTCCTTGGCTTAGTTAGACAAACAAACCTGCTGAGACAACGTTGAGTGATCGCTTTGTCAACGTTTGACAATGCAAATTTTCGAAACTTGCAACTATTTTGCAGATTTAACGGTAAATGAATTACGTAGCAAGAAAAACGAACACGACAATTTGTTTCATCGTGTGGCCCACGTGACACAATAAAGGCATTATGCATGCAGAAAGCTGGTAAATTGCGTCTTACCAATCGGTAGGTACCTACCACCACAAGCTGATTTTTGTTGTTGTAATGTATGATGCTTAAAAAATACTGTTCTGACACAAGCGACAACAGTGGTGTTCATCAGCATACACTTTGTCGAGAAGTTGTGCTAACAAACGGTACCATTTTATTTGTTAATGATAGAAAAACCGTGGTAGAACAATTTATATGTATGCAAAGTAGCTTGTACATAAGGGGTTAGCGACTTCGTAAGGGCCCACTCTCAAAACTTACTTGAACCGAACTTGCATCTGAACAGACTTATTATGATAAAGCTCCCCAACCATTTTCCAATCCTTTTTCCTCATATACTCACATGCAAGATAGATTAGCCCCATCAAAAGTGGACATTGTACGAGGCCTTCATATGATTGCATCGTTTTGTCGTGTGACCATTTTAGAGTCGAGCACATTCTTTCCCTCTCCCTTTGCACTGCCTCTTTCTTTTTGCTTCCACAAAATTGGGAATTCTATTGCGGATCACACGCTGAAGGTTTTTTCCTCACAAATTTTGCAAGAAACAAGATTAAAAACCCAGTGACATTTGAGGTTTTATACGTTCATATTTCACCATCACGCAAGCAAGTAAGAAAGACACAGAAAGAAGTGTCCAGCTTATTGGGAGACATGAATTGCGGACGAGGGCCGAGCAGCACCAGCACTGGCACTACAAACCCACGCCTTTCCAACTCGCTGCACCGCTGTGCTATCGCGCTGTGCTCTAATCAGGCCGTAGCCGAAGGTGTATGCTCCATGCACCTGTCTCGAACCAGCCGCATGAGCAGTAGTGGCGGTGCTGTTATGGATAATTGCGCCATAGGATCGCGTGGTCTGCCTCTGTCCTTGGCTAGCACAGAAGATATTATGGCTGAAGAACGATACTACCGCTCAAGTGCGCACGCCGCCTTGCAGCCTCGCGTTGGACCTGCGACAAAGAAGCACAAGCCGTCGCCAGCTGAACCCGTAAATCGCTACGGGATGGACAATTCGTCCTCAAATGGTGGTCTGACTCGCGAGAGTCTGAACGAGATGGTCAATCAAATGCAGCAATCGAAGAACGCTGGTATGTCTGCGTACGAGAATGACCCGTACGTGTCTGCTCAGACATCAGGCAGCACAAACGGCTCGAACCGTTCTGAATCGGATGGGTCCGTGGACGAGACGAATTTACGCCGCGAACGAAACCGTATTGCCGCGCGCAAAAGCCGTCAGCGCAAACTAGACCGCATATCGAACCTTGAGGACGAAAAAATGCGTCTTGAGCAGCACCGCGATATGCTTGTGCAGGAGATCCGAAGCTTGGAAAAGAAGGACTCGGGAGTTGCCTCAAACGTATTGCTGACCATCACCGACAAGGAGTACAAGCAGCTGCAGAACAAGCGGTTAGAGGTCATTAAGCATGTTGAGGAGGCCTACAACTCGGGTGATATCCTCTCAACGGTCCAATACTTCCGCGATGACTCAATTGTCAGCGGACCCCAGAACTCATCGGTTCATTTGCGTGGCAAAGACGCTCTGGTGCTGGATTACCTCTGCACGACGTACTTGTTTGGTGATGTCCAAATTCGTCACGTTAAGGTAGACAGTGGTGGTTCCCGTAGTCAGCACTTTCGTGTGCATTGGGTACTTTCGGGCACCATTAAGAGCGCCGGTGTTAGCATGAACAAGGAGTTTCTGGAGCTTATTGAGAGCGTAAAGGGTCACCGTGTTACTATTGAGGGTGTTAGCAACTTTTCTTTTAGCGGAAACAAAATTGTATACGTGCACCGCACGGCGGACCAAGCCAAGTTTCTGTCAGCGCTCGTCACCTTGAGCAAGCCGTAAGAAAAGCTGACAGATGTTTGTGGAAATTTCGACAAGCACTCACCGAAGGATGAACGCTGAACATGCTTTTATATATGTGAATACATCTTGCCCACCATTTTTTGCCTTCATGTTGCTAAATACCCTTTCTCTTTTGGGAATTTGATGACATGAACATACTGAAGATTACGACTACTTACAGCTTTTTTTCCATTTGTTGAACAATTCCAACATTCGTTCACATAACTTGGGGCAACTGTATGTAGCTCGCGCGGAGCATTTGGTTTACTGTACCAGGATGTGCAAGCGGCGGCGCAAGCAGAGAGGGTAAGATTTGCATGAATGTACACTTGTGCAGCCATCTTGAATTTTATCGTTCAACTTTATATTCCGGTCCTTTGCAGCCAGTCGTTCTCGTACCGCAAGGAGACAAAAACGGCTCTGCACTTGACGTACCGCGCCCCTCTCACATGTTGAATTAATCTTGTGCTACTGTTGGTCTGCACAGCACGCTGTGGTGGAATTTGCACTGTAAAAAAGCGGCCGCAACTATTAAAGTCAATTTACTTGGCATCAATGCAGTTGATACAAGCTTGACAATCTTGAAAGCTTGGTGTGTATAAGACCATTTATCCAAAACTGAATTAAACGAACACATACGAGCAAACGTTTGCGACAGAGAGAAGGACAGGGCTTCGACCGTCGCAGTTTGGCGACAACAAATTGGTCAAGAATCGTGATGCAGTTGCAGTTGGGTCTAAGTTCAAGCGCGAGGCAATTAGTCAAAAAGACGTGCTAAATCTTGCGATTGGTGCGTTATCAACTTCAAACCGCTTTATGTGCAGCCCTATTCATTGACGGTATTGTACAAAGCCTGCCACAGCACTATCCGAGTCGCGCGTGCGCCAGCTTGGCACCACCAGCCCAGAGAGCGAGAAACAAGAGAAAACTCAGCAGTGTCAAATGCAAAGTAGCGGAGACGCCGCTCTTCCGACCTCGTTCCCCGTTCCACTTGCATTCGGCCGCCAAATCAGCACCGGTGATCTCGCTACCGAAGTCTCGGCATCTCCTGTCCACACGCCATCAGACGCGCGCCTGCTGTACCGCGAGTGGCGCACGGGATCGCACATCGGCGCCGACCTTGCGCACTTGGAGACTGGCGATCTCAGCCATATCACAATGAGCAGCGAGGACGTGTTAAGCCGCTCACCCTTCGGTGTCTACGGGCGCTCACCCAACTCGCTTCCGCGCATTGCCGAACGCCTCGAGAATCTGTCGTTGCGGGTAAATGTGCCACCAGCCACGCAGTTGGGCTCACAGGATGTGGACGCCGGTGCGCGCCTGTTGTCACAGAAGATTTCCACCATGGACGCAGCCCAACTGGGGACACCAGCCAAGTCTCAGTTTGGATCTTACGGCTCTGTTGGTCCTTGTGAGCCCACAATAGGTGTCAAGAAGGTGCAGAGCTACCAGGCCTTGGCTGACCTGGAGAAGAAGGGGTACTTTCCCGTGGCACCAAAGCCGTCAGCGCTGGGCGTGCAACGAGGACTCAAGGACTCGGTAGTAAACGACATGTGTCGTGCCGTCGTCAAACACATGGTGGGCGACGTGTACGTGTCAGCCTCAGGGTCGTATGGTCAGCGCAAGGTGCTTAATCATCTTTACGAGCCTGTGTTTGCATCAGTTCAGGCGCACTTTCGCCGTCTACCAGCTAGGTATGCCTTGTCCGTCAATCCAGACGACGTGCCACTCCATATGCGACTGCTGGCCCAGAACCAACGAGACCCAACAGCGATTGCTGTCAACGCCCAGCTTAAGAAGGATGATAATGGAGAGTACGTTACAAGCGCTTGCTGTGATTTGCGCGTCTGCCGTAGTGGGAGCTTATGTGGCTGACTACGTAGTGATTTTGCAGGATCGTGCCTAATGTGTGCGAGGTCGTCGTGGTGTCGTTAGACCGCGATAACATTTTGGACGCCATTACCAGGGCGCTTACTATGATGAAAGGGAATATTTTGGATGCCGACGTGATGACTACAGCAGATGGTGCGCTGCTTGACCGCTTTGTAGTGAAGGGATTGTTTATAAGTGACGATCGTCAAGTAGAGCTGCGCATGCATATTGAACAGAACCTTCTTAGACTTAGTATGGATGAAGAAGACGCGCGGCCAAGTGTCACTAGCGTGCAAGACTCGGATAGCAACAAGAATGTGAGTTTAGCCGAGAAGCTGGGTGTACTTCGGATGGTGGACAAGAACGAAATTAAAGCCGAATGGAAGCTGGACCTCAACGAAGTCCGGCTGGAGAAGGCTGTAGGATGTGGCCGCTCTGGCAGTACGTATAGCGCCTGGTGGCGAGGCACTCATGTAGCTGCTAAGGTTGTGGATTCGTCCGCCAACACTCAGGCAATCGGTGAGGAGTTACTAAACGAGTTTTACCGTGAAGTGGCTGTCGTGACTAGATTGCGCCATCCAAACATTGTTTTGTTCCTCGGCGCGGCCATCAACCCGCCCCGTTATTGCTTAGGTACGTTAAACAACGGCTTGCGGTGGTCGTATTTGACATGTTTTATAATTTGTCCTATTAGTCTTTGAATTCATGAGTAACGGCACGCTAACTGACTTGATCCGATCTCGTCGCGGGCCAATAGATTTCTTTCGTTTGGCATCGGAGATGGCAATGGTGCGTTGATGTGCCCGCACCTGGTGATGTATGATAAGTTAACTATTCTCTGTATTTGATTTGTTTGCGGTTGCAGGGAATGAATTATCTTCACCTGTGCTCTATAATGCACCGTGATTTAAAATCTGGCAATGTGCTTATTGATTCACATGGCACGGCCAAGATATCCGATTTCGGGCTGAGTTGTGTGCTTGAGATTGGTAGCTGCTCCGATTTGACTGCTGAAACAGGGACGTACCGCTGGATGGCACCGGAAGTTATTCGCCATGAGCCGTATTCTAGCAAGGCCGATGTATACAGTTTTGGTATTGTTTTGTGGGAGTTGCTGGCAAGAGACCAACCATTTCGTGGACTGACGCCCATTCAAGGTGGGTAAATCTTCTCCTTTCTGTAGCCACCATGTTTAATTTGTGCCGATAATGTTTGCTGCAGCTGCCTTTGCTGTTGCTCGCCAGCAAATGCGTCCTGCATTGCCCCGCCAGACACCGGTCAAAATTGGAGAGCTTATTGAGCATTGTTGGCATCATGACCCAGCGCGACGACCAGACTTTAGTTCCATTTTGGAAGCACTTCCGTTGGTGAAGAAATCGCTGAAAAAACGCGACTTCAAGAATATGGGCATCTTGTATGCTGCTCCGTAAGCTCTCCGTACGGAGCAGCACTGCCAATACACCGATTTTGCGTGTTTGCCACGCAGGTAGCTATTATCCCACTAATGGTAAACTAGAAAGTATTAGCTCGATGAATGCAGTGTCAGGTATACATAAAAAGTATCCATAAAACTATTTGTGATTCGAGCGACAGACTTTTCAACTACTCACGGCGTAACAGGATGAATCTTGTAACGGGCGTGTTGCGCTAGAGCTGTGCATACGCCTTTTAACACAGAACGAATTTACCATCATCTTATTGTCTTTTTTCATACGACAAGTATCAAAAGCCTTGAAACGAGGAATACTCATGACGAAGGGGTAGCCGCGGCGCAAACGGAAAATTTTGCTGCTCTGCGAAGCAAGTATATTGACACCTCTAGCCTATCGTGCAATGCGATTACTTGGGCATCAGCTTGGATTGTTTGTTCTTACGACAACTTGAACGACAAGTTCTAATCAGATCTCCGTCATGAACATCAACGACAGGTTCTTGTCTGTTGTCATACCATCGATTGCAATTTACTGGTGTTGCTGTTCATTTTCAGTTTAAAGCGCTTCTCTACTTTATAGCACGCTAAGTACTCCACTAAGATTTAAAGAAGAAGACTGCTTACTCGCAGGACCACCAAGTCATCTTGGTCTGGCGCTGACCTCATTTGACATGGGCGCATCTAAAATTAAAGTAATTGTTGCGTAAATGCTCTTATACTGCTTGGCCTTATCGCTGCGTCTGCTACGGCGGCGCAAAAATGGTGACAAAATAAATTTAAAGCTAGAAGGCAGCAGAAGCAAGCACCTGATCTACTCGATGTCAAAAACGGCGTTTTTTCCGCAACGATCTCGTGTTAGCAGCACTTTTTGAGGTCACGGATTCTATGACTGAACAGACTGCTGCAAACAAGTTTGCCGTACTACTATCGCGTTATGCACTGCTGCAAGATTGTTTGTTAAATCGGCCGCTATATCATACGCACTTTTTGTCCGGTCAGCAAAAGTACCGGGCATAAAACAGGTTTCGTAGAAGAATCAGGTAATGAATGAACAATCAAGTGTCGAGCGCCAGAAAATGAAACGCCCAATATATCGTGGCAATGCACTTAGATCGACTCTGGTGTTGACGGGATCAGCTAGGAAGGACTGAGTTCGACTACACGTTGCGTTTAACTGGACTTACGACTGGTTCGAAAGCCGCGCTGGGTAACGTTGGTGCTATTTTCTTGTTGCACGAGCAAGTCCATGTGGGAGATCCATTTCTGGTGCTCAAAACCAAATTTACTACTTTGTTGCAAGTGCAGCAGCTAGGATTCAAAAATCACGTAATGAGCTGGCTACAGACACATAAAGTCTCTATTCCGTTTCATCAAACCCGTGACGGCAAGTACGTTTTTGCCATCCAATTACAAAAGCGTTCACGGCAAGACATTATGAGTGCATGCTCTCGACAGGTTCTTCAGGGTAAAAATCGTCAAAACTACGGAAATAAAAATGGGGTAGACAGCGCGTCAGGAGGCCAGATTACAGCTATGCGGTCATATTCACAGTTCCGGAAGCTTTGGAAAGTCCTGACCTTTGCCACGAAAAAGCATTCAGCCGCATTGCTGTCATACTCCAATAGTACCGGACCAACCCGCGTAGAGCACCCATTAATCTGCCACTGCCAAAACTGGGGCTGTGCTTTTCGTAGCTTTCATTGCTGTCTGAAAAGCTACTCGTTTCCGTCAAAATTCCTAATTAAGAGCCGTACAACCTCCGCGCTTGAAACTCGACGCCAAGGACTGGAGCTATTTGTCATGACTGTGCAAGATCTCTTTAATGCATTCCCTCGTACGTTACTTCAAAGTACCGATGCGTTGAAAAGTTGCAAGGTGCTGATGGCTTTGGGCATTTTCTTTGGATTTAGTGAAAAAAATCACGCCAACTTGGCGCTACTAACCAGACTGCAGCTTTCGCCTGCCCAGACGAACTTTGGAAAAAGACAATGTATTAGATCTGACAGTGCGGTGAGCGCCATTACATGTAATAGCAACAGTCGGAGTGGCGTTGATAGCTGCATTGCATTGAACATCAATGATGACAAGGACAGTTGTAGCAAAATAAAAACGTCATCAGCAGAAGAGGAGTCCATGGATGCCGGCGTTGCATACTATCTAAGGGACATGGAGTTACATTTCACAAACCATAAAAACATCGATTCCGAGCTCATCCAACGAGAGTTTCAGGGATTCTCAGTGTTACCGAATGACATGTGTAGCAACGACAATATTTCGTCGATACATCATACGTCTACCAAGTACTTGACCTCCCCTCATCGCGGCAGTATCTCTATGGAATCTAGTAGTCATTGGATCCGATGCAGCCGCAGCTCTGACGCTAGACTTCATACTACTTTCTTGGTACGAAATCCTGCCGTAGCAACGCGTAGTTGTGCAGCTACTTTCAATACAAAGGCGTCGCGAACATTGTTGCCTGGTCTACCCCATTTATTGCGTACAAGCGAGAAGACATCGACCCGCTCGTTTCTTGAAGTGTTCAAAGACCATCTTATGATGGACCCGCGGGCCCTTGGAAGCTCCGCTCAACCGATTGGAGATTGGAACGAGGATCGCCAGTGGGAGCTTGCGCTGTATGTGGCGAGTCAAATTGGCCATGTGTACGCGGTGGAATCCATTTTGTACCGTGGACCAGACCCAAACGCGGTGATGGAAGATGGATTGTCGAGTTTACAAGTAGCGTGTCGTGGCGGTCATCGGAGTATTGTGGCAATGCTGCTAACTAATGGAGCCGACACAAACATCACAGACTCTAACGGCGTGTCGCCCTTGCTTTCTGCCGTGCAGTTGGGAGACCATGAGATCGTGGGAATGCTGGTCGAACACGGAGCAAACGTTAATCTGTGCAACGCCAACAGTGTGTCTCCTGTGCACGTGGCTGTTGCATACCAGACGCTACCCATACTGCGGCTATTGCTTAAGCACGATGCTTTCGTTAACACAAAAAACAACTTTGACGGCAAGACACCATTGCATCAAGCAGCTCAATCTGGCAGTTTGCCGATGTGCAAACTACTGTTAAATCACGGAGCTAGCATTCATTACCAAACTGCACGTGGACTCAACGTTGTAGATGTGGCCAAATCGCATGGTCACGAGAACATCGCAAGATATTGCCTTAACTTTGAGAGCAACCAAAAAGTTATGCAGCATGAAAGGTTTTTGATGACAAACAACACTGCAAGTGCCTCGACATTGGAGTGCTCACATGAAGTTAGAATTGTTTCTGAAGACGGATGCGCGTATGCTATTCTGTGAGCAAGCCTCATTGGAATGGATATTATAATTTAACGTTCATTATACTGGTATTCTCGCTCTTACACACTGTCGCCTTGTTCCGACCTCACAAAAGCATTGTAAAATGGGGTTGGCTTTAAGACTCCGATTGAAACAAGTACTATCAACTTAAGTTGGTTGTATCTCCTCGCTTACGCTGGATAACACATGAAGTTGAAGCGCGTGTACTATGGCCAGAGGCAACCACTGCAAACATTTTATTAACAACAAGCGTGTATTGGGACTCCGTATCATACGTAAAAGTTCTTTTTTATCAATCATCCAATAGCGACTCAACCTGTGAAAACGGTAATCCTGTTACATAACATTTGGCTGTCAACGTGAATTTTGACTTAATTGACATATACGACAATATTTACTAATATTGACGTAAAATTTATTACCTTTAAAGGAATTATTACCTTGAAAGGGAATATTCGGCTATGTTCTTGATGTTTACGATTGTGTCAACAAGAATAGCCACAGTGATTGATAGACGCGCGCAATGAGTGGTGGGCTGGCAACCATCATACATATTCGTAGTTAGTACAATCAAAGTAGGTTTAGAACGACACATATTGATAGGATGCAATCCATTAATGAGAGTTCTTGCAGCGGGGCTGCAAGTAACAAGCGTAAGTGGAAGACTTGGACTCATTGAGTATCTTAGTTGCACAAAATAACGATTCTATTCAAGAATAAACGGTCATATACACAAGAGATATGTATTATAACAGGCTTTACTCTTAACGAATATTAATTTGAACACTAAACTTTTTATTGCTTGCGGTGATCGCTAATTGGCACTCAAGCAAGCTTAATGATAGGCTAGTAATAAAGTTATGTAATATGTGCAACGTGTAGTTGTAACGTCGCCCCTCCTATAGAATATGTACTTCTTACTGAAGTGGTAAAGTACTTTTAAAATGTGGAGAGCCCAAGGACCAGTAAATTAAAGAAAGACCTCGGCCTCTTAAGGTCAATTATGGCCCCTCATCGGTCGAATCAATCCCCTCGGTTTTACATCCATATAACTCGGACTCTCAAGGTAGTCCTTGGTTTTTCAGGACCAAGATACTCCTGGCATCAACACAAGGAGCCGATGTACAGAATAAAGGAGCTGAAGGATAAGACTATATTAAACACTACTTGATTTGCGATCTACGTAGAACGACTTCGTCACGCTAAAAAAACTTGTTAAGTTAACCCATCTGTTCCGGGAAGAAATACACTTCCCCCTATCGAAAATTGTCATGTCGTAAGAACCAAGTGCAAAGCAAACCCAAGGATATCTTCTATGTCCGAGTAGCACCCCCCAACTCAACCCGCTATCGGAAGCGGTCTCTCTACCCTAGTGGTCCGGGAGGAAAAAATGGTCAGGCTGCTAACATGCCTGAGATATTTTAGGAAAAGGCCAGGGTCGACAAGCTTATCTAATTAATTTAGTCATAAGTCCACCCTCGACCAAGTCGACCGAGTGGCTACCTACTAGCCTAACGAGTGAATCATATCCATTCGAGGCACCCCAAGGTCGATCTCATTCAAGGCCGACATTTACATAGGGAAAAACCTTCCATGATGACGACGATTCGTTAGTTTGCTGGATTAAAAGACGCCCGTCATCTAGGTGACATTTACGCTCTACAATCTTGCTATGCTGAAGCTGATGCTCGTCTTTAGCAAAAACTTCGTTCTAATTTTGCCAAGTTGAAGGCAAAATGTCAGCCTATGGCCTATCGTCCCCGGCTATCGCAACCCCCCTACTTAGGCTCAACAAAGCCTGACGTCATTTCAAGATCGTGTCCCTACTTCTTCTGCAGCCCCGGGTCATACCTCACACACTGTGAGTAATACATGACCATACCAATTCGCAGGAAGCAGGAACGGACCGACGAAACGGTATACAGGCCAAATGTCGACTCTTCTCAAGGTGTTCGAAAAGGCCTAAAGCAAGAGAGCATTCTTGCCGTAAGGAGACCTCAAACTTTCACGAGTTCTCAGAAGACAGATAATAGTTATGAGCCCAATAAAGCGACGCCACAAAAAACCCTTCGCATGATCGTAATTATTCGAGAGCTTATTAGCAGCGCTGGAGGGTGACAACTATCCAAAGGCGTTAAACGAGGAGCTCGCGTGAAAGATCACTTCTGCTGATGCTCGAGCCGAAAAGTTCGATCGTGATTTCGATCTCACCTTCGAAATCTACGACCGATCCGAGAAGTTGATTGAAAAGGCACATACCAAAACAAGACGGCTACGGGGCATATCTTGAGACACCAAGTCAGATTTACAACCGTGCAGACCCTGGAATTGGGTCAAGCACGGATTGAGGGTCAGCTAGACTTTTGCTATAGTTCAAAAGTGCAACCACATGTACAACTCCCGGCGTCAAGGCCTCTCATTTCCAGAGGGCTGAATACTGGTACGGCGTTTGAAAGCCAACGTAAAAGCACGGAATGAATGCGCATCCTATGTGAAAGGTAAGCGTTACGCAACAACCTTCTTCGACACGACCGTAATAGGTACGACAAAGTGAGATCAAAGATCTATCTTAAAGACAGTAGAGACTGCATGTGGAGGTAATTTTCAGCCTTTAGCAACACCTGGTCCCCGACTTCGTATTCTCGCTGCCTTTGGCATCAGTTTGTTCCTTTTTTGTCGTAGCTATTAGCCATTGCGTCACGTGCATACCAAGACGCGTTGAAAAATACGCATTAGCCTTTTCCGAAAGATGATTAGGCTGACAACTGCAAGCGGATCACCGTTAATATCCAGAGGCACGGAGTGGAAGTGTCAATGAGTCACAGAGTTTACGTATAAATGACTTTAAAGCGGGTAAAGGCATGCACAGAACTATTCAATGCATACTCAACGAGTGGGAGCATCGCGCTCCATTGCTTTAAGGTTTCAGCACAAACGCTGCAAATCATATCACCAATAACGCGGTTGACGCGTTCAGTCTGACCATTGGTCTGCGGATGATCCGCCGTGGACATGTCCAGTCGAGTGCCCTCACTTTAAAGACGCTTAAGCTTACCCATAGAACGGGGTCCTTTATCAGAGACGATTGTTATGGGCAATCCGTGTCGTTGAAAAACACAATTTATAAACAGATAAGCCATTCCTTCTCCATCAATGGAGTCCGATATTTTCGCTTAATGAGCTATCTTGATTAGTAGGTACACCTCTATACAGAGGTAGCCTCGTAGGAGATTCTTTGGAGGCAACATCACCATATTCCTTCACAAAGGAAGGTAAGGATCCAATGAGTCCTTCAGGATCTTCTATCCACTGCGCTCATTTAGCGCCTTCTTAATGTCTTCAAGAACTGTTTTATCCAAAAGCTATGAGGCGTTTTTTACTCCTTTTCAGGTCGTATAACGATCACATCGGCGATGTCGCCTGCTTTTAAGGCAGTGCCAAACTCGGCAAAGGACAACTTGTCCAGCTCTAACAGAGCACTTACTGCGGGTATTACTGAATGAGCCGCCAGCTCTTCAACATCCCCAGTCAAACCATTGACGAGTGTATAATAGCTGTTCGCTATCACCGTCACTCACGATATCATCATCGCTACTCATGACGCTCTCAGCATCTGACGCATTAGCGTTTACAGGTGTACACACCTCAAGGTCAAAGACCACTTTATTTACTGACTACACCCGACCCTCCTGGGTCAATCCCTCGTCATGAGGTGCTCGCATCTCGTTTTCCTCAAAGACAACCGTCATTTTTGACTTTGCCCGACCCTCCAGGGCCAGTACCTCGTCACTAGATGCTTGCACCTCGTTATTCTCAAAGATAAAATCCTTGATGACTTAGCTCGACCCTCCAGGGCCAGTACCTTGTCGTTAGGTGCATGCACCTCGTTGCCCCCAAAGACAACATCCAGTTGTGACTTCACCCAGCCCTCTAGGGTCAGTTCCTCGTCACTCATGTCACTTGGACTCATGTCTGGACATCTTGGCTTGCAGCCACCAACACCACTCACGGTGTTTAATGATGTAACATCATTCTCATGACACATGTCATATGTGCCATCTAGTGGGTTCTCAACCCCACTATCGACAGTCATTGGGCCTCGCCCAAGACTATTGTCTTCAACACTTACAGTGTCTACAAAGTCGGATATCCCGACATCCTACATATTGACCGACTTGGTCCAATATCCGCGCCAAAAGCGCTTTTGCTTCCTAGCAGAGGTGGATTCATGACTCTCCAGAGCCCCACCAGGAGCATTGCGCGTTGCGCCTAAGATCTTCGACCTCTAATGAATCCATGGCTCATGACGTTCTATCCATGCCATGCCTAGGATGAGGTCATACCTCGCATCCAGGTCTAAGACCAAACAGCGTTCCATGCTGTTAAAGTCCAAAAACCTTACATTTAAGTCCATCGGTACTTTGGGTACCGTAACACGCGTACCAGTCGCTAATCGAAATGTGACCGTGTCGCACTCACGCGCTACAAGCGCTTCAGCATACTGCTGACTACCTTCCACGGTGGCACGGCGCACATAATTGCCCGATGCCCCTGAAACGATTAAAATGATCCATGGCTGATCAAAGCCCTTAACCGTCCCTTCGACTAGTAGCAAGCCTGGCTTGCATTATCGTTTTTGAGAGTTCGGGTCTCTTTGGAGCTGGGCCCTGTTTACTTCTACCATCTAGAGGTTCAACAGAGCTCAGTTCTTCCCCAGTTGGGTGACCCGCACCGACTGGGTTTCGCCGTTCCCCGCGGCATACTAGAGGTTTTACATAGGGCGTCGGCCCTTGGAGGCCAAATGTGCCTTTTTTGCAGGGCATTTTGCCATCAAATACCCTGTGCTCTTGCTGATATAACATCTGCGCACAATTTGTTGCTCTGCAGCTTGAAGCCCAACTTCTTCATTCTCCACTTGACTACAGTCCATGGGCACAGACCCATCAGACGAGTAGCTATAAGTGGCAGGCCTCGCAGCCTTAAAGTTGGTTTTGGCATTC